AGACGGACCTCTATGATGACGACGACCTGGAGAGCATGGCGAGCATGCCTGTGGGAGGCGCCAACGCCAAGGCTGCCATGCGCACCGACGAGGACGTCGAGACGTTTGAGCTGCCTGCACACGCCTGTAAGCACTCGCCCCATGCCCGGACTGCATTCCCAATATCCAACACACATCCCCCTGTCTGAATTGCCTACGCGACACCCACTGACCCTCCAGGTGCCTATTGCGGTATCCATAACGCCGGCAGCGTCGTCAAGTGTCTGGCTTGCAACAAGTGGTTCTGCAGCGCCCGCGGCAACTCGTCGTCGTCGCACATTATCAACCACCTCGTCCGCGCCCGCCACAAGGAAGTCCAGCTACACCCGGCCTCCTCGCTTGGCGACACGACGCTGGAGTGCTACAACTGCGGCATCAAGAATGTTTTCATGCTTGGATTCATCCCCGCCAAGTCGGACACCGTTGTCGTGCTTCTGTGTCGCCAACAGTGCGCCACGTCCTCCTCCTCCAAGGACATGACGTGGGACATCTCGCGCTGGCAGCCCTTAATCGAGGACCGCTCCTTCCTTCCGTGGCTTGTACCCCCGCCGACTGACCAGGAGCAGCTCCGTGCCCGCCATCTCAGCCCCCAGACCATTGCCAAACTCGAGGAGCTGTGGAAGGACAACGCGAACGCCACAGTAGCAGACTTGGAAAAGGGAGCTGGTCAAGAGGAGGTAATTGCCAAGGTTCTGCTCCGCTATGATGACGCCTTCCAGTACCAGAATGTCTTTGGCCCCCTGGTCAAGATCGAGGCCGACTACGATCGCAAACTGAAAGAGTCACAATCACAAGACAACCTCGTGGTGCGCTGGGACGTTGCGCTGAACAATAAGCACACGGCTAGCTTTGTCCTGCCAAAGCTCGAGCTCGGTGACGTCAAGCTCGCCGTGGGTGACGAGATGCGCTTGCGGTACACTGGCGAGCTGCGCGCTCACTGGGAAGGCGTCGGTTACGTTATCAAGATCCCAAACAATCAGTCTGACGAAGTGACCATCGAATTGCGCACCAAGGGCGATCACAAGTCCGTGCCTACCGACTGCACTCACAACTACAGCGCTGACTATGTTTGGAAAGCTACTTCTTTCGACCGCATGCAGCACGCCATGAAGACGTTTGCCATTGACGAGATGAGCGTATCTGGCTACATTTTCCATCGTCTTCTAGGTCACGAAGTCGCATCTGCGCCAATGAAGAACCAAATTCCCCGCAAGTTCAGCGTCCCCGGTCTCCCAGAGTTGAATACCAGTCAGGTCAACGCTGTCAAGAGCGTCCTCCAGAAACCACTGAGCTTGATCCAAGGGCCTCCAGGCACAGGAAAGACGGTCACTTCGGCCACTATCATCTACCATCTATGCAAGATCAGTGGTGGTCCAGTCCTGGTCTGCGCACCCTCCAACGTCGCCGTGGACCAGCTGTGCGAACGCATTCATCTTACTGGGCTGAAGGCTGTTCGTGTTACTGCTAAATCGCGAGAGGATGTGGAATCTCCAGTCGGCTTCTTGTCTCTCCACGAGCAGGTCCGCATGAATGACACCAACGTCGAACTCAACAAGTTGAACCAGCTGAAGAGCGACGTTGGCGAGTTGTCAAGCCAGGACGAAAAGAAGTTCAAGCAACTCACTCGTGCAGCTGAGCGCGAGATTCTCAATGCGGCTGATGTCATCTGCTGTACTTGCGTTGGTGCTGGCGATCCTCGTCTATCCAAGATGAAGTTCCGAACCGTGCTCATCGATGAGTCGACGCAGTCTGCCGAACCAGAGTGCATGATTCCCTTGGTCCTTGGATGCAAGCAGGTCGTGCTTGTAGGTGATCATCAGCAACTTGGTCCTGTCATCATGAACAAGAAGGCTGCTACAGCTGGACTTAATCAGTCTCTCTTTGAACGCCTTGTTATCCTCGGCTGCTCTCCCATCCGACTTCAGGTGCAGTACCGTATGCACCCTTGTCTGTCTGAGTTTCCTTCAAACATGTTCTACGAAGGTTCTCTTCAAAACGGCGTAACCATGCAGGAGCGTGTTCGTCGGGACGTTGACTTTCCATGGCCAGTCGTTGACAACCCAATGATGTTCTGGTCCAACCTTGGCGCAGAGGAAATCTCGGCCTCTGGAACATCTTACCTCAACCGCACGGAAGCTCAAAACGTGGAAAAGATCGTCACTCGATTCTTCAAGGCAGGCGTGCAACCTAGCAGCATTGGTATCATCACGCCATATGAGGGCCAGCGCAGCTACGTTGTGAGCTCTATGCAGGCGACTGGAAGCTTTAAGAAGGAGAACTACAAGGAAGTCGAGGTTGCCTCTGTCGATGCTTTCCAAGGCCGTGAAAAGGACTTCATCATCCTCTCTTGCGTACGTTCCAACGATCACCAAGGTATTGGTTTCTTGAGCGATCCTCGCCGTCTCAATGTCGCTCTCACTCGCGCGAAATACGGCCTTGTCATTCTTGGAAATCCAAAGGTCCTCTCCAAGCATCCGTTATGGCATTATCTCCTCCTTCATTTCAAGGAGCGCAACTGTCTAGTCGAGGGACCTCTGACTAACCTCCAAGTATCACTGCTCCAATTCAGTCGCCCGAAGCAGACTTACCGTGGACCCCAGCGTTACCAAATGGCCTACCAACATGCCAACGCTATGACCTCTGGCCGTCAAGCGGGCTGGAACGGCAACAAGCCAACCCGTCAGGAGTACAACGACAATGGTTCCATTGTTGGCTATATTCCAGACGACGTGTCCTCCGTCCACTCCTCTGCTCTTGGTGGTGTCGGCGTTCCCTCCAACTACCCTCCGATGTTTTCAGGCTTCCAGGAGTCCTGGCCCCTTCCTGGCCGCAACGGATCCATTCCTAAGGGCAAGAACGGTGCTCCAGCAAGCGTTGCAGGCGAGTCTGTCGCCGCTAGTGAGCTGACCGACACCCGCAGCGATGCTCCTGGCGGCATCAGCCTCTCTGGATTGAGCTTGAACGACTACAACAAGCCTACCTCGCTGAGTCAGTCTGACCGTCTATCTCGTTTCGTCGAGTCGACACGTCAAGGTCCGAACATTGGCACTGGCTTTGGTGCGGCCCGTGGATTGCGTACTGGACTTGGTGGATTTGACGATGACGATGCTCGCAGTGTGTCCACGGCATTTGCCAGTCAGATTGGTGGCCCAGGCAACTATGACTGATTTCGCACATGTTGGAGACCTAAGGATTGACTGTCCTATAGGTACTAACACTCGTCGAAATGACTCCCTTTCGCCTCTGTGGAGCCATATCGCGGAGCCATCACCTCCACACGAAAGTGCACTTGCTCCGACAGACTCGAAATGATGATCGCCGTCAAACTGTCTCGACTTTGACGTTGGAAAAAGCTTGTTCTACAGCATGTATCAGCAATCGTACCGATGGTGTCATGTTGCACTCACTCACCTATCGCGTATGTTTGGGTACAACGACATCGCGAGGACACCCAACGTGGATCCGTTCTATGACAGCCGCGAGTACTCTTACCAACACTGCCTGCTCACGTAGACCATGCAACAAGAGCATCCCGCGAAGGGGTCATTCATGGGACTTGGAACCAGAAGTTACACAAGTCAAGCGATTATCTCCCAGGTTGTGCATTCGATTCTTCACACTCTTTTCGGGCCATATTGGTGATTTGGGGGGCTTGTCACGACATTCAGTACTCCGAAAGGAAACGAAAAATATATAAAATCATACTCTGCTTTTTTTTTTGAAGTAGTCTTGACTTGTGACTTTTGCTTCTGTCGCTCGTGCTGTTGCTGTTTATTGTCGCTTGTTGTATGCTTCCCTGTGTTGTACCATTCGCTTTCCTTGTGAGCCGCTGTATATCAATAGCAGTAGGATGATTTGGTTTCGGAGCATTGGTTCACGACATCGCACGTTGTGTGTGGACTTCTTTGACGATCCGCCACAACTGCCACAATATCGAAAAGGAAGCGAGAAATGGACCTGGGATATCGGATATGCCAGACAGATAACGGCGTCGGAAGACAAGAAAAACTACCCAAGCTACTGCAATGAAGGAAAGTAGATACATCATGTTGGACGGTGATATTGAGAATTAAACACATAAGCGCAGGTACCGACACGCATGTGCGATCCCAGATCCGTACTGGACTTGAATGGGGACATGCAGACCTCGGTTTTTATTTAGTTGTCGGCTGTGTCTTATCGTTCTGAGCGTATGTATTGCGGCACGGTCAATGTTAGCCACTTAGCGCCCACCGGGATGATGGCCATATTGCGGATGGTGGCGGGAACAGTCTTCCTTGAGACTGGAGGCGTCGAGAGACACGGTGATAGCTCGTTTGACCAGCCACCTAGTAAGAGGTTCGGTAACAACCTCATATGGATTAGTTTTATAGTGAGTTCATGGCGGCCCTAGGCGGTAGACTGAGGAGCTGGTCTACTTCAACGGCGGTGTAATTGCGCTGATTGTTTGAAGGATCGTGTTCATGATCGTAATCGCATGTCAGTTTGTTCGCAAGCTGGGTGATATGAGAAGGGACAAAGTAAGAACAACGAATGTGCTCAATAAGTATGGTCTGTGAATAGGCGAAATGCCTCGCACACCGGAAAGACGGACAACTAACTTTCTGAAGACAATAGTCGGTACAAGACAACAGGATAAGTTGATAAATGATAGCAGCAAGACTTTTAAAGAAAAAGAAAATCATTTTGTATTTCTACGTATGCACAGCTTCACCGTTTTTGCATGTTGTTACGTACACACTTTTTGGTGTGTGGGGACTTTGCCAACCGGGTGGCTGGTAAGCGTGTTCCTTGATCCGATAGATGGCAACAACAATTCCGAAACGTTGGGTGGCTGTGCATGGACTTGATTCAGCGAATGGCAATGATCTTCAAACCGGCCCCAAGAATATCTTCAGGCCCCCAGGCGATGCGTCAGATATATTGTCGCGTTATCTCAAATTTAAGTAGTGCTTACCTTGCTTAGAGGAATTCCGATCCATGATAACAGGGCGTTCTTCGATCATCCCATTTGACACAAACCGAGCGTCTAATTTTCAAGAAAAGGAATCCCAAAAGCGATTGAGTTGTCAGATACTGTGGCATGAGCGACGCAACATACGGGTGGGTCCACAGTGGTATATGTACATCACGAATAATCGCTGACCATATGAGCAGCGGTAACTACGCTCCACTCGAGCCAGATGTAGAGCTGAGCACACGAAACAGCGTGTCCAAATACGCAGACGAGGCCGAATTCGTCTCGAAAGAGTTGCCGGAAAGACCGCCATGGAGAGCGACCCGCACTGCAGATTTCAAACATGGATGGCGTTTCGGCGTATCTTTAGGCGTGGGAATGTGCTTCTTCGTCTTCATTCTTAACATCACACTTACCGTCTGGGGTTCACTCCGCAGCAAAGCAAATGATGGGCATATATTCCGCGGAAGCTGCAAAGAAGCGAAACAATACAATATGGGCATTCATATTGTGATCAACGTTTTAAGCACTCTAGTCTTAGGATCCAGTAATTACGCTATGCAATGTCTGTGTGCGCCAACCAGAAGGGAGATCGATCGAGCGCATCGAGACGGACACCTGCTCGACATTGGCGTGCAGAGTTTCCGGAATTTACGGACTGCCAGACCGCTTAAGCGCTGGATATGGATTGTGCTTGCGGTTTCTTCATTACCGTTACACCTGCTGTGAGTAGTCATCATGCTCTGGTGTGATCCTATTGACGATGATAAAGGTACAACTCGATGTTCTACTCGACAATTATCAACAACGATTACGACCTCTATTTCGCTTCAGAAGACTGGCTTAACGGCGCCTGGTACGACTCATATCATATTCCCGCTGGTGGCATTACGTATATAGAATATGTGTCTCAATCAAGCTACGATGTCACAGCTTACTACGACTCAGATCCTGCTGCTATTGTTTCCGCTTATCAGCGTGACTCTACGCAATTCGAAAGAATGGATCCTGCCTCTTGCACCAAGACATATGCAAACTCATATTTGTCCGATTACAGCAACGTCATCTTGATCTCCGATTCCGTTGGAGACCACAACGCTACATCGTCTATAACCTCCAACAATATAACACGACCCTCTTCGTTGCGTTGGGTGACAGCAAGCGCCTCTAATCCGGAATTGTGGTCGAACAACAACCGTTTTGCATGGCTGTGTTACTGGGTAGAAACAATCTGTACTAATGCGTTAGCCCAGAAGGAAGCTGCCATTGAGCCTTGGACTATATATGGCTACGAGGTCAGCGGATGTGTGAGCCAGAAAGTTGAGGAAAAGTGTAGTGTCAATTTCAACCTGACCATTGGTATCATTGTTATTATAACAAACCTGGCAAAGACACTTTGCATTCTCGCAGTCTGCCTCCTATTAACTGATCAGCCTCTGATCACTATAGGTGACGCAGTCAACTCTTTCCTGCACTCTCCGGACCAGTCGACGAAAGAATGGAGCCTGATGACCCAGGAAGAGATCAAGTTGCAATGGACAGATCTTCAGCGAAAGGGCGAACGTCCATACCCGAAATTATACCGCGTGCAAAATGTACGTCGATGGAGAGCGGTGACACGCAAGAGCTGGAGAAGTTTCCTGGTTCTGTATGTCTAAATTACTATTCCAGATCGATTCTTACGTACTAACGATACCAGCTTCTGCACGGCTCTCATCATCGTCATAGCCCTCCTCTCCTATTCCATGGCCAATCTCGACGACAAGTCTTTCAACGCCCTTAAGGACCTTGGCTTCGGTACTGCAACTGCCGGCAACGTAATCCAAGGATGGAGCATCCCCGTGGCAGGATCCACCGCCCTCCTCGCCAACGTCCTCGTAGCCAACTCCCCGCAGCTTATACTTTCCGGCCTCTACCTCAGCTTAAACGACTTGCTGACTCGCATTCAACTGGCTGTAGAATGGGCCAGTTACTCCATCGAGCGTAAGCCCCTACGCGTCTCACATGATCGTACAGGAGCCCAGCGCTCAACGTATTTCCTGCAGCTTCCCTATCGATACGGTTTGCCATTAATGGTCATTTCATCGACAATACATTGGTTGATCTCACAGAGCATATTTCTTGTAAATATTGACACCTTCAACTCCGCAGGACATCCAAAAGTCGACGAGCCGTCGATAGCAACATGTGGATACTCGCCCCTTGCTATGATCTGCACGCTTGTCGCCGGAGCTTTGGTCGTCGTATATGTGATATCGATAGGGGCTAGACCGTTGGAAAGTGCCGGGATGCCGTTGGTCGGGTGTTCTAGTGTTGGTATTGCCGCTGCATGTCATCCACCTAGAGAAGGAAATCATGAGCAAGAGGCGTTGATGTGGGGCGCATTGACCGAGGGACTGCTCGATGAAAGCGCTACAGCTTATGGGGAGGATCATGTTGGGCACTGTACTTTCTCAAGCTCCGCTGTTGATAGCCCTGTTGTAGGGAGGTTGTATTCGTAGTCAGTAATATGGTTCCCTTATGACTTACAAATCAAGCTCCGCTTTTATATTCGACTGGTTTTCCCCTCTGATTCTCCACGCATCGAACTGGGTTCAGAACGTTCATAAAAGTGACAATGGGCGTCGAATTATCTACAATAAGTGAACCCTCGCTGATGACCGAAGAGAGTTAAAACTATATTTAGGGCTAGATGCCCACCAAAAGCTCTATATTCACCACTTGACAATTGCAAGTACAACAAACCATCTAAGTTAATCTATAACAACCATCGCCACGCCTGATAACGCTCACTAAAGTTTCGCTCAAAACCCCTGACTGTTAAGCTGACCAAATCCCATATTTGGCGCCCAACCGCCGAAGTTGTCTGCAGATAAATCGTTCCACAAATACAAATCTCCGTTTTGGAAGGCCGCCGAAAAGTCTCCGATGTCGGGAGTGAACCCGGATTGGGGTTCTATGGCGTTTCCATATGGAACGCTGTTTGCTGTCCATGTAGGATATGAACTACCCATATTGAAGTTGGGCGCTTGGGCTGCCGGTGGCTGTGCTTTCGGCTGTAGTGGATGAGTCGAAGACGCGTTATTTCGAGATGTTGGCTCTGCGAAAGTGGGTGTTTGGTTTGGCACTGTCCTAGAGCTTTCATCCATGGGATCCGTTTTCCTGCGCTTCAAGTGCCGTCCTTCTTGACGCCATTGTTTGTACTCATCGTGCCAACTTATGAGTTTGTCCTGGAGAATGAAAGACCAATGCGAAGGTGAGCGACATTTCTGAGGCCCAATAGCAACCGTAATCTTACGGATAATTTCATCCAGGTAGTAGTCAGCCTTTAGTTTTTCTGACTCGATCAATTCGCTCATTTCCGTGTCAGTCCCCACGCCATACTCAATTTTCAGAATTACTACCAGCGCGTATATAGCCCTGACAAAGATGCTATTCGGAACCTTTTGTAGTCGATCGATCGGCATCTCCAAAACGCAATCGAGGATTGCATGTGCCGCAGAGATGCACTTGGTTGTGGCGTTGATTTGTAGCGCAGAGTGTGAGAGTAATGACTCTGGCTGAACACTGTCATCATCCAGGGCGGGCAACGTGAAGTGTCGATTCCTGAAGTCGGTCACATCGTACCGTCCTCCGTCCATGCCGAACTCCCACATCAGCAGCACAGCAGCATGATGTTCGATCATCAAAAAACCTAGTCGAACAATTAGAGACGTCTCTGAATAGGTAATCTGCGACTCACAAGTCATCACCTCATCCGAGACGGACTTCTTCCATTCCTGCATTCTTCGATCGAATATCCTCAGGATCACCTGCATCCTGAGTTCTGAGAGGCTGAAACTGGTACTAGCGTCATCGAAACCAAACGCGGTATGCGCCTCGTCCGAGATTCTCTGGAGCTTAAGCCATGCGACGGTCCTTTGGTCCGCAATAGACTTCGATTTCTCAAGCAGAACGAAGCATTCCTGCATCCAGCTGTTGAACAGCAAAATATTAGGGCGTTTCATTCGCATGGATTGACCTGCACTCATGATGTATAAAAACAAAACTGTCCGACAATGCTCAAGCAGCTCCTCCGGAGAGGAGATACGCTGCAACGATCTGATAGCCCTCTTGGGTAGCTGTTCATGAGTCCTCGGCCTGGAAGCCAGCCCAAGTTCGAGCGCACAGGAAGCAGCAAAATTTACCCACTGATAGATTTGCAAATGGCCTGGAGTTTTGGGTGGTGAGTAGTATGCGACCGTGACCATCATCGCTTGAATGCACTGAATCGACTTTTCACCCTGTATGAATGCCGATCGAGCATAGAGATATACAGCCTCGTCATGCAACTGATCAGACAAGGCGCATCCTTTTGATTGCGCAGCCGCCGCCATCACTGCATGAAAAAGCGCTGGTTTCTTCTCTCTTAGCTGGGCGGCCGTCCAATTCCTAGGTATCGAGATTCCGGGACAGGCTTCTATCAGGTCGTTCTGCCAGATATGTACAAGTTCTTCTGCCATTTGCATAGTGATTACCCCGCGATCTATTATGTCGTTTTTCGAGGGACCAAATGAGTCTTTGCAGTTAAACTCCCTTTGAGGGGAATACGAAGCAGGTGCATCGTTTTGGAACAAGTTAGGCCAGTGACTGGCGGTTGGCGGTGGAGGAGTCACCATGCTCCTTGATGGGGTATGCTCTGTACTGTGCTCTGGCTCGTTTGTATGGTCTTCCGCATACTCTTGGTCGCCGCCATCTGTGGGTGACTGATCGCTGTGTTTCAGAAGGTCGCGCATCTGCTTAACCTCTTTCTCTAATTCGGCGACTCGTACATCTGTTCTTTTGCGTTGACGTCTCTTGACAGGTGGCGCAAACACGCAGGTCTTTCCTGCTTTTGCACATCTCTGACATTGGTTGGAGCCTGGTTCGGGATTCGACAAACAACGAACCTAGTAGAGTGTCAGCCGGATCCTCGACAAGTCTTCAAAACTTCTACAGAAACTCGAACCTTGGATGTCCGACATGCCTCGCAGGCCCGATTCAAAGATTGCTCTTGAGGATTTCTAGTTTGCTCGGAGGAATCGCCGACTGGGTGATTTAGCATCGTCGTCCAGAGATTTCCTCCCCCTCGATCGCTAGGCGGGCTCATCTGGTCAGACATGATGTTATGCTCTTTTCAAGCAAATTTTCGACTCTGTAATCATATGACACAAATGTTCAGAATTACACCTCGGCACTAATACATGATGTTTCAACACGTGTCGAAAACGCGAAGGAACCCACCTCGCTAGGCGAAAACACGAGCTGCTGAGAAAGAGGTCGATTCAACAAAAGGCGAACTATATATGCAGTAAGCAGGATTGTGACCAACGAGGTGTTGAGGCACGGAATGAGCATCGATCGATGACGAGGGAGGACTTTGGAGGGCCTAAACAAAGCTAGCACCACCCCTGTCCCAAAGCGGCCAAGCCGCAATCGCGTTTTCTCCACCTAAATCTACAAACACGAGATCTTTCGTCTTTGAAGGTAAACTTTGTAGTGTTTGGGGTTTTGACATTAGGGAAAGTTATCGCATATCTACAACTGAGGCTATCTCATGTCTCTAAGCAAGGCTTCGCAGGAAGAATGAGGATTCTCAACTGATAGTACTCTAGAGCTTCCATCATTGTCCCTGTCACGAACAAACTTGGCCATGTGAAGATGTTACAAGAGATCAGGCATACAACCACAAAAAATCAAGCATTCAAGCGACATCAATAGCGAAGGAGCGAGTCATTGAAGATAAAATATTCATCGAATTGCATTCAGGGATATCGAACTTGCTCAATAAACAAAATATAACGAATATTGTCTGGAATCGTCAAGACATCCATCCAACTCTGCTGAAACAACAACGTTTTCAGCACAACCACGCCCAGAACTTCCCGACAAAAGTGGTAGGAATGTGCTCGGGCCAGACCTCTGCGTCCATAGCAGCCTTTCCACTCCAGATATCCGCCTCGGCAGGCTTAACCATCTTCGTGCGTTTGAATAATTTCCAGAAAACGAACAGAATGAGGAAGATCGGGCAACCTATGTAAGCCGTGAAGAAGTCGGTGAGCTCAGCGCTTCCCCATGGTGTCTCGGTGAAGACCCTGAATCCGTTGAAGATGATGATCAGACCGAAGTAGACGAAGGCGACCCAGGCAGTGTATGGTTGCCACACGCTCTTGAAGATCAAGGTGTTGCGGTCTACACCTTGTGCGATAAGTGCCTTACGGAACTGAACGTAGGTGTAGCAGATGGAGCACCATGTGAAAAGTTGAGCAATGGTCGTAAGGTTCTGGAACCAATTAAAGACGGCGTTCGCTCCAGTACTGACACTCATGTAGGTGAGCAGAGAGATCGAAGCAGTGATGAAGACGCAGTAGATCGGTACACCAGACTTGGAGCACTTGAGGAGGAATTTGGGAGCCTGGCCGTTCTGGGCGACACCGAACAAGTAACGCGAACCAGTGTAAAGGAAAGCGTTACCAGAGCTAGTTGCCGAAGTCAGGATGACAGCGTTGATGATGTGCGGGAGGACAGGGATTGAAGCGCTCTGAACAAGGTTAGCATATGTACTTTATAAATATCGCGAGGTTCACTAACGTTGATAGCAATGACCCAAGGGGAGCTGCGACCATCGCCGGTGCCAGCAGTGAGTCCCGGGTTATTGGAGCTGACGGTCACACCGATGATAAATGAACCGAGGACGTAGAAGAAGAGAATACGCCAGAACACTCGTCGCACGGCCTTGGGAATGTTCTTGCGAGGGTTCTCAGCTTCACCGGCGGCGACAGCAACCATTTCAACACCACCGTACGAGAACGCTGCGTTAACGAGAGTGGACCAAAGACCAGTAAATCGACCTGTGGAGCCCGTTCCTACGTATTCTTTCATCGCGCCCTCTTTCCAGTAACGGAATCCTCGGCGATCGTGGTCGGGAGCTCCACCCAGCATAATAACAAGACCAGCGATGAGCAATCCCATGATCGTGAGCAGCTTGATTGAAGCGAATATAAACTCCGCTTCACCGTAGATCGAAACAGCAAAGATGTTCAAGGCGAGGATGATGACGATGATAATCGAAATCCAGATGGCAGGACTGTACTTCTGATCTTGATCCCAGAACGAGATGACGAGAGCAGCAGCAGAGATCTCAGCGCAAAGTGTGATTGCGGATTGATACCAGTTATTCCATCCAACCGCGAAGCTTGGAACATCGTCAGCTTCAAAGACTTTGAAGAGGGGGAAAAGAGCAACTTACCCTAGCGCAGGGTCGACATAGCGAGCACAGTATTGCGGGATCGCACCGGGAAGAGGGAGCCAAGTAGCCATTTCACCGAGACACTGCATCATCGCGAATACAGCGCAGCCAGTGATAGAGTAACCGAGGAGGACAGAGACGGGACCAGCGCGGGCGAAAGCAGTTCCGATACCCAGAAACAGACCGGTACCGATTGTACCTCCTAGGGCAATGAACTGGATGTGACGGGACTTGAGACTGGAGCATGATCAGCTTAGGATAGGCAAAAGATTCCAACGCAGCTTACCCTCGCTCGACATAACCGTACTGCTCGGCAGTCGCAACGTCACCATAGAGATCAGCAGCCTCTCCATGACCATGGCTCTGAAGCCCGGTAGCGTTCTTCGCGCCATGACCTGACGTATCCGAACCCTCAATGGGGTACTGGCCCTTCTCATAATCGTTGGCCGACATCGTGGAGATGTTGATTCCGTAAAACACAAGGGTTGTTGGGGTCTTAAGACGCTCTCACGATGAGAGGAGGCAGCCTTCACAAGCAACCACGAAAAGGGAGATTGGACGTATCACCGGAATGAATGAGGTGGTATCTCTCTGGGGAAAGGTGAGCACGATACCACAGGGGCAAGCTTTATATTAATCCGCTGTAGTGGTATCGTAGTCCGGCCCTTCGCACCTTCCTTCTGGTAACAAGCACACCAGGATGCACGGACGGAACCATCCCAAACTAGTAGTGGCGGCTGGTGCATCTGCGGCCCAGTTGACATAGATTGGTATTTTCAGCGAATGGTTGTTGGTAGAAGAGGGAACGGACTCGCCGTATCGCACAGGCCACACGCGCATGCTTGAAGCTTGCGTTATGCCGCTGATAAGGGTGGGCCAACCACCCTGGGTAATGACAAGCTAATACTAAGCACTTCGCGTGGGGTTCTCCGCAGTGCTTGAGTGCTTGGTCGCCCTTGAAACGCCCCCGGAGCGTCTTCGGTCTAGTAATTAAGTCTCCCCAAAACGCACCCAATGGCCGAGTACACCCACGAAGATGCTGGCGGTATGCCTCAATTGAGGCGACGCACGTGGCGTCGTTGTCCTGACCGCAAACGTTGGGCAAAGCGTGGTTGGCGTGCGGTTTGGCAAGAGACAAGCCTGTGGGGCGTTCTGGGCGTTCTGGACGGTCGTAGATCACCAACTGGGACTCGACCACTGTGGCATGAACGAATGACAGATTCAGGCCACCGTCTCGAATTGGAAACTTTCTAGAAATTAATAGCGCATGCTATCGTCAGACTCACATGATTTCAATCGGTCAACAATGTCATCGCGAAGTGTGCAGCAGTAGATTCGGAGACTCTGCTGCATTCTATCTGCACTGCTACGGTTTCAGGCACATTTCAAACTTGGAAACGTAAGCCTCGATAGAGTTTCCTTAATTTCGTTGGAATTTTGAGTGGCGATCTATCGCGTTTCTCCACAATACCACATCGTCGCGTGAGCAGTACCGCGGCGGAGTATCAAGGCAGTCATCCTTACGAACTTTTTCAGGGTCCAGGCTATCTCATCGCGATTATTGGCAATCGCCAAGCCACCGGTCAATAAAGCGCCTATTGGAAGACAATCGCGGCGATTCCGTGCCTCATGTCAACGCCTGAGTTGTTGTTACATGCCTGCCGACAGATTTGATGTTGCATCGGAGTCTAACACCGCTGACCTGGAACGCGTACACAACCTTCAACTCCAGCATGCTTCCATCGCAAAATTGGCCTGGCTTTGTTTGCCTCCAAAGTACCGACGAAAGCGATCGAGATCCCCGATCCTCGTAAGATCATCGCCAAAAGATCGACAAATACAAGCAGAACTCAAGAATTGTAGCTTTCTCGCCTCCAACCCCGCATCCGTAGTGTAAGCGACAACACTCGCGTCCTGCGAGATGACACATAGATCAGCGTAGCACTCGCTTATGCCTGCCAACAAGCACGCACCCTACTCGAAGTCAAGAAGCCCGCTACACGCCCGATCGATGCTCTGCGGCTCTCAATCAGTCGCACGTTTAGTCTCACCATGTCACAACACTTGCGATAAGCGTTTAAAAAATATCTCGTCATGTTGCGCCCCTATCTCTGTTGACGACGAATTTCTCGTCCCAACAAGCTAACGCCACACGGGCTTGGAATCGCTTGTTTGGACTACGAATTGCGGGACTAGTCACCGACCCGCGATTGCATGAAGGGTCTTGATTGACGCTTTCAAGCTTGGTTAAACTTCTTCCAGACTCTTATCCGGAATTCCATGTCGCAAGTGGGTACAAATTCTTTAACGCGCGTCTCAGTTTTGATCTCGGACACATGGTGTCGGTTGCTTACTTCATTACGAATGTCGCAATGATAAGACCCCATCTGTACATGCATGTTCCTGGCGTTATCTCTGGTCAGTGTCTCGCCAAGTATGAGGTGAGCCACAGGTTCGTCACTTTTCCACGCTGCCTGACCTGGATCGCGGGTAGACTAGAGGAAAAACGCAAGATTGCGCATGTTATCTGCAGTTGAGCCTCAATCAAAACCAACATCGGTCGGCTCGGGACTAGCCATCGCACGCATAGGCTACAAATCCAGGCCTTCGGGATGTTTTACGGGTCTGGTGGGGCGAGGCTAACCCTCGATTGCCAGGCAAATGTTGTGGGGAGAGATATCGAGCAGAGGTATTTAGACGCCAGCGCGTTTGCGCATTCGCAATCCCAAAAGTATTTGCAACCCATGGTGGGTGTTCCAATGACGACGCGAGTAGACATCGCCGCTAAGTAATGCTTACGCTTTTATCACTGCTCATTTCACTGCGGACCGACTTTGTGGGACAAATACAGAACCATGATGTGGGTTGTAACCAGTCAAATCCTGCCGACTCGTTGACCACGTTACCTAGTTACGAATGCGCAATCAGTCGACTTGCCAGGAATGAAGGACTAAGACAACGTGGGAAAGATCTACTTGGACGCACTCCATACAAACCATTGGGTTCATTAGAGCATACGAATACGCGCATTAACACACGCCTTTGGAAGGCATGATACCAAAAGATTTTCATCGAAACTCCTGCGAACCGGCTTTCGCTTGTCCGTCCTTCTCGTTCGCTCTTGTTGTCGTTGTCTACGACTCGCTTGTATTCAATCTTCACTCGCAGTACATCCACCTTGACGTCCCGTCTTGTGGTCCTAGATTCACGACCGGCACGTCCAGATGCATAGCCATGTCCACACGCACCCAAATCCAGTCGCAACCACCCCATCCTGTTAACCAGGTCCAATTTTAGGCATATCGTGGTGCTCACTCAGTCCACTGAGATACTTGTTCAACTCCTCCACCTTCTCCTTGTGCGTCTTAACACCCTCGCGCTTCAGTCGCTCCTCCAAACGCTTGCGCCTCATCTCCTCGTGTCGTTTCTCGGCTTCGGTTTTTCTTCTACCACCACCGTCTATAAGAGCTTGCGCTGCAGTTTCGGGAGATATAGAGCGGTGAGGTGTTCCCGAGGGGGATTTTGGCGCATCGGCATTTGAGTGGGCGGCGGTAGGGGTAGGCTTGGAGGAAGATGAGGAGACCTCTGTCTTGGGCTTCTTCTTTTTCTTTTTCTTGTCGACGCCGGCGCCCTTGAGCTTTAGGGCGCCGCCGGTGGCAGTTGTGTAATCGGAGGGAGGCATCGCGCGTCGTGCGTCGTGAAGGTGTGGAGAGCTGATGGCAGCTTCAGTGATCGATCGTCGCGCTAGTGGCTCTGCACGTGATGCTACGGAGGACGGTAAGTACCGCGTGTGCATTTCTGCTCGAACATAGCAGGCTGATCTTCTGAACAACGTTACTTTTTCTATCGAAACACTCTCTGAATCTAGCCACAAGGACAGAAGATCTGAGCAACATCACGATTTCGTTTATGGAATCCCGTCCAAGGATCGTAGCCTTGTGTGGGGTTAATTACCTTACGGCTTATCACCACAATACTTGGACACTCAGACTGCACACCCTTTGGAACTACCATTGGATGTCGAAGTCCTTTCATGTGCGACTCCACGAGGGGCGAGGAAATGGCGTTGGCAATATCTTTCCACTTGTATACCTATTCAGGCAAGCGTAAGCATAAGCTGAGTAAGCGGTGAATCCCAAGTGACCCAAACAGCAGTTTGCAGGTGGCAGTCGCGCAACGATAATTTTAGGTTGCAGCATGTGATGGCACAGCCTCCACCTCCGCCTCATCTGCACTGCCTTTGCCGGACGCTGCTTGTTTGATGACACTGCCAAGAGGGTAACATTCACCAGTAGCCCTGAAAGCTGGCTCAAAGACAACGGCGGTAATACTCTTGCGGTATTTCCCCATTCACACGATTGTCTTGTTGTACAAAACCTAGCTTTGCATCGTTCTTGAATCCACATCACACTTCGAAGCACAAAAGGATAGTCAATCTTGTGCTTGCTCATTGACTTCGACTCAGGGAACAGGTGCGGATATCATTTACGACTTTCACAGTCGCCATTGAACAACTGCAAGATACTTTGTGGTCCTCAACATGGGTCTGTTTAGTTCAAACAAACCTCCACAACCACCTCTACCAACCCTTACAATTCATCTCTACAGCCCGGCCGAAACGGTCTTCAAGCCCAACGACCAAGTCTCAGGCCACGTCATACTCACGCCCATCGAGTCGATAAATCCACGCGCTGTCGAAGTCTCCCTGTTCGGACAGTCGCTTGTCTGGCTCCGGACTTCTCACAGCAGCAGCAACAACCACACATCGTACTATCATTTCCGAGATAACGCACCCCTATTCGAGGTCACGACCGATGTACTGCTGAACCGTGGACTGAATAGTAACCAGTACTATCACAATTCAGTCGGCGCATATGTTCAACGCGACGAGAAGAGTCCGCCTGATACAGATGACCTTCAAGCAGGCCAGGTGTATACGTTTCCTTTCAGTTTCCGCTTCCCAGAAGGGACGGGTAATAGTAGGGTCGCAAGCTACAAGAAATCAGACGATGCACGGTGGACCGTCGGACCTCACAACCTGCCACCGTCGTTCTTTCACGGGTCCAAGTATGCGCACGATCTTGATGACGCGGACTTTGCGAAGATTGAATACGGCATCAGGGCAAGATTGATTTGTCCCGGCACCGGTATCGTCATCGGCAAAGAATTGAAAGACCTGATCACCACGATCCCGATTTCCTTCGCGCCACCGAATACGCAATCCACTCTCCCTGGGCCCTTAAGCGTACTCAAGTTCCCGAAGACCTTTACCCTCCACAGTTCCTCGCTCTCTGGCCAAGAAACGATCGGATTCCGACAGGGCATGCGTGATAGATTCTCATCAAGCACGCCCACCCTTGAGTTTCAAACCAGTCTCGAGATCCCAGATCTGCTGACTTGCGGTTCGGAATTCCGCTTCCGCGCCGCATTTACCGTGCTCTCAAAGTCGGACAACGTCGTCAAGATCCCATCAATCCACTTCACTATACTGAAACTAGACTTGCTGGACTTCACATTCACGCGTGCGTCGCGCGACTGGGAAGCATCTGATTCCCGGGACGGTCATTACCGCAGCAACAACAACCACAAATACGAGACCATGCCGCCGCCCGACGCTCCTTATTCGAAGCAGGAACAAGTCGATTATTCCGAGCGCAAAGAGCCTCTGAACGCCCTCCCGCAGTCTGCGACGCTTGAACTTCGGGAGGTACTCAATGAGGATAGGAAACAGATGGAGCAAGCGGGTTATGCTGAAGTATGGTTCACGGCACGGGTGCCTGGGTTCACGCCTCCGGGCTTCAGGAGCTTCGCGGTGAATAGAAGTTATAGGGTGAAGGCGAAACTTGGGGTTGAGGTTGGGGGGAAGAAGTTTGAACATGAGGTTGAGAGTAGTGTGAGGGATATGGGTAGTGCGCCCTCGTAGTGCGGATACTTGGGGATGTACAGACTGTGAGATGTGCAGGCTATGCGTTCTTGCGGATGTTTGCTGGCGGATGCGTAGGTGCTGAAGTATTATGGGAGGCAGGGATGTTGATACCCTTTTTTCATGTATGTTTATGTCGGGTTTGAATGGATAATTTCTTGAAATTGAGTTGACACGCGTTGGTGAAATATAATATCTGCCATAGAGCGCGTCTGACAAGAATGATGGATCTTCATAACATAGTAGAGTGCAAATAATTGATATATATTCACCACATCCCCCACTCTCCACTATCCATGCACCCCCCTAAAGCCTAAAAGCCCCCGTATTACTCGACAGCAAAGTCGCCGAATCCTGCCTAAAAGTGTCGTCGGTCAGACTATTGCTATTCGCGCCAAAAGTGAGCAACTTCCTCGCCTCGCTCCACCGCGGCCACGCCGTAAAGTCATTCCCGACATTCGGATCCAGATTATACACAAACGAGAAGTAATAGCCCCTCGTAGTCTTCGCCGCGTTATTTGGCAAAATACCATAAAACGTCTGCAGCAGATCCGAGCCGTGGAAGGTGCCTAGGATCGGGGTGCCATAGTCGTATGTAGAGAGGTAGGACCACGACGGCACGCTGGGGTTAGCCGTGTTTGCCAGGTCGAGGAACAAGCGGCGCGAGAGCGTGAAGACTGCGTCGCCGACGAGGGCGGAAAAGCGTTTGAATTGCGGGGAGATGTTGTTGAAGAGGCCAGTGCGGAAGGGGGAGCCGTCGACGAGGGTTTCGGGGTATGAAGCAACGAGCTGGTCGACGAGGGCGGGGGAAGCGTTGTTGAAGTAGAGGGTTTGGAGGTGTGTGGAGAGTTGGGCGGTTGTGGTGATGTTCTGGGTGAAGAGGCCGAAGAGGGTGCCTTCGTCTTCTTGGTCGCCGACGATGAAGGGCACTTTTGCGTATTTGTTGGCTGCTACGAGGACTTCTGGGGAGGAGGTGAGGACTTTGCCGTCGGGCCGGGGGAGGTACGATAGTGCTACTGTGGAGTAGGAGAGGATGCCTGGTACGGAGTTTGCGGCGTTCAGGAACTTTGCGTAGGGCAGGGCGCGGAGACAGGCGAGGGTGTCGGAGGAACTGGCACAGCCGGCTTCTTGTACGACCTGGGGATTTGTTAGGATGATGTACTAAGATTTGTTTGCAGTGCGGGATGTCTTACCTTGTCGTAGACTACTTGTCCCTTTGGACAGTCTACAGGGTCTGTCGGCGCGATCGATCCCGAGTTCATGATTCCACCCCTGAACAGTGGTTTGCCATTGTACGTATTGTCCCCATCATACATGACCATCTGATCCAGAACGGAAATCGCCCCAGCGCTCTGCCCCCATATGGTAACCTTGTCAGGGTCGCCACCAAACGCCGCGATATTATCAGCAGTCCATTGCAAACCCAGTCGCTGGTCTAGAAGTCCCAAGTTGGAGGATCCATCAGCTAGTATTTCTTTCCCTGGCATGAATCCAAAGCCGCCAACACGGTAGTTGACTGCCACGAATATCACGGGCTTCCCTTGCGCAACCGATTCCAGCACAAGTGACGTGCCATCGTACATGGAGGTAGAACCAAGCTCGAACCCTCCACCTAAGACCCAGAGCAGAACAGGCAGCTTAGCATCTGCTTTTGTGCCCGCAGGCCTCTGGACATTGACGGTCAAGCAGTCCTCCCCTTGGTTAGTAACCGTCTGAAACAGCGGCGTGTTGAGGAGCAATCCAAGTGTGTTACCCGGGAAGTTGGATTCGTCGACACTGAAGTAAAGCTGCGGACACGCTGTAGGAATTCCCGTGCCGTCGATCGACCCGAGAGCAGAGGTCAGAGGCTGGGGTGGTTTGAGCCGCAGCTGACCGACTGGCGGTTGAGCGTAGGGGATGCCATTGAATGTCTCGACGTTGAGTAGACTCTTGCCTGCGACTGTGGCTTGTGGTGATGGTGCGATGACTGTAGGAGCAGCGCGTTTGTCGATAGGATCAGCGCGCTTTTCGAGAGGAGCCGGAGCGGCGAGGGCTAGAGGTAGAAGGGCGAGGAGCGATGTGACCTTCATAGTGGGCGAATGTAGACGTATATCCCCGGCTATTTCTCTTATTGGTGAAGTAGAGAGAGAGGAGCTGAATCCAATAGCTGCCTTGAAGAAGTTCCGTGTGACAGCGTAGCTTTATATCCTCGTCCTAAGCCAGCACAAATTCTAGTACATGACCGCCGTCCCGCAGACTGCCCGGATAAAAACAAAGTCGAACAAGTCCAGGTGATGTTGACGGAGCAGATTCTGACTACGGCCCTGCCGTTTGTGCAGAGACACCCATGTGAGGCTGGCATCCCCAGTCGCCGAATAGCAGATCTCACCCCCTTACGTTGTGTAGCCAGTCCTGCGGTGTTCCCGCAATTGCGGGGGAAAAACTGTTATTTCTGTCCTAAACCATGTTGCTTCCGTAGCTCTAGTCAGGAGAAATACCCTAAGTTGGGATAGCCTGTCGAGAATGCGTCCGTCGCTGCTAGTGTGGTGTGGAGGAGGACATCAGGTGGACCGCCGGTGCAATCCATCGACGAATCAGGTCGGCCCTTCTTTTCTTGAAATGCATGTGAAAGACCGTTGGCGTTTACTGTTTGTCTCCTGCCCTGTCGATCGCGATGTTGTCCTAAAACCCTCAATACAGATGACGTGTAAAGATAAGAAATGCCATGACGGCGTTGCCACGCAGGAGGATCAATACAACAATCGCCCTCGTGCTGCTCCTTTCATCTTGCAAATCCTCATCTCGGGCTAATAGCCGGGGTATGCATGTATACTCATGGATGATTTATCAATGTCCGTGTCCCTTGGTACGGACATGTTGCCTTTCACGGGCTCTTCGCGGGGAAAACGCGGGGTAAGAAAAGCACGACCTGACCCAGGAACCTCACTTAATCAAATTTCTTGCACTAAACATCAGAGACTGAACCTACGTACGAGTGGAAATAGTTATAGGAAGCCGAGGCAGGATTGGGGTATATCGTGTGAATTTCTCATGTGAGAGCTGGAGGATGGCGATTCGCTCGTAGTGCTCTGGACGTTTGTTCCAGCCGCCGACCACACCGGTGACATCCTGGTTGGGCGATCGGGTTTAATTGTGAATTTCCTGGATACGCATTACGGCCGTAGAGTTGTAATGAGGACTGGAAGGGAAATGGTAGGAATGTATCGAAGGTTCCTTCTGTTTGTCTTTCGTTACTCTTTCTCTAGACCACCATGAGTAGGACGTACAACGAGATGTAATAATGTATTCTTAATGGATAGCGATGCGCCGCAAAGCCTGTACAGAATCGAAACTCTTTCGCAACGCTATCAACTCACCATCCAGACCTCTACTTGCATAAACACAAACTCAAAAACTCATACGCATAGTCATTCATGATCCCAATCGTCAGTCGTCCAACTCCGAATCCTAGTCCGTCTGCTGACTTGCCCTCTCGTTATCGAACGTGGAACCATACCGATATCGATATTGCACCTGCTCATTCAGACGGATTAATATGCGTGTTCTTCAGGTTCAGAGGCTGAAGAGAATATTCTGGTTTCTCAGTCCCAGGTTCTAACTTGGGCGTGCCAAGCCCGGGCGTAGGACTTACGGCGCCGCTTGGAGCGACGGGGATCTGGATGTCTTCGGGACTACCGGGAACCATCTTTTGGGGAAGATCGGGTATCCTGATGCGTTTTGCGACATTATTGTAGCTTGAGGGAATGATCTGGGGAGATTGTTAGCGCGGTGAAGTTAACGGAGTTGGGTAGGTAAAGAGCTCACTTCGATAATCTCGTCGCGGGGAAACTCAAGCTTGGGGATGTCGGCTGCGTTGCATGCCATCAAATAACCGTAGAGCACGCGTAGAACAGATTCGTGGGCGATGATGAGCAAGTCATTCTCCTCACGTTCGAGTTCGAGGATGATGGGTTCCATACGGACTGCAAGGTCGTGGTAGGACTAATGTATTGTTAGTATTGTATCTGTGCTGACGAAGTTAATCCTCACCTCTGCTCTTGGGTATCTATGGTGATAGGGATCAGCCTCATGCTTCTTGACCTCATTGGGGAAATCTTGTCGGATCTTTTGTTCTGACATCTTCTCACAGACGCCGGGATTCATTTGGCTCATCTGTGACCGTTGTCGAACACGGTATCCCATCGCCGCAAGATATTCTGAGGTTTGAACGGTACGCCGACGAGTCGAGGTCCATATTGTGAGTGGTTTCAGCGCAGCATCCGGCGCTCCTTGATCGATCAACTTCTTCCTCTCTTCTTCACGGTACGCCAGCAGCACGTCACTCATCTTCTTCGCGTAATCATGTCCTTCTGGACACAAACTTGCATCGGCCTTGTACGAGTCCTCCTCACGTGTGGTTCCAGCACGCGCAAAGTATGTCTGCCGAGACTTGATATGCAGGTTGAGGAGGTAAAAGACAATTCGTTGTGATAGATATCCGAAGGCGCAATTGTTGACGACCACTCGCTCCCCAGCGTTGATCATTTTAATCCAATGCAGGTCAGGCTCCTCCATAGTTTCGTAGTGTGGTATCCGCGAGTTTATCCTCGCCAGGTAGTCCTGAACCGCATCCTCGTCCTTCCAGCCTTTGTAGTCAGGAGACGAGATTTTGACTCGACGAACGTTTTCCTGGATTATGCGCTCATCCGTGCAGTGTGATTCAATGAAAATTGTCTGAATGCCATTCTTGGCAAACTCCTTGGCAAGCGACCTGCGGCCTTGAGTGATAGCGTTTACCGCATCATAGATGGCGATTTGACCTTTTTCGTTCTCTAAGAAATGGTAGATGTCGTCGCGGCATTTCTTTAGGATCTTGTTTCGCAGAAGCACAGATTGCGGTGATGCGTTCAAGAAAAAGTAGTCGTCGGGTACATCTGTTTCAGGGCCAAGCGTAGCGCGACGATAGTCTCCCAAGTGAAACACGTGAGTCTTGACACCAAGCCAGCGTAAATAGCGCGCAACAGCGACAGAGGTGTGTGTCTTGCCTCGCGCAGGCAGACCAACGGTAGCAATAACAATGCGCCCAGAGTGGAAGAGTCGGCCAGATTCCGTGCTGTAAAGTTGGGCAGGGGCCATTTCCTCCTTCTCAGGCATATCATGGATGCCATCGACGAAAGTACTCGACCGCCGCCGAAAGCGGGGCGAGTTGGCGTAGATCTCCGCCGTCCTGGTAAACTGTGAGTCTTCAAGTACCAAACGTCGAGCTTCGATGCCTCTACTACAGCTCAAGGCGGGGTAATTGCACTTACAGTAGGGTGTCCATGTTTGCAAAACAATTTCAAGAGTCTAGAAACAAGAGGAAAATACACAGAGGTCAAGAAGGAAAGACAGGCACAGCCTCGAGATTTCAAAATGGAAGGATGAGGTTGAGGTGGTTCCAAAGCGCCGTTCACTTCCGAACTGGGGTTCCGGGCCTGATATGTGTTTGCCGAGCAATGCCAGACAAGGTGCGGCAATTGGCGAAGGATGACTGTGCAGCGACACACAGAAGCAGAGAATGTCTCGATTGAGTCTGAGGATTCGGTAGCAGTGCAGGAGGAAGCTGCACAGAGAAAGGGAACAATGCCAGCCGTATCTGCTATCGGTACCCTAAAGGTATGACGACTGGGCTGTTAGCGTGGGCTTAGTCATCGCATGGGAACATTTTCAGAGGGCACGACTGAGCATCATCACGACGAAGACGACGAAGCGACCACGCCGGACTATCAGCCACCCCCGCCCCCACCCCATCCCGCTGACACTGCCATCTCGTCCTGTGCACGGCGACGATTCGTACGAGGCTCCCCACACACACTCTAATTTCATCATAGCCATGGCCGCCGTGGAGGTGATGCCCACCAAGGAGCAAGCGGTCGACGACGTGCTCTCCCACAACGGCGCCTACGGCCGGCTAGGGGATGTCTACCGGGCATTTCAGGAGCGGAGAGAGGCATTGGGGCTGTCCAATCCCGGTGTGGTAGAGAGCATTGCGCGCGAGGTGCAGCGCGATGTCTTCCTGAACAACTCGAGCTTCTCTGGCCTGCGGGCCGAGCTCACCAAGGCCTTCAGCGCCGCCCCGCTCTTCCAGGTCGCCCACTCGCTGTCCATGGGATCGCAGCTGCAGCCGCCCTACTCATACATGGTCCTCTACGGGTCGCCGAGGGTGCGTTGCCATGCCCTGTCCCAGCACTGCAGTGCCTGGTCGCTGACGTCGACTAGATTTTCATGCAGGGCAGTCTCGACAATGACCTGCAGTTCTCCGGTCGCTTCAACTGGCGCTGGACGTCGGCCCTTGTCAGCAAGACGGCCGTCCAGCTCACATCGCAGGGCAACATGGTCTCGCTGGAGAACGACTACACCGGCGCCGACTTCTCCGCCTCGCTCAAGGCCGTCAACCCCTCCCTCCTCGACGGCGGCATAACCGGCATGATCATGGCGAGCTACCTGCAAGCCGTCACACCAAGGCTGTCCCTCGGCATCGACGCTTTCTGGAGCCGCCCCGCCACCGCATACCCACCAGAGCTCAACGTCTCGTACGCTGCGCGATACAGAGCTGCCGACTGGATGGCGTGCGGACAGATCATCCCGGATCGCGGGGTGCTAGAGGCCTCCTACTGGCGCAGGCTGACCGACAAGGTCGAGACGGGCATCAACTGCAACCTCGCCTTTGCCGGCATCGGTCCTGGAGGCCCCATGGCAGGTCCCCAGAAGGAGGGCCAGGTCACCATTGGTGCCAAATACGACTTCCGCCAGTCGTCCTTCAGGGCGCAAATCGACAACCAGGGCAAGGTCTCGTGTCTGCTGGAGAAGATGATTGCGCCGCCCATCCGCGTAACTTTCTCTGGCGAGATTGACCACAAGCAGGGCCCAGTAAGTGAACCCCCGGAACACGCCGCGCATGTTGCACAACTGACAACCCCACAGCAAGCTGCCAAGCTCGGTCTGGCCGTCGCGATAGAAGCCGCCGACGAGGCTGTCATGGAACAGCAAGAGATCCCCGGCGCCGCTGTCCAGGCTGGCGCAATCCCCTTCTAGACGCCGCGTCTGAAGATGACATGTACTGACTATACTCCCATAACTCTTCTCTTTGCTGTATTATCACTTTTCTGGAGCGCGTCTAGTTTTCGCTCTCATGATATCCGGTGGAACGATTGGTTAGGGTACTGCATGAGCGAAAGAACACCATCTCATCAACACGTTTGAGCCGAGCTGAAAAAAAGGCGCTTTGTCATCATCTAATGGGCTACGCATCTGATAGATATGGAAACGACGCGATTGTGTGTGTGTGTGTTTGTGTTGTCGCCAGATGGAGGGTGGCATGTTTTGTACGTATATGATGTGTGGTGGTGGTGGTTGGTCGTAGCATAGCGTGCGCGCTTAGAATCTGATGTACAACAATCATGGGATAGACGACTGTTAGTGCGGGTGTGAAGAAGTGCACTAGCGAGCGTGACGCAGTGTGGGGGACGGCATGAGGGTCCGTTGGGATGCGAGTGCGACGCCTTGCATTGGTGAAGAGTCGAGAATATAGTACAAGAAATCGTAGAGAGATCGCTCCCTCGATTTGTATGGTGTACATAGCATAGCATAACATTCCATGCTTCGTTTCCCTCATCATTGCACCTCCTCTAGTAAAACAAATGCGAGAAATCCCGGCGCCAGTCGTCAAAGCGCTATCCATGCAAGCTCACCATATACGATCGAAGACGCAGCATCTCTACAACGCAGGCTTCGCGCCCTGCGGCTGTCCCGGTGTCGGTGTACCCGGCGCCATGAACTAAACCCACACTGTTAGCCAGCGTACTCCGGTACAATGCAATGCCATGTCCCAAAGACACAAAAAAAAGCTCAAGAACATACCTCATTCTGCGCCCGCTGGTTCATAATCTCCTGCCTCTCCTGCTCGACAATCATCTGCTCCTCGCTGTACGCCAGCGCCCACGGCACGCCCAGCAGCAGCGCGCTGGTGCTCACGACCCAGAGCGTCTTGCCGCCCATGGCCAGGCCCGACTTGAACCACGACGAGACGGTAGCGACTTTGGAGTTTACGGAGCGCCGTGTCGACGCGGGGATCATGTCTTGCAGGGCGGAGAGGCGCTCGAAGAAGTTTTCGTCCGGAGGGGCCGAGACGATGGAGGATGTGTCTGACTCTGTTGTGGAGGGGTTAGTCTTGCGCTTTTCGGTGTGTGTATGTGTGTGTGTTGCGTATTAATTGTATGGTGGGGAGATTGTGTGCAGTGGCAGGGCTGAAATGTACCAGAGTCTGTGTCCCAGTCGTCGTCATCGTGAGGGCCGCTCTGCTCGCGAACAAACTCCTCGTCGACGACTTCCTCGAGCTTGACCATTTTGGCGGTGGGGATTCGGCGATTTGGTGGCTTTGGGGGGGTCGGGTTCGAGAGTGGTGGTGGTGGATGGTGGGTTGGTTGGTGCCGGTGGTTGATGTCGTCGCTGACGGAATGGAGTGGTTGCGTATCGCATCAAAAGTTCAGCGAGCTTGGCCCATGCCGGGGTTTCGCCGGGTGGATGACGAGCATGTGCACGCGACGGCTGGACTGGTTCACGAACATGCGTGATGTACTGCAAGAATAAAATGTCATGTTTTCTCTGAATGTGTGTCGCTGCTGGCTGTGAGAGAAAGTCATTATTCGTTGTCTTCGAAAAAGTCAGTCACTTCCTCTATGAACAATATTGAAGCACAGGATTGGATATTCTGGAACCACCCGCGCAAACAGTTATATATGTTCAAAAAATGTAGATATTGATTTTCATGAGCAGCAGGTGATGAAATAGAACAGAGCTCGTATTTCTCCAAACTCTCAATGTACCAGATGAATGTTACGATAGCTCTGGCTCATCACATCGCCTAATATATAAGTCTCTTCACTATCATTGAAGTATCACCCCTTCTTTCCATCGATACGACGACGCCAATACTCGGGCTGCTATCTTCTACTCCTCTAATTTCCTCATACCTTCTCCATCAGCCCAACATGCTCCTCTTCCGCCCTCTTAACCGCACATCCGCCAGCCTCCTTAGCACTGCTTTTGCGCCCTTGTAGCTCCCTCCATATGCACTCAGGACTTCCTGGAACAACGGTTCTGCGGCGGGGTGTGTTGCCGCGAACGCGCGTTCAAGCACGTAAAGATCAACAGCGCGATCTTCGTCTGCTATTGTAGAAGTTGTGAGCCCGAAGTCGATCAGGTATATATCTCCAGCGAGAAAGTGTGGAGGCGGAGGTGGTGATGGCGGTTCGATGGAAGGAGGATCTATGCCACTCATCGCTGCTTCTCGGAGCGCAGATGGTGTTGGACGGCCTGCCGGTCGCGGTGGAGGCGTCGATGGAGGAGAGGGTGTCCGTAACATGATATTACTCGTCGTCAGATCCCCGTGACACACGCCCAGGTTGTGCAGTTTCCCCACCTCACGTCCCACTCTGCGCATAAGGTCCAACATTTCCTCCTTCCCACTCCCATTGCTCTCTTCTCCCCCACCGTCCTCCTTCGCATGTTCTTCTGCCCACCCATCCAGCACCTTCCTTACAGTTTTTCCCTCTACAAACTCCAACACTAACCACCCCGCCTCTGGATCCGCACCTAGTACCCCCGGAACGTTGACGCCCTCTTTCTTCACGCGTACTAAGCTCCTCGCTTCCGCCAGTAATCGTTGTTTCGTCAATCGGCGGTCGAGAGTGGGATGTCTGTAGGGTTTTGGCGGCCGATATTTGACAACGACTGGAATATGTGGGGTGAGAAAGGTAGTTTTGTAGACGAGAGCTTCCGCGCCTTGGGTTATTTGCGTAAGGTTTTGTGACGAGAAGGGCGGCGGGAGAGTATGGAGGGGGAGAGCGGTTTCCGGGGGTGAAGGAGGAATTATTGGTGGGACGGTGGAGGGTTCCGTCATTTTTGTACGAGGCTCGACGGCGCGAAGGTGAGCTGGGATCGGTATATGGTGGTTGAGAGGAGAGCGTCGTGGACGGGAAAGTTTCGTGTTTGTGTTTACAGGTCGAAGCTGCCCCGCATCGTGAACGACTGCTCCACCATGACGCTGCTCCACAACACAACCAGCAGCATACCATTCTTACGCCATATATAATTTCCACTTGGCCAAGACATATATGAGCATAATTTCTGGCGTCGCAGAACAACTGCGGTTGGCGCATACATCAAGTCATAAGCTACCCTAAAATATAGTCCTCAATTTGTAGAACGGGGATCAACCTAATTCTTCTCCATTGATTGCGTCGATGTTACTTGCTTGAATATTGACAAGTAAGTTAAGACTCGTCAAGCGACACAGGCTCCAGAGCGAGAAAAAGTGAACTACATTTATGAGCTTCCAAGCTCACACACAACCACAGACGAACAAAACAGACAACAAACGCCGTTCCAACCTACCAAATATCTCCTCGTACGCGGGCAACTCAGAACCGAAAAAGTGCAACTAAATGGACCAATCCCTATGCCATACCCTACCCTACCCATCCAACACCATCTCATTTCTCACTTCTCAGCCGCGAAACAACCACCATCCCCTTCTCAATCTACCTATCAAAACACCCCATCTACCCACCAATCGCCGTGAGACAACAATAGCAAGGCGACCCCAGCCCTACCTACCACTCCAATCAAATCCCCCACGCGAGAAACACGTTGATCGCCGTTGCACGTACACGTCGATCATCAAACGGTTTGACGCCGCCGCGACTCAAGAAGATTGCTCGAGGAAGCAAGCCATCCGTTCGGGAGCCGTTGATCGACGAGCTTGGACTGTACTGGACTGGCACATCTTATGAACATCTTATGAGGATTGGATACAGACTGAACAAAGAGTTGAGAGATTAATTTACGCACGTTATCTTGTAGTAATACATCACAGCGCTCAAAAACAATATATACTTGAGTGAAATGAGTGTGATAGCATATGTAGGTCCTTCCACCTATATAAACCTACTCATACGCTTTCCATTCCATTCCATTTCTTTCCTATCCTTTGCATTTCCAACTCCGTTGCATTGAAATCGAATCGTACCACCCCCACTCCACTCACTCCATCCTACAACAGTAGAGAACGAACAGCGCAAACATGCCCCCCCCTCTTTCAATCGCTAGCAAAGAAAAAAATAGCAACAATGCTCAAGGAGTGCAATGAGTCTCCAGCCACAGGCGCAGAGCTCGTCGTTGTCCGCGGCAAATCTCCATGTCGGATGTGCATTTGTGTCCATTTCTTGCTGTGGGGCTCCCCAGAAGGTTCAAGAGCAAAAACAGATAACACAAGAGAAGCCATCCGCATGCTCATTAAAAATCAGTTGCGTAAATGTTCGGGACAAGAAGTTCAAACAAGAGGATCTATCTCAGTCATGGCATGCAAGACGTGAGAAGAGACGAAGGGTAATCGTAGGACCAAAGTAGGCGCAGAACAGGATCCACCACATGCACCACTCCGCAAAACAGCAAGGAAATGGTCGTAAAAGGGCCGTAAGAATTGGGCATTCAAATGCTGCCGCAGGAGATCATCTCCCAATGTAATTGATTTTCCTAAAATAGTGTGCTCTTTCGCTTCTCGGCGCTGGTGAGAATGAGCCTGGGTGTACCTGCGCGAATCTCGACGAGACCACCTCCGGTAGAAGCACCATCATCGCTGCTCACACTGCTGGCAGTGTAAGATCGATTGACGGAGGCACGGTCACAAGAGCGCTCCTTCGAAGCCTGACGCTCTGAGCCGATCGCACCGTTGGCTACCGCGCGGAGGCTGCCAATGCTAGGCCTGCCGGAAAGGCTGCCACTTCCACCACTGCGACCGCTGTCGGATTCGTTGTCAGATGAGGGGAACGTCTCGCTGACAGGAGAGACGCTGCCGCTACCGTCTCGGTGACCACGACGGCCAATGCCAGCGCGTACGAGATTGCTCACAGCCTGTCGTCGTTGGCGGGTAGCAAAGTTCTTGCTGCCCTCATGCTTGGTGGTGGGGCTGGCCTTGAGCTCATCGATGGAGGGAGGGCCGCGGGGCTGACGGATCGGGTGTTCTCCGGCTCGTGCTTGACCGGGTCCAAATGTACCGGTCATTGGAGTAGCTGGGAAGCCGACGGGACGGATAAGAGCAGATCGGGGACCATCGGACGTCTGAGCGGTCGTATCAAGAGCAAGAGAGGACAGACCCTTCTTGTGGCCTCGACGGAAGGCATTCGCGGAAGGTGGTGGGAGCGGGACAACGTCCTGAGGCGGCGTCCCCGACTTCTTGGGAGGAGACACACTGCGCGAACCCCATGGGCTAGGATTGACCTCGTTGGGAGGGGACACGTGGAGAACTGGCGTGTCGAGCTTTGGTGGCGATGGTGCGAAGCCCGGAGTCGGCGGGGGCGGAGATTGCGACATGTTGGACTGCGCATGCATGTCGTTCTGCTGGAAGCTAGGGTCCACAACGTACTGGGACTGGCCGGTCATTTGGTTGTATACGAGGTAGATGCCGGGCTGGCCGGTCTCCTGGATCAGCGGGGTGTTCTGGAGCTGCTGGCCGTACGCGTTCACTTGTGGTGTGTACTGGTTGGAAGCAAACTGCTGCGCCTGACGCATGCCACCGTTGATGTTCATGCCCCCAAACTGCTGCGAGGTCAAAGCGAGAAGTTGCTGCTGGAGCTGCTGCTGCCTCTGAGCGAGGTACAACTCGGTAGCCAGCAGCTGAGCCGCGACGTTGGGATCCATGTCGCCATCGTCGAATTGCATAGAGGGAGGGGCCAAGACTTGATCGTAGATGTTATGCTGTTGCTGCTGTTGCTGATTGTGCTGCTGATTGTACTGGCTGGTGCTGGGGAAACCAGATCCAATGGCAGTCTGGGGACCGCCCTGGTTGGCTCCAAAGCCCTGCCTCGGGTAGCGGTTGCCAGGTTGAGGACCAATGTTGTGCTGGCGCTGGTTGTACGGAGCCGACGCGGGAGGCATGGCTGACGTGGGCGTCTTTGGGGCGGTGCGGAGGCCAGCCAGGAGATGAGAGCGGCTCGTGCGGGGCGTCGAGGCCTCGTTTTCAGCAATTGGGGCAACCTTTGGTGCCGAGGCGACGCTGAGGCGCTTGAGCGCAGCGCCCTTGCCTCGAGATGCAAAGCTCGACGACGGCATGCCAATGCCGCCGGCCTGGAAGTTGTTGTAGGACATTTGAGCAAGACCGCCTGCGTCCATGCTCATGGTGGGTGTGGAAAACGTGGGGAACAAAGGGTAAGGCTGCAACAAAGGAGCGGGCTAAGCGCGCTCGAAAGGATACAGAATGGAAGAGGAGATGCGAGGGCAAGCAGAGATGGAAGCGGCCGAGAGATGTACAGGCGTTTGCTCAAGGCAGACGCGGGACCAGAGGGCGATTACGTGATTAAGGATCGTTGTGATCGTGGTGTAAGGTAGAGTATTGGATCGAAAACCGGCCGATGGGCGATGTAATGCAGTTGGGGCTATTAACAGGAGTCTGCGGCTGTGGAGTCTGTGGGGGCGTCTTGTCGAAAGCAGCAGGCGCGAGTCGTGCAGAAGCTCTGGACAGGACGGGGCAGGACAGACAGACAGAGGCGGACAGGAGTCGGCTGGCGGCTCTTCTCACAGACAAGAGCGACGAGGCTGGCGCGTGCTCACGAAAGAGAGGATTAGGATGGATAAGGCTGGTGGTAAGATGCAGAAACCGCACTGGGACAGAGAAGAGAGCGAGGGGTGAAGGGGAAAGAGCTCGGTGGGCCAGGAGAAGAGGTGACAAGCGACGGACGAGCGAGCGCTGGGCTGGACGAGGAGGCGTGCGCGCTATATCATGGATTCGGTGCTGTTCCCACCTTAGCGTGCCAGTGCGCCCCTGACTGACTGATCGCCTACAGCTATTTGAAACAACGGCAGCGCGATGATAGGCTCGCGATCAGGACGCCGTTTGCGTTGCAGAGGGCGTGGGAATCAGCGGTTAACGACACGTAAGACACTCTTTTGTAATCCCCACACCTCAATTTCACGCAAAATCCTCGATTCCAAAAAAAGCAATTAACTGAAAGTTACATTCTCCGCCCATCTGTCACTAAAAAAAGTTATTTCTCACCAAAATTGGCCAGGAAATAGAGGAGGAATATGGTGTTTTAACCGGGGCAGGCAAATGCCAAGAAAGTCTATACTTAGTTGAGAAGTTAGCTCGTATCAGCGCTATTTAGCTGATTGAACGGGGACTTAGCGCCTCTCATGTGCGTGCTCGTTAACCGCTGCCCATGGGAATGGATGACGATTTGCCGATCCCCTCTTGGTAAATAGCGCCTTACTCCTTTGAGCCTAGACTCGTGGACCTCGCTGTTTGAAGAGCGGGTTATTTTCGTTCTTTCTAGCTTTCCTAATACGTGCTAGCTCATTTTGATGTTGTTTCTTCGTTAGTGGACGAGGAAGAGGAGGAGGCTGCTTAGTCCGACGAGCCCGAGGAGCCTTCTTTTGCGCACCCAACCGAAAGGAGTTCCGTTGGAGATGCAAACCAAGCTCTTGGTACAACCCAGCCGCTGGTCGATCACCAGCAAGCTCAACATATCCGCCCCTGATCCATGCCTTGGATTCTTCTTTATAATCGTACACCAACTGGAATAGACGTACAAGAGCTTCAGCAAGCGAGAGGTCTCTTGCAGCGCTGCGGTCTGCAAGGAACATGTCTGGACCGTCATCGACCTGACGTTTTGGTATAGCTTCGAAAGCTGTACACAGGCTTTGAATACTTGCATAGATTGTTGCTAGAGAAGAATCCGCGCAAGATGCGAGGGCTGGTAGGTAATCCAAGACCGCAGAGGGCCTTGGAATCAATAAACAGACATCGATTGAGAATCCTGGCCAGCGCTCTGATAGTTTCTTCCATGACTGGTTGTTAGTACTGAGCCCATCTGCACCCGTACCCACAACTATGACGTGAAGTGGTATCCCGAGTTGGTGGAAATGATCCATGACACGTGAATGTAAAGCTTTGTGTTGCTCCACAAGTAGGAAGTCGTTGCTTGAAATACCCCACATGTGATGGATTATATGGCCGTGCTCGCGAGGGTAGAAATTGTCGAGGTCAGCTGCCGTGTAAGGATGTGAAGTTACACCCGTAGGAATTGGGACGCGGTCGTTGAAGGCCTCGAGAAGTTGACGCCCCCGCTCCAGTAAATGCATGGCCTTTTCATGATCAGGATTGGAACTGGCCCTTATCTGTACAATTACCAAAGTCCTTTGTAATGGTTGTTGCTCACCTTTCGCGCTTACAATCATTAACGGTATTGGCTCAGCAGAACTCCTGTGGTATTTCCCTGTCAACTCTGTCCACTTGATTCCAGATAAAAAGACGGATTTAAAGCCGCTACCTTTCGTTTCTGATAATCTCCTACGGGTGTCTATCGTGTTTTCCAGTACTTCCCTGATTTTACTGTAAGGGGCCCTTCCGTTAGGGCATGTGAGCAAGTAGGAGATAACCACCTGATTTATTGTTCGTCTAGGCTGATTCCAGATGCATGTAGTCTGAGATCTAGAGGGTCCATACTTGGTCGTCCACAACGTTTTTTGCCGTTTGGCTTGTTCCACATCCAATTCAGTAGCTATGGGCAGTTTGGCCATCCAATCGATGGGTCGTACAGTAGACTTCACGTCGCAGTCGCCGACACTATCGAATTCATTGGAATTAGAGTCGTCGCCGACATCATCGACATCCATGAAGTCACAGTCGTTGTCGTCGCCGTCGGAGGAGCCTTGATACTCGTCGGAGCTATCATCGAAGGCGCCGTTGTCTTGGCCAACACTGGCCAGGTTTGGAGCAAACAAGTCCTGGTCGATTGCGGCCTGCACGCCATCTTGAACCAGTTGAATGTAACTCATCCGGATTGCTTCGCAGTCTCGCGTGGCGCCTGTGGTGGTGATTCTTCCATGGTGAAACAACTCGAGGGCGCATTCAAGGGCGAAAATACCGCAGTCGCTGCCGTTTCGCTGTGTTGGACAAGGTCCAAACTGTACCGTCCATTGATGGTTCTGCCACTGTTCCTGGATGTGCGGACTAGAAGTCATGGCTGTGATCTGATGCAAGGCCCGCCTCTCAGCGACGTCAGGTTTGTATCCCGCAGAATCGTAAATCAAGACGCGGCCGTCTGGTGTGGCAGTGCAGGTAACCCAGTGGTTTCTGTAGCCAAGGATCCAGATCAACAGCGTGACAGTAGGATCGAACAGGAACATGAGATACTGCTCTGCATCAGATGAACCGTCTTTGTTCAGCGGCTGATGTCGGAAATATTCGCTGGAGCTCATCGGAAACAGCACCCGGTTGTCGTACACTGTCCACCCAAGCGTGTCGGTAAATACGTTGCGAAACGGAGCCTTCATACGAGAGATGGCATGGAGGATCGAGTCGCACAGTTGACGGCCACTTGCCAGGCGCCGAACGTGCCTCATGTACACTGCGGTTTCAGGGGCGATGAAGCTGTCCTCTGAGATTGTGGTAAACTGATATTGCTCCGGGTACACCTTCAATTTGATGGAGTCAGTGCACCCACCAACTAACCTCTGGATTTGAGAGATAGCAGCTGCAGTTGGTGAGCTCGCTGCACTTTTGGCCATTTCCATGGCTTCCTGGGAATCCTCTACAGCTTCTCTCTCCGCTTTGGCAGTGTCGGGAACATGCGACTCCACGTCAATGGGATCTCCTTTCGTACCGTGGCCGGCAGGCTCGGATGTCGCACCAGAGGTTGGAGACAGTGCTAGTTGCACCAGCTCTGCTAGCTTTCTCGCCATTGAAGAAGACTGCTGTACGGACGCAGCTGGCAGGTTCATTGCCTGGAGTAGAGCAGGAAGGCAGCGGTCGGCATAATCCTGCACGCTCATGTTACTCTCGTATCGAGGGAGAGTGACTTCTGCAGGCGGCGGCACCGAAAAATCATCCAGTTCCATGGCCATGGGGAAATCATCGCTTTCTTGCTCGCCCGGCAAGTCGACCATTTGATCAGCCACAGGAGGTGACACAATAGTCACTTTATCTGACGAGGGAGTCTCCAAGCCCTGTCCATGCAGAGGTGACGATATCTTCGTCGGAGACTGCACGGCCTGCAAGGTTGAACTGCTCGTGCCAGGTCGACCCCAAAACTCAAATGTTGCAGGCCCCGTTTCATGGGTCTTGCGCATACGTTCCCAGGGCAGAACCTGCTTGACTGGAGGCGAGGGTATTTGGTTACCATCGCCGCTTTGCTTACGGCCCCTTGTGGATCCGTCATGGCTACGAGATGTAGACATGGTGTGTATAGGTGGAAGCTGGCCAGCAATATGGCGCAGCTAGAAGACCTTCCGAAGAAAATCTGTGAGTGAACCTTGAGCAAGCTCGCGGATTCTGTCTACTTGACACGGGTAGACGCCTGATTATGCTCCCCGAAGTTCAGTCATGGCTCATGGCAGCGTAATACTGCCCGCATTTCATCGCTTTGGAGATGAAGAGAAAAGGAGAGCAGCGAAGAGAAAAAAAGTGCATATGAGCGGCGGAGTGGGGCATCGCACGAGGCGCCGCCGCTGTTGAGGTAGGAGCGAAGAAGTCACGATGCGGCCGGCCAATGTCGCACACATCAACAGTGATCAACTGCTCCAAAGGGATGCAACATTCCAATTCAAAGTCTATAGAAAACCGTCTTCTAAACCACAATGTACAAAATCTTTCCTCGGTCTATCTTGAATTGTGCTGGACCACGTCACTGGGTTGCTGAGGCAAATGTGGCGTACTGCGAGTCTCAAGAGTGTGAGTGAGATTCTCCAGGGAACGGCGTTCAACCTACCGATATTGTACTTTACATCTTATGTCTCATGACTAGGGTTGTCGTAATAAATCTAGAACCGGTGTCTGTCCAAAATTCCCCAATGCCCTTCCTGAAGGTCAGTGGAACATTTTGAGATGACTACACATCTTCCTTACAACTACGTGATTGTCATATCCAACAATCGATTGAGGAGAAACAGACGTGAGTGAAGCGTCTCGTGGACAGGCATTCACATCTGTTAAGAGATAGTTGGAACTCTTTGCACGGTGACTTGATGATACTCGTTAACCGTACCAACAGCTGTCTTATACTCATCTCTTCGTTTCTCCGAGTTTATCTGCATCCGCTGCTAACACCGCTGTATGTACTGTGAGTTCGTGGTGAGCGCCTTCGTTTCAACCTGAAGTTCGTGGCACAACGCTCTGCTCGTTCTGACCAGCATCCTGACAAAATTATCGAAGGCCTAAAACAGGGAGATTCCGTTGTCGAGCTTGCATCCTAACAGGATTATCGAAAGCCTGAAGCAGGGAGATTTCATCGAGCTCGAGCTTGTGGAGAAGCTCAGAGAAGGTCTGGGGCTTATTGCTGGCGTTTGCTATGTTCTAACCATGCATCCTGACAGGATAATCGAAGGCCTGAAACAGGGAGGCTCCATTGAGCTTGAGCTTGTGGAGAAGCTGAGAGAAGGTCTGGGGCTCATTGCTGGTGGTATGCGGAAAGAATGTCCCAATCGAAGCGATGCGCTGGGCGGGCTGAGAACTGCAGGTTTGCAGAATTAGGTATTCAAGTCAGTATATGGTCCTATTGGTTGGCAGAAGACAAAAAGAGTGAAAGAATACTTGTATTGTTTCTTATCTATATTCCTTCACACCGCAATCAAGTCCCACATCCACCTTAAGAGGGTGAAAATATCCACTGGAAACGCGTTGGTGATTGTTTGGGTACGTCTAGGGGCTTTCATACGAACGGCACTACAGTCCTCCTTCACCATCCTATCCGTGACGGCATCAGTGAAAGCATCTTTCACCCCACACTGGGCTTCCTGGCGCCGGAGACCGGCAATACCTTTGGCCTAGGGCTTGGCAGCTGCCACAAACTCTCGAGGCCGCTCGCCCACACCTTTTTTTCCCCATCACAAACTGCACTTCTGACCGCGCCGTGTGCTTGCATACGCGCCTCCACCAGCTGACGCTCTCTGTGACCATTGATAGGTGCCCCCCGTGTAAGTGGGCTGTTTCTCGGTGCATCTCACCGAGATAGGTTTCTGAGCTCCGAATAGCTCAGCGAGACTTCCGTCTCACTCCCAATCTGTGGTCTTGTCTTCGGACTTGAACTGCAGTGCCGGAACCTGACTCAGCTTCGACTGGGCAGTACACCTGGGCTAATAACCTGGGTTCTAAGAGTGTCATATTGCTGGCCTCTTTCCACCTATACACACCATGTCTCACCGACATGCCTCCCCGGCCTCTGGCCCTTCTCCTACTGGGGAAGTATCTATTAGCGAAGCACAGGATGTGCGCAACTCCCGCGAGCAGTCCGTAACCATGCACGATGACACCTTGAAGTGGTCCGACGTGTCGTCAGTTGATGAGTCTCGTGGTGGGTCTTATGCCATCGAGGAAGATAAGGACATCATGCCTTTCGACCCATTAGTAGGTGAGGGCTATCATGAGACTGATGACATGGAAACCCACGTGGAGATCGAGCCTTCCAGCGCAGTGATGGGTGGTGACGAGCCTAGTGGTTCTGGTGCCATTCAAGAGGAAATGGAGATTGACCCTTCGGAAGAAGTCGTGCAGGTTGCGACTGGCGAAGACATGGAGATTGAGCCTTCGGCAGAAGTCGTGGAAGATGTGCAGACTGTGACTGGCGAAGACACGGAGATGGGTGATAATCCTGGGACTGGCGAATCCAAAGAGTTGCCCGAGCGTCCGAAGCACAAGGAGAAGAAGACGCAGGCAGTCCCTACTGTGCCTAAAGAGCATAAGCTGTTTCAGTTGAGCTCACTGCCTGCTTCGATCCGCAAGCAGATCATGGATCAGGACAGCGACATTTACGCTGATATGACACAGATCACTTCAACCATTGGGATGCGAACTGACGATATTTTCAGCCTTCGGGGCTCCGACACAGCCCCATCGCAGCCATCTTGGATGAAGAAACAGGGCAGGTTAGAATGTGTCCTAGGGTTTCGAGCGATGGAAGCCATGAGCACGGGCAATTTTGTCGGACACATCCACGAGCTTGCTCCGAAAGAAAAGGGCAAAGGTAAGCGGACTGCTGCTGCTGAACCAGCACCGAAGGTAGAAAAGGCGAAGGACGTCATCAAGGTCTCTTTCTGTTCTGACAGTCAGTCGCCAAACATCGAGATCACCACGCGAGCGGACGGTACCAAAGAGGGAGGTTCTGCGAGATTGATATCCACGCGCCTCTATCTTTCTGGAGATGTCGACTCCTCCTGGGACAACGACAAAACTGCAGCCATCAACACCTCGACCGAGCCTGTTGGTACTCACTTTGACGTTGTCGGTAAGTCAGGCAACACAGATATGGCTCACATGAGGACAATGGCCGACGAAAACAAGCTGTTTGCCTTGAACATCGGCCTCAAGCGAAAGCCTCAAGTATGGACCGGAGTATCTGTTGCAGAGGTTGAGAAGATTCTCGTTCGCTCACACAAGGAGGGTGAACTGGCAGGGACACTAACTCGAGATCTGATGGTCCAGCATCTCAACAAGTCGGATATGATGACGATCTACTTACGGGTTAGCAACCCAGAGTCAATGGCGCAGCTGGTAGAATTCGTTGACTATCTCAAGCGGGTCGGCGGACTGGCTCAGGAGTATGGCAATTTCTGGTACTACCGGCTACGACTTGCGAAGGCAGGGCTCAGCCCCGACGACCTCCTCAAGCCCGAGTTGCCTAGATACAACTTTCCCGTTCCACGCTGGTTAGTCACTACGTGGCAGTTCGAGGAGACGGTAGATAAGAGCGGAAAGGTATCGTATTCTAACCCACAGCCTTACTACTGGGTCCCGCATAAGGCCTTCCCGCAGTACCCGAACCCTGACGAAGCAGCCTTCCTACTGAAACTCGGCGTTTTGGGCGAACAAGCTCGACAAAAGCGAGCCCTGATGGAGCTTGTCCAGACTGGGGGTGAGACCCTTCTCCGGGGTATCTTCAAGAAGATGGACGACGACCAATCGTCTGGAACGTACATTGTCCAGGTCTTCCTATCCAACAATGCCCGAACGGGAGAACGCGGGATCAAGATGCCTGACCTTGGAACGAGGCTCCAGCTGGTCATTGATCTGGTTACACCGGCGGCCCCAACACCAGCCACACAGCAGAAGTTCCGTGGAGCAGTTACTGCAGACATGTTCCACAACAATGCTGCATTTGCCTGTGTGGTGAATGGTAAGCAGAAGGCTCTGAAGCATCTCAGTCAAGGCCATTCCTACCCGGTATGGCTCAGCTATGTCATCGACTCGGTCCCATTTGCTCGACAGATGGGTGGAGTGCAACAGGTTCAAGCCATCGATTCCTCCAACAAAGGTGACGGCATTGATCTCAAGGCACTTTGCTTGTTCGACGAGAATGTACCTGCGTTGTACACCAACGCTTTGGCTACTAATCTGGCTCCGATGTCAGCAGACTACAAGTCATACCTCGACGAGAAACCAGAGGGTAGCAGGTTGAACAAGGGACAGACGGATTCAGTCATGGCAGTTCAATCCTCTCAGTCTGGTCTGGTCGTAATTCATGGACCACCTGGTACAGGCAAGTCGACAACAGTGGATACCATAGGCCAAGCAATCGTCCCCCTAGGCTGCAAGGTCCTGTATTTGGCTCCACACAACGAGGCTGTGAACAACCTGTACGAGAAGTTCGACAAGACCGCCAAGCAGGATGCCCGCGTGCCACAGGAGTCTTACCTTCACTTCACCGGCGCATATGCAAAGGTCGACAAGATGAAGAAGGCAAGAGACGACAAGGCAAAGCAGCAGGCTGTGAACCAGGATCCGGAAATGAGCAGCGCGGACGCGGATGCCATGGCTGGCGCTGATAATCTAGCAATTCGCTACGCCCGTACAGCCCTCACCAACCAGTCAGCGACTCGAGACGTGGATTGGGAGTTTGGCAGCAAACTTCTCGGAATGATTGAAAAGTGGGCAAGCACTCCAGATCATCCTCAACACCATGATGCTCAGGCCTACGTCAAGTGTGGCGTGGACATTGGCTACATTCACGATCGCGAGGCGCGGCGAGAGAAGCTTCAGGATCTCGAGAACTTGGAGTGGAACCTTGGTGTGTACTATCTACGAAACCATGTCAATGTTTTGTTCTGTACAAACTCCACGTCGGCGCATCCTCTTCTTGTTGCGGCATTTGCGCCTCAGTTGATCATCATGGACGAGGCTGCGCATGAGTCTCTTGCCGGCATGATGGTGCCGTTCGGTGCATTTGCCCACAGCACTCTTCAGGTGATACTGGCTGGGGATCACAAGCAGCTCAAAGGTGTCTTCGCAGCCAAAGACTCTAATCTCGGGCATAGCATGTTGTCTCGCAACGTATTCCAGGAAGTTGCCGAGGATCACCGCAAACTTCACGACGTCCGTGTTCTCTACGAAGGCTACCGCATGCTGCCTGAACTCTACGAATTCACGAAAGGGTTCTATCCAGAATCCATGGGTCGGCCAGGTCTTGAGGCTCACGCGAGTTGCAAAGACATGTTGTCGGATCTACGTGCGATTGTGAGTATGTACTGGCAAGACCGCCTACGATCCTCGTACGAGGGCTCGCGTGTTCAGATCGCACTCGACGTCAATGGCAAGGATGAATCCGCATTCGGTACCACCTCCAAAGTCAACATGAAAGAGGCTGAGACCATTGTCTGGTTGATCAAGGACATGCTCAGTTATGTGCCCGATCCAAAGGTGCATGAGAAGCTGATCAAGAAGCCCCATCTTCAGACCGTCAGGATCACTTCGGCCTCTATTGGAGTTGTCTCTGCCTACCAAGGTCAAGCCATCGAGATCCGCAAACGACTGACACGGGAGAATGTGACCGACCAACATCTCATCATGGTTGCCTCAACGGGTCAGGCCCAAGGCAGGGAGAGAGACATAGTGTTCTTCTCAGTTGTCATCAACAATGGAGAGCTTCGACCAGGCCACGACAGTGTGGTTCCCATTGGGTTTACAGCCGATGACAACAGCATCAACGTCTCGTTCTCGCGTCAGCGTATTGGGCGATATGTTGTGGGTGGTATGCAGGCTCTGATACAGATGTCTGAGGACAGGCACAAGATCTCCCAGAGATACGGTAAGTTCTTCAGCTATCTCAGGTCGCTAATGATCAAGAACAGTGTGGTCTCGGCGGCTGAAATGAATTTCATCATGGACGCGGTAAACAACCCACAGCGAAATGGACCTCGGGAGGGAGATGGAGATTTGAATCTCGTCTGGTACTTCAAGAGCATGTGTCTGGAGAAGAACGTCATCGATGGTCAAGGTGGCTCTTCTAAGGCAGGCCCGAAGCCAGATCGCCCCCAACGGACAACCGACGTCCACCAAAACGCTTTCGGCGAAACTCCGAGGCCTTCCCTTTCGAACTACAACACTGTGCCACAGCCGTTGGATGCGGACTTTAGTGGTGTAGCTCAAGATGGGCTCGCACCACCACCCAAGAAGGCTAGGGGAGGTCGAGGTGGCGGCGGTGGAAATCGAGGCGGCGATGGGAGTCGAGGTGGCGGAGATCGTGGTCGGGGTGATCGTGGTGGTGGTCGGAGTGATCGTGGTGGTGGTGGTCGAGGCGGCGGTGGAGGTCGAGGCGGCGGTGGAGGTCGAGGCGGTGGAGGCCGAGGTGGCGGAGATCGTGGTAGGGGTGATCGTGGTGGCAGAGGAGGTCGAGGCGGCGGAGATCGTGGTCGGGGTGATCGTGGTGGTGGTGGTAGTGGTCAAAGTGCGTACAGCGTAGCCTGAGGATCTCGGTCTTCTCACAAGAGGTCTGTAAGGATCTTCAATACACGCACCATGTCACTGTTACAAAAATGCACGCTCTCATATGACCCCCAGAACAATTCAGTGTTGTGCTACGCGTTCCCACATCATGTCCCCTTTCACCAGTGCAACCAAATCCTCACTCGTCTCTTGTCTCGACATATATGTACAGCTAGATATCTCTACCTCTTTGCGGCATGTTTGGCTTCTTGAAGAGCACAACGTCACCGCATCAGTGCCTAGTGCCCAGTACCCAGCTCACCCCAGCTCACCCCAAAAGAACCCCCCCACAAGAACACACATCTCGGCGCCTCCTCGGAGCCACAGGGAACAATAGCAACCAGTTAACGGTTGTTCATCCCCAACACCACCAGTCGACACAACGAACAATGTGTACGCCCACAACAATACCTAGCAAAGTACGCACGCACGCACGCACGCAAGCCGCCATGAAGACATATAACCCCCAACCACCCTGATCTTTGCATCTCTAAACCTCTATTTGCTATATCCACGCTCACATTCGCAATACTGTCACCCATCGATATCTACACTCATCGACTTGCCCAACTCGAACTCCAGAAGCATATCGAAATGTACACACTTACACTCACACCCCTCCTCACATCACATCACCACACCCTCTCCACCCTCATCGAAACACTCACAACTACATCTACATCTACATCCACACCACGCCGCCCATCCCGCAAACGACCGCACAAATCCCAGCCACAAACGACACACACACCCATGGGCGGCATGCAGTGCGCAGTCATGTGAGCGTGCTTGTTCTGCGCGTCGAGGAGGGTATGGGATGAGAGCGCTGGTCGCTGATCGTTTCCCCGGTTCTTGAATGATGGTTTATAGTTTATGGTATGTGGGATTTTCTTTTCACGAGGCTGACGTGTACTGACTGGATCAAGTTGAGCGGGGTTCACTACATCGTACGTCGGACGTTGAGCGTTGGGGGCATGAAGGGTGTGTAAGACATAGCGTTGCGCGGGGGAAGCGAGTGTGAGCCATTTATTCTTTCATTCATCCATTCATTCATTCACCAGCAAGTCACGCGCAAACACAAACAATCCCAACGAATACACCATCTCAATTCTCAATTCTTGATTGACAATATGCGTGATTTCTGTGTTTTGTACTTTGATAGGTATATATGGTGGTATCGAAAATAGCCACTCATCTACACAGGGAAAAAAAGGGGGAGAGACGAAGAAGAAGCTAAGAAAAGGAGATACTCGCTGATAGCGACATGGAAGTAGCCTCGCCTCATGAGGGCATACATCTACAGGACACAAAAGGCGATAAAGATATTTGGCGAAACGCGAAAAGAAGAAGAGAAAAAGGTCCCAACTTCATCCCTTCCGACAGTAGGTAAAACTCCGTTTGAATTCCAACGCCGTATAAAAAAAAACAGGCAATGAAGCCTTGTGTTGACCAGAAACTCCGCGCCTGTGGTAAGATGTTTAAAACCAATTGAGCATTATGCCAAAAGACGGTCGTTTAATCGTCCTTGGCACTAGCACTCACATACCCGTCATCAACCTCGTCGCCCCGCTCAGCAAGCCCGACAAGCACCTTGGTCGCATCTAGACAACTCCTCACAATGCGACGACGCGCCTTGTCTGACAGTCCGCTACGCCGCCCCGTCTCGTGGCCAACCCACGTGCGCAGCGAAGCGGCGATGCGCTCAAGTCCAGAGCCAGTTTCGGCATGAAGTGTGGCATCCTGCATGAAGCGTGTTAGGACTCGGTAGCCTGCGACAAAGCTGAGCAGCGTGATGGTGGGTTCGGGGAAGTAGGTGTTGTTGACGACGAAGATGCCGGGGTGCCGCGCTTGTGCAGATGACGATTCGGCAAAAGAAAGGCATTTGGCCAGCGTAAGGGCTTTGCGGACGTCGACCGCAACTGAGCCGTCGCCGACCAAGTTCATGAAGCCAACGTCCTTCGATTGAGGTGCTGGTAGTACCGGTAGCGCACGAAGGGCTGTTGCGATGCGTGCATTGCGGTCGTCGTCGAACACAACTGCTTGGGCGACTAGAGCTCGTACTTGAGCTTGCGAGTTAGGAGGAGAGGATCGAAGGGCAAGCTCCAAGTCGGATATGACACCCTCCTTGGGCGATTCAGCCTTACTACCGAGGTAATCCGCAAGGCCCTTCTTCAGCACGGTGCTTGAATACCAAGCGGCAAGTGCATCCAATGGTGAGCATATGTCAAAGTCCTCCACAACGCCATCCATGGAAAGGTCAACGTCCGTCTTTTCGGCACTTGGCCTATTCCAAGCAAGATTGTGCGCGCGTTGTACAATTGCAGGGACCAAAACTTCGTCACATTGTCGTTCAAGAAGAGCAACCAAGTGCTCTGGAAGACGTTCCGCTTCGCTGTCCTGATTCGATGCTGTATTTGCGGCAATTTTGTGTTCGCTGCGAGCCATGTTCCAGTAACTCTCTGCCAGTTTGGCACTAAAGTGGTCGATCCACCACGAACTGAGACCTGCATTGCCGATTTCCCAAAGAAGCACTCGGATGTGCAAAGCCTTCAACATGAGACTTGCTGGTGTATCTGGCAATGTACCTGATGCCACCAGGGAAAGAATTAGGCGACTCCAGCTGATTTCTGCGTCACCTCCTGTGAGTTGAGCATCGAGTGCAATGGTCCAGGCTTTGACACGGGCGGCCTCTTGCTCCTTCGTAATGCCAGTGAGATGTGCGTACCACTCCCAGCCAATGATTTTTCGTGTACTGAGTTTGAGGGTCTTCAAGCCGAGAGCTGCCGCCTCGAGGATGAAGTTGTGCTGAGGAACCCACACAGTTTGAATTGCCGTTAGCCATGCCTTTCGCCGGACTTCAACCGGAGATGCAAGCGATGGTGCAGGCGTCAGAAGAACTGCGGGCGCGGCCTTCTTCTTTGGCTTCGCTTTGAAATCGAGTAATGGCATGACCAGGTAGGCAAAAGCCCCAAATATCAGAAGGAGCTTGACGATGGGGATCTGAGTCGTTGAAACGCCGAACGAAGCTTGCGGGGCAAGAAAGTGATGGAGACTGATTGGCAGTGCAAACAGACCACGACCTCCTGGCTCTTCTTGTGACTGCTCGTGCTCGACCATACCCTCAAAGACCATCAGACCAGCCAGCGCGCCGACCATTAGTTTGCCCGCCATTGCTCCGCCGCGTCGTCCATTGACCATTGGAGGTCCAGGCATGACTGAGCGGTTGGTTCCACCGGAGTAGGGTGGATATGCAGGCGCGTAGTGTGATTGTGGGGGCAGTCCTCGTTGCAGGGCGGCAATGTTATCCGGTACGGGTATCATCCCCTGGGGAGGGCCAGACATTGGCATTCCATGCGTTGGCGTGTACGGTTCCTTGTGGTATCTGGCGTTATCAGGGGTGCCGACGGCTGCGTGCATTGACATGGACCCAGACATGGCCAATTTCTCGTAGCTCTCTACCCGTCCCTTCAAAGCGGTAACCTCATCTTGCAGACGCTTGTTACGCTTCTCCAAATGTCGGATATACTCGGTGGCCTTGGACAAGACGGTGGCTTTGTTCAGCTTGTGCGCAGGGGTGAGGCCTTCCAAATCCTCGGGGTCGTCTTCCTCTTCTGTGCCGTTAGGGCGTGACATGACGCGAAGGCTCGGTACACTGTCACGGAGAGCGGCAATCTTGTCGTTGAGGTTGTTGCGGTATCTCTTCTCGATCATGTTGTGGGCTGTCTTCTTGGGTGGCTGTGACCGCTCTTTCTTGCCTGATCGTGTCGAGTCGTCGGGCTCGTCTGAATCGGACGATGCCTTTCTCTTCTTGCTGCTGCTGATGGGTTCTGGCGAGGAGTGGGCTGACGACGAACTGGCTGGTCCATGGCCGAGGGAGCTGGGGCTGTGGTGGAGACTGGGTGTGGAGATTGCTGGTGGCGGGGCGGCAAAGGCTTGCTGGTCGAAGCGAGACGACGAGAAGAGGGTGTTGTCGCCCATTTGCTGCTGCTGCTGTTGGTGTTGTTGTTGCTGCTGCTGCTGCTGTTGCTGCTGTCGTTGTTGCTGCTGCTGCCACATCGAGGGCGAGTAGTAGCCGTTCTGCTGCTGGACGTCTGCGGCGACGGGGGAGCTCGACGCATTGCCGCTAAAGTCGAAGGCTGGCGGCATGTCGACGCTCTGGCCGAAGGAAAAGGGCACGCCGTTGGACTGGGCAAACAGGGAGGCGGCGGTGGCCATGGCATTGGACGCCATGGCCTGCGTCTGCTGGCGGGGGTCGAAGACGGGCGACTGCTGCTGGGCGGGGCGCGGGTAGGCGGACATGGGCAGCTTCGCGTCGGGGTTCTGCGAGACGGCAGCGGGGTCGTAGTGCATCCACTCGTTCCAGTTGCTCAGGTCGTCGGCGGGTGCGACGAGCGCCATGTCGTCGCCCGGGGCGGTGAACCACGGGCCACGCATGCCGCTGAAGGGGTAGTTGCTCGCCAGCATGGGGTCCTCCATCTTGCCCGTATTCGTATTGCGGCGCGGCGACGGCGGCGAGGGGCGGCGCTGGGGGCTTGCGGGCAGCTTGAAGTCGTCGAAGACGCAGTACGGGCCAACCTGCAGCAGGACGCCATGTCAGCAAAGCGGTCACGGGAGCGCGGTGCGGTTCGCAGCACGCACGGCGATTCTCTCCAGCTCGAGCCCGTAGTCGGGGCTGCCATGGGCGTCTGAGGCCATTGTGCTGAGCTGTGTGTGTGCGTGCGTGTATGTGTGGACTGGCCGGCGCGCGGACGGCAGCAGAAAGCGAGGACAGGCCAGCAGGCCAGGCAGGATGGGCAGAACAGGCAGGCACGACGGACACGACGGGCACAACAGGTATACCCGCGACGGGCAGGCGCGACAGGGAGTGGTGGTAGGGAAGGGGCCGTCTTACCAGCTGCAACGAGGCACGGAATCAGGTCATGCCTCTCGCCCACCAGCTTCTCGCGATTCGGGACGGTGCGGAGCCTGCCGTTCACTGTGCGGTCCAGAATCCAGAATGACTGCAGGACGGTGCTGCTGCAGGGCGGGAGGACACAGCGCTGCAACACTCGCCGGGGTTTGCACTGCGATCGTATGATCATGGTCTGATGGCCGCCGAAGCAGGCTGGCGTGGCAGGGGGCTAGCCGCACGCCGCCGCCACTACGGCCATCTCGTGCTGCTGCGCGACGACGCCATCGTGTTGCCAGGCGAGCGTCTGTCTGGTGCTGCCTCAGGCTTGGGGTATCAAGTATTGAGGGCGTTTGTCCGCGTCCACGTTTCGAGTCCACATGTTGTTGAGTGAGACGCCAATCACCGTCCACCATCACCACCGCTGGGCCTCGTAGACTCGTAGACGTCAAGCACGCGTCAAGAGCCACTCCATCCGACGTCAACGACATGTTTGGCCCTGGATCTGAGACGAACATGCCAGATCCCCTGCCCACATGGTGTTCCTGCGTCTAGGGTGCTGCCGGGAACGCTACTGTCGCGGGCCGGATTTAGGTCACTTGTCGATCATGTTTGCTTGTTCTCATATGTCTGCCATGGCCGTCGTATAGTTGCTACGTCTTGCGTCTCGCTGGGCTCTGTTGTTCATTTCCCAGTCGCTCGTCCATCATGTAGAGGTTCTGCTTGTCAATCAACCACCAGACGTTTCCTATCCAGTGTGGGTTATTCCTGGACGTCAGTCGTCTGTCATGTCCAACCTGTCCCGTCAAGATGCCTGTCAACGCTCTACTACGCTCTACTACGCTTCTTTAGCGGTGGCCGTTAAACCTAAACTCTAGTGTCGCACAAGGAAGATAAGACTTCAACTTTTCTTATCTGGAAGAGATATCGATTCTATGCGACTCTTTGGCTTACTATGACTCCCACATCGCCACTTCAGCTTCCATCTTGCAGTATGCACCCACCCACTTGTCCAGAAACATCCACAACCAAAGAACTATTATTCAAACAGCAACCACAGCTGCTCCCGCTAGACTTTGAGACACACCAACAGATCTAGCATCACTGTTTCACATCCTCTACTTCGTTCTTCTGCCTGTTGATACGCCATACCTCATTGCGGAAGTAGGCATCTTGCCTCCACGACCACAATAATGGTGGGTAAATCACCCGGCAAACCGCGCCAAATCTGACACAGGACTAGGTCCGGACCGTGACAGACGACGACATCGGCCTGAGGGTGCTCCGCGAAGGCCCAGCAGACGCACCCCAGATCGTCGAGTACATCCACACCACGTTCGATCACCCGATGCCACTGACCACCCCAGCATCGTCGCCGTCCATGGCATCGGAGCTCACCCAGACGATACCTGGTGCAAGAATGTCGGCACAGCAGAGGATCCGCGCTGGGTCAACTGGCTCGACGCAGAAGATATGCTGCCAGCTGTAGCTCCGTGTGCGCGCATCATGCGGTATGGGTACCATTCGCAATGGTTTGGGGCAGGGGCGATGCGGCAGAAAGTATCGACGGTGGCACAGCGGATGCTGCTGGCCCTGCGGCGGAGAAGAGTGGTGCGACCTTCGATTTGACATGTTTTTTTTTCGTCGTCGCTGACCAGGACACGCATGACCAGGACTTCCCATTCCGCCCGCTTCTCTTCATCGCGCACTGTTTCGGCGGGCTGGTCGTGCTGAAGGTAAGTAGTCGAGCTACTGCATTCAGCGCGTGCCTACAACTAAACTCCCCAGGCGCTACTCGATGCCCAGCTCGACGAGAACGACTGGCCCGGCATCTTCGCCTCGACAACTGGGCTAATCTTCCTCGGCACGCCCTTCCGCGGCGCCGAAGGAATGAGCCAAGTCGAAATGCTCGAGGCGGCGCGCCGAGAACACCACCCAGATGACGTGCAAATAGACATGCTGAGCATACTGCAGCCAGGGAACGAGTTCCTGCAGGAGCTAGTCGACCAGTTTGGCAAGACGCGGCGGCAGGCTAATAAGGCGCACGTCGCGTGTTTCTACGAGCTCAAGGTTAGTAATGCGGGGAGGATCGTGGGGGGGACGGATCGCATGGTAGGTTTGCGGGTGCATTGTCTATCTTACTGGGTCTGATTATGGCTGCAGAGATTCGTCGTCAGTGAGAGCTCCAGCTGCCTCGATCTGTCGGATGCGACGAGCAAATTCTCACTGTCTCGGACGCATGGTAGGTTGAATCAGTTTGGGAAGCCGACTGAGGAGGATTTTGAGACGTTGGCGGATGTGATTAGGGATATGGTTGGTGCGTCTCCTGGGCTTGTGATGGCACGAATACAGTGTAAGAATGTGGTGTAGTAGTCGGTGATACTTAGAGGAAGTTGATGGGATGCAGTAGGTGATTGCAAGCGCAAGATTGATGTCAGTCTGTGAGATGCCGGAGCTTGAACTGCTCCTACTTAACAACCTATCAACAAAGCACCCTTGAGGAACCACCATTCCCTACAGCCTTATCGGGATATGCAACATCCAACTAGCAACCAAGTCTGCACGTCCCCATCAGCGTAAACCCAGCAGGCTATCCAAGCTAATAAATAGGTCCTCAAAAGCCCATCTAAAGCAACCATCCATAAAAGCAATCCTATGCCAACCTCACAACCGAGGCTTTGTAGTTTTCCACCATCGACAATAACATAGCAGTACGCGAGTATCTTCTGTGGCCATCCCGTCCACCGAACTGCCACTCACTGCCCCTTGATCATTCACAACCGACAGAGAAAACCCGCAGACACACCACATAAAGACGTATCTCCCTTCTGCGCAGCACACGCCAGTGCCTAGCATAAGTCGGCTGACGTGCAAGGCTCTATAAACACACAGCGGTTGTAGCAGAATAGTGCTGAAAGAGCGATTCATAGTCATTAGGATGGTTGTTTGCAAGTATGAGCATGTCATGACTAACACACGGCTCAAGCAGATACGGACATGGCTCTTGAACGTCTTTATTTGGCGCTCACGCATGCCGGCTGACGGGAGATGGATATTTTCGCGTTGGATGGAATATACTGCGCATCATGGTGAGACGTGACAGCGCCTGGTTATAGAGAAGCTGGACGTTTCTCGCTGGAGGAATGTGCTGACTGAGACATTCTGACGGGTCGAGATTTGGCATATGATACGGGACTTCCACACCCTTTCGCAGAAAACGAGCTAGTGTTTGATGGTGCGGTGGAGGTTTTCTGTCGCGCTACGAGCTTTTCGGTGGAGATGGAGGTAATACAGTTACTTGATGCACTCGGTGGTGTGGATATGTAGTAGAGGGCGAAGAACGGTGCGCTGTTTGTTATTATGTCGAAGGCACCTTCATTCGCAATTGGAAGCGAGGTTCTGGAAGAAGTCAATATAACTGACAGCCCATCGTATTAATACCAGTCGACGGGTAGAATGTAGCTCTATTCCTTATAAATGGATATCGACGGGGGTTTCAGCTTCAACCATAGGTGTTTTACCGCCTGGGGTATTTACTTCTATAAGAAGCCAAATTGCAGCGGAGAAGATGTATCAGCACACTTTGAAGAAAGCCATTAGTGTTGAGCGTATTACCACCTATACTTCAGCGTTAAATCCAACCATATAGAACTCTCACTTGTTTCTGATCGTCAAGGCCATGTCGAGTTCGCCAGGATCTGGTATGCAAAAAACTCCCTCAGGCTATCAAAAAGTGTTGGGAAGCAATCACTCAAGATATCAGGCTTTTTGGTAGCGGTCTCATTGCTTTGCACAGGAAGACAGCCAGGGGTATCGCTTTGAGCAAGAAAGTGTGGGTGTATGTACAAGAACTGTAACTTTGAGTTATCATAAGGGAAGTTAAGCTAGATTCGTTGGTAGCTGTACAATAAACGTGTTATATCCTAAGCAGATAGTAAAACGCATGTGTCAGGGTAGAATGTAGATATAAAGGGTTGCTAAGGTACCTGGTTTAATAAGTACCTTTCCGTACAGATAACTCGTTGCTAGTACATATCATGCCCTCCTCTCCTTCGGTACACAACTCATAACATCAATATATTACCTTAACGAAGACGATCTGTAGTCACTGAGTATTCCTGGTCCTAACCCAGCGGTTCCCGGCACCGCGTAAGGCATAGTCTGCAAACTTCAAGTGTTTGCCTCTCTATCACTTGCTCTCATCGTTTCGCAACGGATACTCAAACATCGACAAACAGCATGCAAAATACATACGACCATAGGACGTTGAAAACAAGGCTTCCCGTTCGCTCAGCCCTATTTAAGCAACGCACCGGCGGATTAGTAGCTTGGTTGGTGACAATAAGCGAATTCCCGCTGTTGTATGTTTTTTGCTACCGAGTGGGGAGTGTCTTGCTTGTTTTTGCCAAGTCTGGGTGGTTGGACGAGGTCGTTGTGTGGAGAGTAGCGATGGTGGTTGAAGTCTGCAAGAGTGGTTGGGCAAGGCCAACTGCCCCTTTAGCATGTATCCACTCCTCTCCATATCCATATACAGATGTGAAAAGACATACGAGAAAAGTCATGTGGGATTGAAGGATATCTTACTGCGTAGATGACTCGTTGCCGTTAGTTATCGTAGTCAGCAATAAACCCTTGCGACCTTTCCCCTGATATACAACAAGTCACAATAACTTACATTCAACAAACACCGCCTTATTGATATGATGCACACAGTTCAGTCAATTAGAGATAGTCAGAATATCGGGACTTTATCCACGTCTAACAATGTTACCTTTTTTCACTCTCGTGGTTGACATCTTTCTCCATTCACCAGTAGGACAACAAGGATTTGCCAACCCACCTAAAGATCACTAATTGCTGCTGCTTATTCGTATATCTCCACTTGAATGCGTAAACAATAGTTAGAGTCTTTTGCATGTCTTCGCGATCAAGGCAGACTGGCCATACATATCGCAGTGTGGCTCTCGCGGGATGCACGCATAGGACAAAAATGCATATGCTCTACTATTCCTAGACCGTCAAGTTACTTCATGTCTGAAAGGGATATTAATGTTATCGACTTTCATATTTACTGGCAATATAGTTCACTTGGTAAACAGTAGTGTCGTTCATCCCCCAAGTGGACGTGACGTATATCTAGGTGAGCAAGAGTTTAGCAGGAGTGCAAATGATGACTTTAAGTGGAAATGGTTAAAAGCCTTGTCCACATTGCAAGGCTAGACGATTCAGTCCAGCAAAACATGTCCATTCGTGTCTCCTTCTCGCATTCTATCAACCACGCTACGCTTTCAAGTTGCCTTGAGCCCCCTATTCATATCACACTACGAGCCAGACCGGAACTCCCACCGCAGAGCACAGGTGTTCCTGGAAGCCATCAGGCCGAACCGAAGTCTGCCCATAGAGTAGCTTTCTCTACTCCATCGCCATGAATGGTATATTCATACTGACCTCGAGGCGCGAAGGAGATTTATGTGATAGCTCGTTTACATAAGCTGTCGCTGTCTATATCCCCTTCGAAACTGTGTTGATTATACGTAGACACCCCCTTAGAAGCAGCGTTGGTTGTGTGTCGAGTGTATTCGTCGACCAAAGAATCTTCCATGGATGGCCCAAAGTTGGGAAACTAAACTTCGGTCAATGGCTGCCCGGGCTTTCGAACGCGCGTGCTCGCATTGGTATATTGAACAATCGGTGAGTCGTCAAGAGGTGATTGATCAGCTCTGCTTCTCTGCTACTATCACTGTGTACTCGTACTGATATTTGCTGTGTGTCAAGAAGGTGGGAGTAAGCTCCTGTATCATGTCGGGATATTAGGGGTTTAACTGTATTGCGTCCATGTAATTCTATATCAAGCATGGATACCAATGACGAATACGTCGAAGATTTACAAGAATAATCCATACCAATGACATTGCCTTAAGAGACGAGGAGGAGCTGGGTCATGGAGCCCACACCCCCTCAACTGTACGAATAAAGTTGTCATCCAACAACCAGATTTTCAACACTTCCTACCCACCGGCGGAGGAATTATGACAGTCTAGAATATATTGGGGCCTTTCTTGTCCTCGGCAGTGTTATCAACGTGAATGAGTGCAGCGTACTCGTATCTGCCTTAACGGTGGCGAGAGTTGTATCTGCCTGGCAAGTTGTGTACCCAAGCAACCCTCAAACTCTCGACAAAGCGTCATGCCTGCAACCCATCACATAAGCTATCGGAGCCACTGCATCACCACCAACGGACCACGCTCGTTTGCGAGGCTCACACTGAGTTCCAAAACAGACTGTCGCGTCACTTCAGATCGCAGCGATAGTCTGAGGCTACTGGGTATGCTTTACACGGCTAGATATGCGCTTCGCCGGCATCTTTCACCATTATGTGAAGTTTATTTGCACCCAATGAGCAAGGGGACAAGATGACAAGTCACTCCCCAAACACATCACAACACGTGGTTGATCACGATCTCTCACTAACAGAAAGTCTGCTCAATACCCACCCTCCCATGTCTCTACCGAGACATCAATCCAACTAGTCACTCTCCAGAACATGTTGGGCTCACTGCACTTGGCTCGATCTGATCGATAGGAACCTCATGCATTGGCGCAGTATTGGAGCCCCTCGGGATAGCCACATTCAGCAAGTTACGGCTGATATCCTCCCCCCCCCTCCCCCTGTTCCCAGGCGTAAAAGATCGGTGCGGCACATACAGAATCTCGTAGATCTGTTGGACAGTCCACCCGCCCGGGTAGGATTCGAAAACAAAGGAACAGCATGACAGACGTAAGAGAAATCAGGTTTTAGCATGTTTCCCCCGCAATGATAGTGCGAGTGGTCATGACGGTCCAGTCCTCCAGTTGCCTGATTCGCACTTTGCTCAAGAGGCTATGATACACCGCCGCCAGGGCACTTGTCTGACATGGTCGCCGCAGGACTCCTGCCAGGTAGGTAAAAGGAAACCTGTGAGGAGTCTCCTGACGTTCTGGCCTTGCCGTAAACTCACCGTTGCCGCGGACCTCCCAATCGTACCTACATTGTGCAAGACTATCGATCGCCAGCCGCAGATTCGAGACCACCCCATTCCCCATTGAGGCGACCGATAGCATCCTGGTCCTGTACTTGAGTCCCATTCACCGGAGGCGATGAAAAGTGTCTTTGTAGATCCTACCAAGGCGATTATACCTCGGGATTCCTGCAACACGTTGCAAAGCACGAGCCCCACAGCTATCTGGGCGTAAAAGTAGCGCAAGAGCTCGCACAACTTATGCTTCAAGGCACATGTTGCACGTATCTTTTGCTCGGAACGAGTGGCCATTGTAAAGTGAGCAAGTAATGCACATGTATCGTACAGTGCAAGATAATGCAACCCCGTGCTCTGAGAGTTCGACCTCGCGAAAACTCTCTCTTGGAGCTAATACGCGCGAAAGTCTCCCGTTCGATATGCATGCGTCATCACATCGAGTTCCCGTAACGATAGCGAGAAAAAAACAGTCAAATTGCTTCTTTCGGATCTTGCCACGCCGAATGCGACGTCCCGTGATTGTGTGGCGCCAAATAGGACACTGGGCTGCCGTAAAAGAAAGCAGCCATCCAGCACACGGCAGATATCGAAATACCGTGATTCGTTGGTGCGTATTCAACGGCACGTCAGTGACCAGTGCTGGCGTGTGCATATCGGCTTTTGCCAGTTCACTACGGCTAATATCGGGGTCAAAGGGGATAAGTAAATGCCCTATTGCCGAAGTTGCCCACATCAGCCCTGTTACCGTTGTGTACCGGCAGAGGCAGAGGTGTCAGCGTGTCAGCATGTCAACTCTGACTCTGGTGCTTTTGACGATCCTGTGATCGTAATTTCGAGGTCTGGAAATGAACCGGATTTTGAGTCCAGCATGCATAGACGCTAAACCTTGTGGGAGTCAGCTTCCTGCACTCGAGCATCAGATCACTGCATTTTCGGGTCGGCATCGAGATTGGCGATATTGTGTGTGCAACGAATGACCCCACTTACGGTTCGAGATGATGCATCTCGCACAACGGATCAGGGCAGACTGATCTAAGATAGAGTTCACAGTTACTACCGTGCGGCAAACGTATGCGTTCATGACTCGAGCCCAAGTAGATCTGGAGTCGAAGGAAATTTTGGGATCTTACCGTCCTGGATTAGAGCCATCGGTTTCTCCCGAATCCGATCGCGCTGTTCAGCAATGATCAGCATCGCCCCATAAACCCGCTGATCTCCGTCGGAACTAGCCTTCTCGTGTGGAGACGTTTTCGGTACCAGGATCCGTCGAGGACGATGGAACTTTCAATGGCAACTAATTGGTCTTGCCTCTCGTCAGTTCGCAGGGCTGAACATCTGCGTTGGTACTACAGCTCATACAAAGGGAGATGTGGATGCAGAAGCAGGTCATCGAAGGTGACACAGCATCATCAGTCCAACCGAGTGGTTGTACATGGGAATCCAAGGCGTGGGGTGAATGGTGAGTGTTGTCAGGAGTGCTTCCATGATGGAGCTCGTGGATTTCATGGATCCCATGTCCATCAGCCCCAGACGAGCGTTGTGTACTCGCCAAAAGCGAAAGCGAGTTCAGTTCTCGGAAGAGGAATGCACGATGCTGCAGGGGCACCCGCAGAATTGGCGGGAGGAGGGCACGCACTGGCTGAAAGAGGTTGCGTCGAACGAAAAGGGTATCTGCTTTCTTTTGGCGAGTGCTCAAAAGAAAAACAAAAGCCGGAAAGAAACGGCTGGACCCTGTAATTACTCGGTAGCTGTTTCCAGCGGCGCTTACTAAGTTGGGGCAAAGCTCGAGTCAAAAATCCCTGAATGAGTGCAGATGCTGCAGAGTGGACTTGAAGCATGGGAAGCACCAGGGGTATGCATCATCAGCATCGCGTCGTGTGTATCCTTGATCCTTAATTATTTCTCCTTGCGCAAGTGTCCGGGGTGCAGACCAATATTTTAGATGGCGTGACCGATTTCTGACGCAACAAAACCCTGCACACACAAAAGTTGATGAACTCCAGATGGAGACCGACTCGTCACAAAACCATGTCTTTGGGACGTGATTCACTGATATCAGGACCAAAGCAGTTAAAATTCGTAAATTGATCAACAAGAAGTTACTATCGTCCGCCGTCATATTTTGGGAAGGGCAAGGCTAAAAGTAATATGTTGTCCTTGCATGGAACCTCCCTGTCGCATGCCGACCTGCCGTTTTCTCTACGTTGTGCATCGCGAGAGGCGCGCGTCAGGTTGCGAGACGACGGGTATACATATTTACGCCGATCTTGTACCAAAGAAGCAAATTCGCAATCGCCTGATATCCGCTTTTTACAGTGCCAGGAGCGTCGAGCGACATGAGAACGTACTGTGTACGGAAAGTTTACCTCAACAATCGTACGATACATCGAGCATCGACTTACACAGATGTGTTGGCTGATGCAGGTCGTGCTGCGCCGCCTGTGGACATAACGGAAGCTGGGCCTTAGAGCCCACTTGCCTGAGTAGGTAGTTAGTATGTGGATACGGAGGGGAAAGTGTGTTACGACGAGCCTTGAGATCAACCACAAGCGAAGCCGCAAAGTCTTGTTCTGCGAGCTTAAGAGCAAAAAGTGATCCCTCGTGCGCACCATTCAAGGGTTGCTTTTGCACTTATAAAATGCAAGGAACCCATCCGACAGCGCCTAACCCATCTTAACGAGTACTTGGGCGACAGCGGTTGTCGTTGACGCAGCCCAAAGGATAGAGTCAGGAATAATCGTTGTGATACCTAGTCAGACCATTTCCACATGGAACGAAATCGGAAGGGTTGATATGGTCCGATGAACGGGACTGCCATGTTGTGCTCCGCGGGTGACAAGAAAATAAAAACTGCCACCTTGCTTATCAGAACGATGTAAAATTTTAGGCTCTTCTGACCAGGATGCTGGTGTCCTAGGCACGGTAGATGTGGGGTATCGCATCTCCGCGAGATCGTGTTGCAGCACGCGACGGGAATACAAGATCGATGGCAGGTTGCCTAGACAGGGACGAAGCTTGCCATTCAGATCAGTGGCCATGGGTCATGCTGGGTAAACAGTCTGATATTGTCGACAGACAATACAAGTAGACGTCCTTGAGTGGTCTGGGCCAGTGATCAGAGTAACAATGAATGCACGAAGCGATCATTTTCATGTCAACCAGCCAAAGTTAACTAGATGGAGTTATAGCATCAAAAGGGGAGTCACAGTCAGCCTACCTATATTGTATTGAGTATTGAGTAAGGATTGTGATTATAAGGCACCCAGTCTCCCGTTGTTCGGCACTTCGACTTGAAAATGCGTCCTCAGCCTTGGTGGAAGATGATGGTTTGTTCAGTATACGAAGTCTCGCTTGTAGGCTCGATAGTTTGTTCCTTCTGACACTTCTCGTGAGTGATAGTTGTTGCCTAGCCTGATCTTGCGACTAAGCTGTGTTCTGCCGTGTCGCAACACAGGAAGTGTATGTGAAACACATCATGTTTGGCTTTCGTGAGCTGTGCCATGCTTCAAGGCACCGTTACATCGTGTCTTGCATGGCTCGGAGTAGAGCCTGGAAGGGGTTGCGACTGATCGGTAGCTCTACCTATTCAGTCTTTCTGAATGATTCATACGCCCTGGTTGTCACTTACTCGTAACCTATCCCCCAGGTTAGTTGTATTCTGTAGATCTATGCTCGTTACAATGGTGGGCCAGTGCAGCACAACACACCCTTTTGAAGTTGACGTCCAATTACCTCGTAATACCTGCCGTATGCGGATGACGTGATATTAACAACTATAATGCTGAAAATCCATAAGGGGTAGTGACCGTGTTTTAGTGGAGGATTGATAACGCAACCGAGCCTTCTACGCTGGTTCGACGTTGTGAATCACCGATCTTACTGACAGGGAACAGTGGTTTCGTGTCACGTCGGGAAGAGTACTCCGAACTGCTAAGCGCGAATTATGAATGTTGAGTTCACCGCAGCAAACGATTGCCATGGATCATGCTTGTCGTGTTCTCATTATTGTCGTGAGCGCTTGTTGCACTGAACACAACGTAAACTGTACGTATTGGTTGCACTATGCCTCGATATTGACAGCCGTTATCATTGTACGAGCATTGGTCGGGAATATTGTCCCGTAGTCCCTCGGTTGACCTGGTCAACGGCAATGGCAGGTGAGCTTTGATGTCTTTACGGCACTCTGCTCCGTTGATAACAAAGACGCGCAATCAACGTAGAAAGCAGTTGTCCTAGGTAGAGCAACCAGGGCAAAGGATGTGGGTAATGTTAAATTCGAGAATTCAGCCAATTTGAACGGAAGGCTTGTTCATAGTGTGGTTGTGTGGCGAGGATCCTCGGGTGATTTTCCGACTTGACAGCCGCGGCGCACATGGCGATACATAGCAACGCGGACTCGATTGGGCGAAGGCACATCCACAGTTTGGGTCCTACAACGACGAAGACACATTGCACAACAAACCTGTGGAAACAAATAGTGCACTTTGCAGCGTTGGCAACGGTACTTGAGGAGGTGACGTAGCGAGGCGTGTCGCAATTTTAGAACCAGTGTGAGACTTTCAAGAAAGTGGCCTGATGTGCTGCCCTGTATGTGCTGACGTTTGCGACTCGGAGCTTGCAGGCTTTATGAGGTCTCGAGAGTCGAGGAGGTTCCCTGGCCGGTAGGTGGCCGGGGGAAACGTCCGCTCCCCGCTGGCGCTTTCTGATCGTGCCGCCGCCGCCGATTCAGATCGATTGGGGTTGGCGCCATTCCATAACCCACCGGCGCAAATCTGGCAGCATCATACGATGTTCTGAAATTTCGATAGACTGAACAGTGTTATGCTCCCTTGGCGGGAAGACGACGGAGAGTCGAGGGGCACGCATGGCTGGGAGCAACGAGCTCCTTTTCGCCTCGACAGACAATGGCTTTGTCATCGATGTCGGACGGATGGTGTAACCCTCACGTATTCGGAAGATTCACGAAGAACAAAGTTTTTGTTCGGGAACTCGCCAGCCCTAGCGCCAGTTCGTGGCGTCATGAACGGTTTGGACGACAGGCGATCAATGGCTGATGCCCAACAGGCTGCAACGCCTCTGCACCGACAAGGCAGGACACACGGTGCCTCTTGGTGGTGGCGCTCGAGTGTCTCTATCCGCCCAGATGCGGTGCCAAGGTGGATGACATGAACGTGGTGGGATGTGCGAGGTGCACGTCGAATGTCCGGTCGGCAGTGATTCGTTCCACGCCATTGGGCTGTTCCCCTTCCGGTTTGAGAGAATCTCATCTCGTGTTCTGCGGCGCCCTCATCTGTGCGGCTGGGCGCGATGTGCATCCCCTGCCATAACGGCTTCGGATCGAGATGTCAATGTGCTTGCAATATTCCCGAGTTACGAGCCCACTCAGGCCGACGGAGCCACGTCCGCAGTATTTGGAGCGGTGGTGCACGAGCGCCGGCCTCGAAGTCCTGACGACGCGGATCCTGCGCCCAGCGCTGTGCTTTGCTGCTTTGGAAACGCCAGTCGACCAGATCAAGGCTAGACATGGCAGGGGATTTTGTGTGTGCACATCCCTGCCTTCGGTGAGTCGCCTGGAGACGACACATGGGGCCCTGTCGCACTTGCAAGGACCACCGCCCAAGCACCAACACCAGCACGCTGTCCACATCATCCTGGCGGGGGCAAATAATCGTGCCGCATGCCGCAGTCTGGGTCGTCTGGCCTGCTCACTCGTCGTTCGTTGCCGCGGCGGTTCATCTCCGATCGCATCTGCTCGAGACCCTCGTACTCGCTCATCCTCCTGTCATGTTTGCAGGCGTATCCCTTGAACGGCGCTGAACCTTGCATTACGATATCAGAGACGTCACGGGACCGCCTGTCATCGATGTCCTTGTCACACCTCGTCGGACCATTCTCTCACAACCATCCAGCACATCGGCGACGCCCCAGCATACTCGAAACTAATACGCACTGCAAGAGGAGGACACGCGACCGAAGACATTGATTGAGTTTGAGATCCCCACACCTGCTGTGCCTGCCATCCACGTCAGCCACACATAGCATCGAGATCGAACGACGCACCGCCTTGGCTGTCCGGCGAGCCACAGATTTCGCGGCACCTGCCATTTCGGCCATTGTGAGAAGAGTTGGACGTGAGGCGGAGGCCAAAACATTCTACCGATAATCCTTGGTCTTACATCGCCATTCCCAATACGACTGTATTGCTTCTGCAACTTTCTTGCCATCATTGACGGAACCAATTCGGCTGCGCTTGCGGGAAAAGGAACGAACCATCAGAGCAGCCGCGCTGCGTGTCGCTTTACGGGAAGGTACATACGCCCAAATCCACATTTCCCCGCCGTCGCATCACCACATCACCCTACCCGCCCGCAATGGAGACGTTGGAGGCTTCCAGCCGGCCAAGGTCTGTTCTCTGTCCCGTCGATGGCCCGGGGTCGTCGCATCATGCATGGTGCACGCTTTGCTGACCGTTCTGTTGTAGCATGGGCCTCCCTTCGATATCTCACTTGAACTCTGAAAAAGCCAAGCGGGAAGAATCGTACTATCAAAGAAAACATCCCGTTTCCGCCATGGACAGTCCGTTGCACCCTTTTGCAGCAATGTCGCATCTGCACAACAATCACCAATCGTCGCCCGCCAGCGCAATACCCGCCTCGCTTGCAGGCTTACTATCACCTCCCGAATCACGACGAACGTCTGGCGACGACAAGGAGCCGCATCGATCCGCGGCTCTGCAATCACTGCCGTCAATACATGAAGCCCTAGGCTCGGAGCAGCCGCTGTCTTATGCGTCAGCGCCCCCGTCTTCTGCTCCAGTGGCAGCTCCTCAGCACTATCTACCACCGTCGGTGACCACTCCGCCCTCAGATCAGGGGACACGACGCTACCCTCCAGATCTCCACAGTAATCCAGGCCCCTCCAATCCCTTTTCACACCCTCGCAGCCCGTTCGTCGGCACATCGGCACAACAGCATCCTCCTCCTCCACCTCCTCAGAGCCAGATAGATCCTTTGTCCCGTCAGTCATTCTCAGAGCCGCGTCCTCCATATTCCGCCCCGCAACAAACCCCCAAATTACCATCACTTTACCCGATCAAGACTGCTCAGTCCCCTACATTGAGTACCGCTCAATCAAATACGCCGTATTCCTCGTATCCGCCGCCACCGTCTTCTGTTTATGAGGCACCTGCGCCTCAATCAGCACGATCTATGAATCACCAATACTCATACCCTCAATACCCTTCAAACGCGCCCCCGCCAAGTGGTCCGAATTCGGTCTATCCGCCTGCAGCGTCGACATACTCTGCTCCATCTCGATATCCTCCCGCGCCTTGGCATGATAATTCGGAAGTCGCTCGCTTAGAGGAAAAGAAAATCAACCATACGAGTCTAGCCCCTTACGGAGACTCTGTTAAGCGACATTTGGAAAGCTTTGATATTGAGGCGTCTCTGAATGAGGTATGTCATGCTTGCACCCTCTTTGTAATTGTTTTTAACCCAGCTAGATTGCCGATGGTGCAGGACACATTGCGGAGTTCTCCAAGGTTTACAGACAACGAGCCCACGAAAACCAACGTATTGGCATGACTCTGCAGTCTATGCCAAGACTGGAAGAGGTGGACGACATGCTGAAACAGAATGAGCGGGTGCAGATGTCTCTTCAACGTATCCGAGATGTGGTCCATAATCATCACCAAGTGAGCATTGTCGAGACACCACAGGATTCCCGTTACCGACAGATGAACGGGTACGATCACGAGACATCGAGTAACTATGGGGATGATACCAAAGGCGTTGGGGGCTTTGCAGCCGGCGACAACAAGTCAAGAAAACGAGGCGTGAGTTATATCCTGTGAATTAAAAGCGTCGACAAATCCTAATGATTCAACAGCGAGCTGCTCCCCCTGGACGATGCCATAGTTGCAACAGAGCAGAGACTCCAGAGTGGCGCAGAGGACCCGATGGTGCCAGGACCTTGTGCAACGCATGTGGTCTACGTAAGTTCTACCCATATTAAATCCCCCTTGTTCATCTGCTCACATTTATAGACTATGCCAAGCTTACCCGCAAGATGGGTGGCAAACCAGCCATGACAGCTGCTTCTAATCTGCGTCCAAAATCCCTTGATCATGGCTCGCCTGCGCTATAGGATTGATCTTGGCTGACATCAAATGGCCATGTTTATCCCCCCATGATTGCAGACGCATTCAGGTTCAGTCCGTCTGAACTTTCTTTGAGATCAACCTTTGAGACGCTCTCATACAGTACATCATCGCCCCATGACTTTTTACGAATCTCCTTGGATTTCTGGCGCCGGATCATAATTACATTTCCAGGAAAAATTACTAAGTTCACGACGAGCTTATTTCAGAGACGAAAGATTTCGAACATCTACTGAGCAAATCGGCATAGTCTGAAATATGTTGTACACTACACCTCGATCTGCAGATATTGTGGTTTGACTTATCTCCAAACCCGAGATCATCGTCATCTAACTTGAGGGTTGGAATTACATGGTGCACAGACCATGTACCTCGGGCACAATTCTCGAACGACTGGTCGCTTCTTTGAGTAATTTTTGGCGTTGACTTGTTGGTATTAGCATTGGGCTTTTTACTTCTTTTGTTTTATACCAGCAGCGCTTGCATTTTGGCACCTGCGCCGGGACTTTCAGGTTCCCAAGAGGTGGTTGACGGCGTTCTTTGTATACATCACCTTTTAGGGTCGCTCGATCAGCAGGCTGACGGTAGGCGCGAGGAACAGCGCTCGTCATCGAATGATAGGAAAGGGCTTTAGGCATTTTCTTTACACTCACACTTTGTCAGAAGTGTACGAACTGATTGTGCATTTTTTCCACAGGCGTTTTCCAAAGATACCACCCTGGCTTTCAGTCCTGTAACGTAGAATCATTTTACGTACCTGCAGATTTTATTCAAGTTTTCTTCTAGGAGAATTACCACATTAGCATTACGAGTTGATGCATCTCCTGACCTTCGTGTGAACAAGTTTGTATGTTCAGCCTTCTTCGCATGGACTCATTCATACTGCACATTCCATTGCTCGTAACGTCAGAGGCCCCACAATCTGTCAAATCGGCATCGTGAGGAGAAACACCTCGCAACCGATGGGCACCTGTCACACTCAACGCCATGCAAGGTACTTAAAACAGCCGCAACACGATAATTGTGCCGTCAAGCATGGGTTTGTTGGGTTTGCGTAGCTAGCATCTCATGTTTGTTGCCTGCTATCTTACATCCAGCAAGCCCCTTTATTCCTATGCGAGAACGTAGGCAGCTCATAGTTCGAAAAAGACATAAAATTGATAATCCTGTATATCATTACCCAGCTAATTCCCAGAGGTCCAGGCTCGTCTGCAAGGTGGAGAAGAAGTGTTGATCCGCCCACTTTTAGCAAGCAGTTTTGAAGAATATACCGGTCGTCTTCTCAGAACTGACAAACGAGAGGTTGGGGTACATTGGTGTAACGATAACTGCAGCCCGCTAATTTTGATCCTCGTGAATATACCATGTTCTTGTAATCCCGACAAATATCTCCGATCTGCATGTCACGGCTACTTGCTGCTTTGAAGCTGTTCGCCGGTACAGTACATGCATGTGGGAAGACCCGACGGGAGCCTGGATATCTGTTCCGGGATATTTGTGCGTATACAGAGCTTTTGCGCGTACTTGGCAGCGGGCGTGCTGTCATTGTGCCTCCGAGCCATGTCACATAAGAGGTGAGGTTGGGTGAGGTGACGATACGACAGGGTTCCGCTTTCGTCGGAAACGGAAAGAGCGGACTTGCAACTGCATTATTAATCCAGAGCTGTCTAGCTTGAGGATGACTTCTCATACCATATCACTGCTCGAGTTTTTCCTCTGCTCTCCAATCTCCCTGCATCGGCGATTCTTATGCGAAGCTTTCCTTTTGCTCGCTGTAACCGAAGAAAAAGCTCGCGTTCCTTGCCCCGCTAGTTAAATTTAGAAGCCCCGTCTGTTTGTGCTTCCCCGCCGCGCAGCAGAACACACGACCTACCATCCATTCACACGTCTCCCCGTCCCGTCCGTGTGCCGATCCGAATCGGACGAGAAGCCGTGCCGAACTCAATCAAGGATGGGTCTGCTGTGAGATATTTACCAATCGTATGGTCTGCGCCTGCTGATCTGTATACAAAGTGCTATCGGAACGCCGCTTGACTGGCCTGAGGCCAAGAAAGTCGCGGATCATGTAAGAGAATGGGGGATTGAAGTATGCGCATTCTGGAGAGCGAAGGACATGCGGATCTAAGATTAACGTTGGCAGCAATTACTCGCGATTTGGCGAAATGCAAAGGGGAAGGAGAGGGATGCTTTACTTTGGGGAGATGAGGTGCTTATTCTGTCGGATGACTGCCAAAACAAGTTTTTGACTGGTTTCTAGGTCGAATATTTGGTGGTCTGCTATGACCAGGACAGTCGTAAAGTCCGGTTATCTCTTCGCCAGGCGGACATTCTAACCGCATTGGCCACCGATGAAAAGCTCATACAGCAAGGAGGAGGAGTGCCGGATTTACAGACAGGAGATGCGAGGTTAGTGTTTAATCACCTCATGGATATTGTATACTGACCGTTGCAGGGGTAAGGTAAACCCTGCTCCTGTTTTCCACCCTGAGTTTGGGAGGTTTATGCTCGAAGCAACGCCGGGGAAGCCATGGGGAATTGGTTTTAAGGATCTTCTTGATGTTGAACCCAATATGAAGTGGAGGTAATAGATCTCCACCCAAGACTACCCTGCTCATCACTGACGCACTATATAGAAGGAAACTTGCAAAAGAACACATGGAGCCAAATGAGTTCCCTATCACTCTGACGACCTTTCCTCGTCTAGGTTCTCCCGATTGTCTCATGCCGAACTATCCTGCCTCAGGACCAAAACTGCGCTCACAGTATGTTCCGGATGAAATTGCTAACCCACACATTCGCTTCCCAACTCTGGCAGCCAACATCCGTTGGCGAAGAGGTAAGAAGGTCGAGGTCAACGTGCCTGTTTTCAGGGACGAGAAGACATCGTGGCCATGGAAAGACCCCACTGTCAACTACGACTTACATCAATGGCCCGAGGATGATGATGTTCGAAACGGAGCAGCAAAGGACAACTACATCCACATGGACGCCATGGCTTTTGGCATGGGTAGTTGCTGCCTGCAGATCACTTTCCAAGCGAAGAATATCGAGGAGGGACGGAAGATGTACGATCAACTTAGTCCTTTGGGACCCATCCTACTTGCTTTAACGGCCGCAACGCCTGTCTACAAGGGCTTTCTCGCTGATACTGATGTGCGTTGGAATCAAATCAGCAAGGCCGTAGACGACCGTACACCGGAGGAGCTAGGGGAGAAGGTATGCTATAAATTCAAGCCTGGAAGCTAGTATTGACATCCCACAGCCACTAAAGAACGATCGATGGCGATTGCCCAAATCCCGCTACGCATCCAACTCAACCTACATCTCCCAAGACCCACGCCTACGTCCAGAGTATCTCGACCCGGATCTTATTGTCGACAACGACATCAAGCAGCGCCTCATTGAAGGAGGCATGGACGATCGACTCGCCACCCACTTTGCCCACCTCTTCATTCGCGACCCCATCGTTGTGTTCGCCGAGGATCTCGAGGAACTCGACCTCACCAAAGCCGATCACTTCGAGAACCTGCAGAGCACAAACTGGCAGCACATGCGCTTCAAGCCACCACCACCAGGTCTTGATATCGGCTGGCGTGTCGAGTTCCGCCCTATGGAGATCCAAATCACCGACTTCGAAAACGCAGCGTTCTCCATCTTCATCGTGCTTATCACGCGGGCCATCCTGAGCTTCAATCTGAACTTCTACATCCCTATCACACTCGTGAGCGAGAACATGGAGACGGCTCACATCCGCGACGCCGTATCGACGCAGAAATTCTGGTTCAGAAAAAACCCCTTCTCGTCAAGCAAGACTGGCACGTCAACACCTGCCACAGCCGACAGCCGGCCGGCTACACCCCTCGGCGCCGTCGAAGACGAATACGAGCAAATGACCATCAATGAAATCATCAACGGACAGCAGTCCACCGAGGGCGGATTTCCTGGATTGATTCCCCTCGTGGAATCCTACCTCAACAGCATGAATGTCGATGTCGAGACGCGCTGCGATATTGCTACGTATCTCGCCTTGATTCGGAAGCGTGCTGATGGCACGTATTGGACGGCGGCGAAGTGGATCAGGCATTTTGTGCAGACCCACCCGGCGTACAAGAAGGATAGCGTTGTGAGTGATGAGATCACGTTCGATCTTGTCAAGGCAGCGGAGAGGATTACGAGGGAGGAGGGACGCGATGGGTTTGGAGCGGAAATGCTGGGGAAGAGGCGTTAGTATCTGTGAAGGGTGATTGTGAAGGGTTTCGCAAAGTGTGTTCAACCCTTAGCATATGCATGACTAGCATTGTTTTCATGAGTCTATAAGACTTTGCACTGTTTCAACACTCAAAGCAGGCCATGCGGAGGCGTACACGAAGATCGTGAGTCAGCATGAGAGAGAGACAAATGGCAGAAGATATCATTATAAAGTACTGTAAGAAATCGACAATCCCAAGTCATCCGAAATAAGTGGTATCTGGAAAAAGTGATTACAAAATTCAGCCTGATGATACGTTGTAAGGCGAAGAAAAGTATGAAAGCTTCCAAATCCGCACGACCTCATCCTTACTCCACCTTCACAGATTCATCCGTACTTGGAGCGCGTGTGGCGTAAATGGCGACGAGGTATAGTCCGCCCACTGTATCAACTTGCTGGCGCAAGATCGACTAACACTATCAAGCCTGGTCTTCAGCACTGTCACTGTGCACGCTGAACTTGCGATTGACGTGGATTCGGTCATCCCCCAACAGACTCTTCTGTCGCGGAGAGAGTGACGCTGCCACACTGTCCGTCTCAACGCCACTCTTTCTGTATGTGCCGATACTCAGCTGACGGTTCTTCTCGCACGCGGTTGCTCCGCTCGTCATTGAAGACGTTGAGGCAGGTCCGTAGAACTGATTATGCAGCAGCCGTTGATTCGAGTCTGGCCCGCGGTAGGCGACATTGGACTCGTTGACGACGCCGGCCCAAATGGCAGAGAGAGGGAGGAAGATGCAGACGATTGTGAGGACTTGCTGGCCGAGCTCGGGGACTTGACGGTGGAACTCGAGTGTTGAGAAGATGCCTAGGCTGGATTAGTGAAGTCCTTGTGAAGATGGAATACAGTGGAAGCTTACCTGGGATGATCATAGTCTGACAACCCATGATGAAGACAATTTGCATTGGGCCAAATTGAGGCATCTTGAGCTTTCGCCTCTGGATGATGGCGTGTCCCAGCTTCCATGTGAAAACGCAACTGAAGAGCCAGATGGCGACGGCTTGCATGATATACGATGTCGAGATGAGATCTTGATAGGGTAACATGTCGTTCCACTTCAGCGTCTGTTCGTTGCTTATTATGATGACGGCGAACTTGAACCCGACTGCGATCAGTGCTACGAGTGTGGTGATGCCCATGATGAAGTAGCGATAGACAGGTATGGTGGTAATGCACACAACCCAGACCTGCAAACTGAGCGATACCATAACCAAGATAGTGACGATCAAGGTCATCGTGTTGGTAGCGACTGTAGTAGCGAGGTCCGATGAAGTGATGCGACTCCAGTCCCCAGAAGCTTGAGCATAAGGATGCCAGAAGTTGCCGGTCAGAAAGGTGCACGACAAGATGCAGCGGACGGCGTTGGTGACGAGACAGAGAGCGTTCATGACGAAAATCCAAGACTTGCGCTTCTCGGACCTCGTCAGGAGAAGCAGGACCAACAGGAGGATGATGGATGCCCCAATCTGGGATCCGACGTTGATAGCCCTTCGGATGCCATAGAGACGATAAAACTCAAAATCAGTCATGGTGACGGTGAAGTTGGACCCGTCTTGGTGGAGTAAGGTGATCTGCTGCTCCCAGGCATCGAAAGATGGTGGCATGGTGCTATCCATTGCGTTTGATACTGTTCGGTGTCGTGGGAGAAAGATAGCCAAGTTTACCGTGCAGCGGAGGAGTAGCACGCTGATAGTGGAATTGGATGTTGGTGAAGATAAGAAGATGAACGCTAATCGCCAAGGCAGACGTCTTCTAGGAAGGCGAGACTTGTGGGTGGTTGGAAAGAAGGAAGGAAGAAATGACGAGCTGAAGAAGGAATGGAGTATACAGGTAGCCCACGCAGACAGAAGATATCAACACCGAGGACACTGGCACATAATATCTAGAGTACAATAGCGGGTCTAGTGGTTGTTGAAGCGTAGAGCGAGGTGCGGGTTGATAATAGCAGTCGCACCGCAACACTGGGATTGTACTCACAACACTCGAGTGAACCTCTTCACCTCAGACACCCGAAGCTCTTGCTATTGTTCTTAACACCTTCACTTTTGGATTCGGGAACGGAACCTGCAAAGAGTGAAGCGCAACCAATACCTGTCGTAAGTAACCTTCTCATGTCTTGCAACGAGTTGTAGAGACGCTCGAGAATACTATCGAGGCTCGCCTAAGGATCCATTTCTAATCATCGCGTTTGTAGTGTGGTTTTCCTTACTATTGTTCTTCTACCGGCTGGTGTCAAGGCTTTGAGACCTACGTTTGCGCAAACGCGAAACGATGCACAACCCGCGAACATATCGCCACAGGACACGAATAAGTTAGATTCACTCATGAACATTGCACCAATGACATTGGATATGGACGGTTGAGATTCAAGGCGGAAATACTCGTGAGAGTGAAGGGTGGCTTGGGGAAGTCGCAACTGTACTAGCGTAGCGCTAACGTCGCGTTGAACCCTGACATTCATGCGCGTCATCTGATTTCGCGTTTGTAGCAACCCGTTCGTTCGCCACAGCGCGCGTCAATTCACCTCGAAAAGATGGGCTGGACGTTGCTTGTGTCAGAGGCCACGGGATCGAAAACATCGCCGCTCCCGAACAACGCTACCGCATACATCGTGCTATCTTTGGATTCTGCTTACGCAGAAGTTGTGCTTGAAAAGGACCCAAGGGTGGTGCAAACAGAGCTTGGCCGAATCGGTGTGTTTGCACTCAAGATCGCCATATTGCACTCTGTTAACCGATGCAGCTGTCGGGCCTTGGGGCGTGAAGCTCGAAGCTACTGATGATACGTTCAACATCTTACCTGGCCAAAATGGCCTGGCTGTTTCTGCAGCGGTTGACCCACGCATCCAGAAATATGAATTGAAACCACGCGCCGATGGCCACTCAGAAGCTATTTTCCTGCGCCATGGAGACATTTTCACGCCTTCCAAGTCTAAAAGTAGTCTCACTTGCAATTGGGACCTATCCGAGGTACTTGTCGACTCTTCAGCTGTGGTGACAGAGACTGCGATTCCTAACAAGGCCTGGACCGTTGTCGCCGAGGCTTCTGAAGAAGTCACAGATGACGAAGAGGAGGATCTTAACAAGACTCTCCCCGCCATATCGAGGTCTACACCCAATCTTTCTCATCAAACCTCTATCATCGTGCAGGAGACCCCAACGGCAGCTCGCATCAGCGGTCAAACCGAATACTCACCAGCTCCTGAAATAGAGAAAGGCCATAGCGAAGCTGTGGAGAACACGCCACCCTTGGCTGAAGAGCCTAACGTTGAATCCTTTTCAACCGCCCGCTCTGGACAGTCGGAGAGTGGTGAGGCAGATGTGACGAACATAGATGCCATTTCAGATGAGGTATTCCAGAAAACACATCCTAAAATTTGCGTCAAAGATCTAAGTCTTATACCCAGGTTCAGGCGAAGAGCCCAGCTACAACCAAAAAGCGCCACAGCCCTATGGTTAGTGAGCGTGAGTTGGAAGAAGATATACCAGTCCGAGCTAGCAAGCGTGCAAAGAATGCGCCTTCTAGTGACCACGATACCCAAGATAGCCGACTGAGTAGTATTGACGTGGATATGTCACACAAGGCTACACCTGCAACGAAGGGTAAGAAGCGATTATCGGACGTTCCAGAAGCGACTCCGCCAAGGTCACAGAGAAGTTCGCAACGCTCACGTACAAGTCCAAATTCCGAGCCATATGATGGTCCCGACCCACGAGTGGCGTTCAGTAACTCAGCTCTCACAGAGACCAGTACAGCAGTGAAATTTCTCAAGAAGAACGGGGGCACCTTTGTTGATTCCATCAAGGGAAAACACAACTACAACATTCTGTGTGTGAAAGACGGGGCACTCAACAAAACAATGAAGCTCCTCCAGTCACTTGCTCTTGGTATCCCCATCGTAACCGACAAATGGCTGCTTGAGTCCGCAAGAGCCACCCATTTCCTCGCGCTGTCCGATTACCAACCCCTGGTCCCCGAACAAGAGCGGGAAGGGAACTTTGAGCTCGGCAAAGTCTGGTGCAAACCGCAATCCACTTTTAAAGGTTACACCGTCTACTTCACCCCTAGTCTCAGAAGCACACACCCTGCTTTTGCCGAGCTCGAACAAGTATGCAAGTCCGTGGGTGCAAAAGTCACAAAGAAGATTGGCAAGGGTGAGCAGCTCATCGTGCTCGGGACAGATGAACATGACAAGGAGGCGGAGGCACTGATGGGTGAGGGCGTGGTTTGCTACAACAAGGACCTACTCACCAACACCATTCTTCGAGGCGAGCTTGACTTGAACAGTGATGAGTTCAAGATCAAGACTAAGGCTGCTTCGGCAGGTACGGGCAAAGCTGCGAAGAGCAAGCGGACACGCCACAGTACAAGTTAGGCTGGACTGGGGTAGCTGTCGGCAGGTGTGAAGATTTCGGACGTTTTTCGACGTGGCTCACGGCGCGCATGTTTTTACACGATCTGGGAGAACAAACTGTTTCATAGCATAGCATAGCATAGCAAGCGAGGTATCCTGTCTGCATACAGGCTTTGATCTGATATCAGCATTGCAGATCCACATGCACTGAGTACTTGACTATAATGTGATATTACTGGTGGTGCTTCACCCGTTGATAAAAAAAGACGTCGTAAGCGAGCAAGACCCACCCATCCACACACACATACCCATATCTCGCCCACTCCCCGCGTCGACCTTCCCAATCTATCCGCGCCCCACAACCCCCAATCCTGCTCTCTATATCCCACCAAAATCCTGAGCGACCATCAAATCACGTGCCAACCCAGTTGGTCCAGTCAGCACAATCACATCCCCTGTGGCGCGTAAGTTTCACCCACTCGCCTGGTATGGCATAGTGCACCTCACTAACAAAGAGTCTGTAGAATTGGCTAGCGCGTCAGACTGTTAAGTTCGCAAGATACCGGCAAATCTGGAGGCTGGAAGTTCGAGCCTTCCCGGGGGAGATTTTTTTGGCATTTCATTTTTGGGATTTGGGGGGTGGTGTTTGGAGGGGAGAAAGGGAAGGGAAGGGGTGGTAGTTTGAATGGAGAAATCCACGGCAAGAAAGTTGACACAAATCAACATCATCATGTTCCAATGCGCAGAACCTTTTTAAATCATAGACTACTCCTACTCCCACCACCACCACCACGACTACTTCACTTCCTCTTCTTCGCCGCCCTCTTCTCACCCCTAACATCCTTCTTCAACCTCGCATCAACCATCTTATATTTACCCTTTGTCCCCTTCGGCCTCGTCTTGATCCCCTTATTGCCGCCCCTCGCAACAATAACGCTAACCTTCTGCTTGGGCTTCTTCTTGCTCGCGCGGCTCATCAAGCGGGAAATACTCTGCGCCTTCTCCTTCTCCGTCATGCCCTCCTCATCAGCGAGCATAGCGCTCTTCTTCTTGAGTTTCTCCAGGCGCTGGGCGGCCTTGAATTTCTTGCGGGCCTGCGCCTCGCGCACCTTCTTGATGGGGCGGGCGTTGAGGGCGCGGAGCTTCTCCTTGATGGCGGCTGCGCCCGCGGCGGTGACGGGCCGCTGGAGCTGCGAGTGCTTGTTTTCGTCGTCGAGGAACCAGTCGGGCAGGCCGTCGACGTCGCGGAGGGAGTAGCGGTTGAACGAGTCGTCGAGGAGGTCGTGTTTGGTCTTCTGGCCCGTGGCCATTTGGTGCGCGAGCGTCATGGCTTCGGCGGTTATGATGTCGATGTCGGGCTTGCCGTTTTTCATGGGGATGTCGTCGTGCTCCCATTGGGTTTCGTCGCGCTTGACTTCTTCGATCTTGTCTTCGTCGTCTGAGGAGTCGTCGGCGGGGGGTTGCTGGGGGGGCGATGGCTTCTTGGTGTTTGTGGGTGTTTTCTTGGGGTGCAGTGCGATGGTTACTTTCTCGTCTGCGTCCGCCATTTCGACGTCCTCTTCGACGTCAATGCCGCTGTCCTCGTCTTCTTCCATTTCGTCCAGTCCGTCGATGCCCTTGAAAATGTCTTGGTCGAAGAACCGCGCTGCTCGCTTTGTGAGGCCTTTGCTGGAGCCGTCTTCGTTGTCGAGGTCTGTGATCAACGCCTTGGGTCCCTCCTCGTCGTCACTGCTATCGCTCTCTTGGTCTTGTACGAGTTCTTCGTGGTCGCTCTCTTCTCTTTCGTTCTCGGAAAAGCCGTTCCACTCCCCATCCGCATCCTCTCCCCTGGCTCGCTTGGCGCGGTATTTGGCGTCTCTGATTGACCTCTGTTCGACATACTCGCCGTACATGGCATCGAGATCTCGCTCGAGATGATCTTCCTCGTCATCGGTGAACATCTCCTCCTCGCTCGACTCGTCCTTTTCGCGCTCGACAATCGTTGCCATCTTGCCCCTGGCGATGCGAGAGAGCGCGCCCGCCTTGTCGACAGCCTTGAGAGCGAACATGGAGTCTTCGCCTTGTGGACCAGCTTGCTCCAGACCGATTTCAAAGGGTGTCGTCATGTTCATCTGCAGCCGTGTGATTTCCTTTTGTTTCCGTTCGTTTTCGATGCGGCGCTGCTTCCTCTTGGTTTTCGAGTCCTTGTCCTTGAGTTTCTCTAGCTCTTCCTGTAGCTTCATCTCCTCATCCATGGACTCGATTCTCGCCACCTCTTCCCCTTCTTCCACCTCCTTTTCTTTTGCTTCTTTAGCCTCGTCCTCCTTCTTCTTGGTCGAGAAGCCAAAGATGTCCCGCACCTTCAGACGCCAGCGGAGAAGGCGCTTGAAGTCAGCCCGGCCCAAGACCTTGAGATCGGCGCAGCAGTCTCTGACTTCCTTTGTTGTTTCCGGCAGCTTGTCGATGGTCGAGATGGCAATGTCTCCGTTGGGCTTCTGTTCGAAGCTGAGCTTATTCAGGCTGCCCAGCATGGCGATAGGATCGGTGGTTTGGATGAATTCCGACACGGGCACTTCTTTGAACTGGGTCCAATCGCCCTCCTCGTAACCGTCACGCTTGCGCTTCTTCTTCTCGGGGTTGAAGACCTTGGCCTCGTTGTTGGGGATGGCGTCGGGGAGTTCGGCGAAGACGCTGCGGGCGTCGAGGAACTTGGGGTCGAGGTTCTTGGGGGCCTTGTAGCCACGGCAGACGACGAAGATTTCGGCGGAGACGTTTCGACTCGAGGGCGGCTTCGTGGCCTCGACCTTTGTGAACAGCTGGTTGAAGACCCAGAGGAGCGAGTTGTAGTCCTTGGAGCGGAAGATCTTGGTGACAAAGGTTCCACCCTCGGCCAGAAACTCCGTCGCCAGCTTCATGGACTGCAGCACCAGCTCAGCCTGGGTGAAGGCGTCCTGCACCCAGGCGGTACCGACGTTGGGCGCACCGTCGTGGAGGACTGCATCGGCCTTCAAGTGCTTGAGGTGCTGGCGCAGCGTCGCGCGGCACTTGTCGGTGGTGATGTCGCTCTGGAAGGTGATGCATCGCGGGATGGGCTTGATTGGGGCGAGATCGACACCGACGATGAGGGACTGCGCGGGCATGACCTAGAAAGTAGTGGTGAATATGGGTGCTTGCGCCAATTGGTGGTTGTGTGTGTACCTCTGAGGCGACTTGACACCATGATCCCGGCGCAGCGCAGAGATCGATCAGGACCTTGCTCTTCTCCAGGAAGTTGTATTTTTTGTTCAGCTGGATCAGCTTGAAGGCGGCACGGGCACGGTAGCCCTTTTCCTTGGCGAGCTTGTACCATTTGTCGAGACGACCTTTTCCATGCTGCAGGATGTTAGTCTTGTATCGGCAAGTCGGTGGATCTGAGTGCGCACCTTCTTCTGGATCGCCATGGCTGCGGTTCGGCGTGGTGGTGAGGCGGCGGGCAGGTTCGAACTTTGCGCCGATACTTTTCTGACCGGGCGGTGGCAGAAAGTGGGTAGCGTGGACACGCATAACACGCTAGCGGCACACGGGAAGCCAGCTGCGTGCGTCATGGCCAACAAGGACGGGAGGAAGGCGGCCTACGTGCGCGTGCATCCTCCTCACATGTCCTCCTTTTGCTGGCAGACGGGGTCTCTGGACACTCCTCCACCACCCCGACTTTGCCCACGCGCCCGCCGGCATGAATCCACGCAAGAAGTCGAAGCCAAACCCTGATGTTGCGCCCGGCAGCGCTGATGGCTCCGGCGCGACGCCAGACACGCCGGCCGGGAGTGTGACGCTGCACGATGCGCCCTCGAGGCAGTCGTTGGCAGCGTCGACGGCGCCTTCGAGTGGGGCCGCAACGCCTACCACGCCCACAACACCCATCGCCCCAGGCAAGAAGTGGCTCGGCGGAGCAGGCAGCTGGCGGAGGAAGGCGCCTCCCACTGTCACCACAGCCAAAGAGAGCATTGGCGTCGGTGTGAGCGGAGGAGCCACGGCCGAGCTGCCCGGCGAACAGCCTAAGAAAGCACGGGACGACTCGCCCGCCCGCTTCCTCACCAAGCGCAAGTCGAGCAAGAGTGTCGTGCTGCCTGCGTCCATGACCAAGCTCCACGTCTCCTCGGACGGCCTGGTGGACGACACACCCACCGCGAAGCCAGCAGAACCGGCGACCGACGTGGCAGACGCGCCAACGCCAGACATCGACGAGCCTCCCCTGCCACCCGAGCCGCTCAAGACGCAAGCAACACAGACGGGCGACGCATGGGGGTGGAAGAGCTGGTGGTCAAGGCCGGATGGCTACAAGGAGGGGACCAAGGCTCGAGGTGAGGTACAGGGGACCATGGACGCGGCCCAGAGCACGCTGTTGCCCGAACCGACGCCCTCTGAGGAGCCGGATGCGTCAGTCAAAGGCCTTGAGACCAGCACTACGACAGCCAGCGCCCTCGAAAACAGCACAGCCACCGCCAGAGTCCTTGAGAACAGCACTGCGACGATGGTGAGCGAGACACGTCCAGACGGCGAAATGAAGGATGCACCGCCTGGACCAGCACAGAACGAAGAGCAAGACCAGGACGGAGACGCGGTGATGAAAGACGCACCAGCTGCCAACGGGAAAGCTCCGACAAGGCCTTCGTCGTGGTTCTGGTCGTGGAGCAAGGCGCAGAATGCCCAACCCAATCCTCCTCCGCCAGTCGAAGAAGCCCCAACGTCGCAGCCAGACCAAGTGCCAGAAGCATCGCCAGAAGTGTTGCCAGAACTACCGCCCAGACCTGCACCCAAGTCAGCACCCGAACCAGTGCCCGAACCAGCCCAAGACGCACAACCCCCACAACAGACAGACACCCCCGCCCCCGCAGAGACGATTGCCCAAGATGCTCAACCTACCTCAAAAGGCTCAGCAAAACCCTCTGGCTGGGCATTCTGGTACAGGGGCAAGCCAGAAGACAACCAAAAACCAACCGATGGTGCGGCGCAGAAGCATGTGGGCGAGGTGGCCGTCTTCGACACGCCTTCACAATCCCATCCGGAGGCGGCTCAGTTCAACGAGCAAGAACAGCCCAAAGACGATGCTCCTCAGAAAGACGACGTTCCCCAGAAAGACGATGCTCCCCAGAAAGGCGATGCTCCCCAGGAGTCACTACAACAATCAAAGCGCGACTCCATAACCACAAGGTCGCTCAGATCCCTACGAGGGCGGCCGAAGACGAAAAGCGTATCAAAAGACCCACCAGCAGATACCCCCAGCTCTAGCAATACCGTAACACCTACAAGCACCTCACCCGTACGAGAGCCTGCACCATTAGAAACTGCCCCGGGAACCCAGCCCGCGCCGAAACAGTCCACAAAGACCAAGCAAGAGCCGCCAAACCTCTTATTTCCAGAGTTCAAGACCACGTACCAGTTGGTGCAGCAGCCCAGCTTCTGGAAGCAAGTACGTCAATACTTTCTCGGGGGCGAGCCCGCTACACCACATCTACACATCAATCCAGCACCACCACGAATCAAAAAGGCCGTCGCCATTGGTATTCATGGCTACTTCCCCGCTCCTATCTTCCAGAAAGTCATCGGACAGCCCAAGGGCACTTCCATACGCTTCGCCAACTCTGCAGCTACCGCTATCAAAGACTGGACGGAGGCACGGGGGTACACCCCCGAGATCGAGCAAATTGCTCTGGAAGGTGAGGGGTTTATCGCTGAGCGAGTCAACACCCTGTGGAAGCTCCTGCTCAACTGGATTGATCACATCAAAGCCGCCGACTTCATCCTCGTTGCATGCCACTCCCAGGGTGTGCCGGTCGCGATGATGCTGGTTGCCAAGCTGATACAGTTCGGCTGTGTGAGCTCGAGTCGCATTGGCATCTGCGCCATGGCAGGCGTGAACATGGGCCCCTTTATCGAATACAGAACAAAGTACTTTGGCGCAACAGCCGCCGAGCTGTTTGAGTTCTCCAACCCAAAGAGTGTAGTCAGTCAGATGTATCTCGCCGCGCTGAACGAGGTGCTACGCTACGGCGTGAGGATCATGTACGTGGGGAGTATCGACGACCAACTCGTATCACTAGAGGTAAGCCCCCATCTCCATCTCCAATCCCACCTCATGACACCCCCCTTGCTAACCAAACACCCACGAAAAACAGTCCTCGACCTTCTCCACCCTCTCCCACCCATACATCTACCGCGCCGTCTTCGTCGACGGCCGCATCCACGCCCCAGACTTCCTCACCCACCTCGTCGGCTTCACGCTCAAACTGCGCAACCTCGGCCTCCCCGACCACGGCCTGATCCGCGAACTCTCCCCCGCCCTCGCAGGCTCCCTCTACGGCGGCGAGGGCCACTCGCGCGTCTACGAAGACGCAAAAGTCTACCAGCTCGCCGTCCAACACGCACTAGAAACTACTTCCCTCCCTGTACACACGCGCGACGCTACTTCCTCGTCGTCCACGCCCGCCCCGTCACACCGCCTGCGCGCCCCCGTCGTCGGCGCTGATAAATCCCAGTCGCTGTCGCAGACGACGCAGAAAGATAAGGCGGATATGTATCAGCTGCGTGTGAAAGACTATGAGAGCCCTGCTGCGGGCGTCAATCAGAACCCGTTCTTCCTCCCCTGGGCGATGCGCGGCTTGCTCGAAGAAGAGTTTGTCAAGAAGGCGCTGGGGAAGGAGGTTGAGGAGCTGTTGGGCATGTTTGAGGAGTGGACGCCCAGTACGAAGCAGTTGAAGGATGTCAAGTTTAGGCTTGAGGCTGTGAGGAGCAAGTTGTGAGGTTTTGTTGTGTGTGTGGGTTAGCGGGCGTTTTTGGAGAGGCGTTGTATACCGGTTTGGGATTGCGGAACGTTGAGAGTTCGTGAGCGTGGATGGACGCTCATGTAGATTTCATAACGTAAACGCATGTGCATATCAATTGCTGGTTCGTTTTCACAGACTGCTGCACTGTGTATGCATGTCACACATGTGATGTCGAGATTATCTATCCGCTCTCATGCATTGATAGTCGTGTCGTGACCTGCCTGGCGTCGACATGACGCCCTCACGTCATTCTTCATCCCCAAATCTTCTCCTCCACGCACAACAGTCAAGCTCATTCCCCGTCGTAGAAAATCTCCTTGTGGCGATGCGTAGCGTCCACGACGGCGTTTGCAGCGGTAAAATCTGCCCACGTTAGCTCGGCATAGAGAAGAAGCAAAAGGAGCGAGCGAGCGGAGAAAGAAAAAGGCGGAGACGCATGGAGTAGAAAGACGGGGCAAGTAGGATGGGAGAAACGTACCAATATTCGTGCCGAAATCTGTTGCGGCTTGTACTTTGACATGCAGGTTCCCGTCCACCTTGCCGATGATTTCTACCGCGTGGTTGAGCGCCAGGTGGGCGTCCTGCTTAGCATGTCGTTAGTGAATAGATTGCAACATGTATTTAGTCACCGATGCTATGCCGTTCCTTGCCGTGCACTCTTTTGATAGTTTGGAGTCCTCGATTGAACACGCAAATGCGTAGAGAATAAAAACATAGGGACGGAAACACAGAAACTTGCTCAACGGGAATCGCAAACAACGAACATGGAAATAGACATAAAAGACGAAAACATAGCGCAACGTAGAACAACACGACGTAACGTGACCACAGCTTACCCGGTTCAGTATCACGTCAATCTGCCCCCCGGCATCGATGACTGCTGTTTCGCCGCGCAGCTGGACGACTGTTCCCAGGACGCGGACGATGCGGTGTTGGAAGTTTGCGAGGTGGGTAGCCAGGACGCGTGGGGTTTGTGGGTGGTCCATTTTCGATCAAAGTGTTGGAGGGGTGAGTATTTAGCCTGAGATGAGGAAATTGTTGGTGGGCGTGGTGGGTTGTTAGGAAGGAAGGGAGTTTGACGCGTTGAGGCGCGTGGGGAGGGGCGAGGGTGGGTTAGCGTGGTGCGAGGGCACGTGATGGGGGGGCTTGCATCGTTTCCAACGCTGTGCGTGCTTTGTCTCTCTTTCTCTCTCTCTGTCTTTTTCGGCCGTGCTGTTGTCTTGTTGTGGACTGCTGGTATATTACGCCTGCTAGTTCTGGCTCTACTATCTGTCCGTTTTTGTCTATGTCTTCGATGACCTTGCGTATCGCGATGGGAGATGTAGGTTGCGTTCGTTGTGTGCTGTCACTTCTGTAACCCCCACTCCATCACTGGAGAGTAGGAGATGCAGATTTTGTGGGACTGATCGGGCGGAGAAATTTGATTCAATCTCGTTGTCGTTCCTTCCTTGCCTACACTCTGGAACTTTGCTTATGCTCAGACTGTGGAGTCGGTTGTACTCGATGTCATTTTTCACCAACAGGGACATGAGCGACACACTATTCATAGATGCCAAACCTTCAGTTGGCGTAGGTAACGCCCCGCATATCTCTTGAGACAGATACATTCCAATCAACGTGCTATAGAAGTGGTCGATCACTTTTGTGGTCGATCATTCCTGCATGTTCAGCAGTAAGGTCAACGTTAGAGGTCTAAAGGCGCAGCAGAAGATGATATCAAGCACTCGCCTTGCACTCCATCTCACTTACAGAACTTCCCCAACCTCATTTTCATCTTGCGACGTGTCACACACTTCTGCGTCCTAGCGATGAAACCACGCGCATCTTATTTCACCTCCCGTCAGTACCCCAAGGACGAGCCAGCAGCACGCGCTGAGATGTTCAACCTGGGACCTGCGGAACGTGGATCGCACGATTCCCACTATGAAGCAAAGAACGATCCCGAGCCAACGTTTCGCGAGAAATGGTCGAATTTTCCATGGAAGACGTTTCTGGTAATCTCAACATCACCGCTCGCCTTAGCCCCAATTATTGTTCTCTCAGCTGCAGCAGAAGCAGCATTGCAAAACTACATTGGCGGGCGCGAATACTATACCATTGGTTGCTAGAAAGAGCAGATGCACGCAACGTGGGAGATAATGGACTCGATATATTTCGTCACACCTAACTTGAGCTTCGGATCAATGACTTTCACGCAAGTTGAAGTCATCGACGTCGCATGGGATCTGATCGTTGGAAGAGGTGGACAGGTTCTGCTCGCCTAGGTCAATTATCGCATATTCAATGAATGGCTCGTTTACCACATGGAACTGCATTTGACGTCGTACAAGATGTATGCGGCGATTGCTTTTGAAACAACAACAATGAGCATCCTGGGTGTGCTTGGGAAGGAGTTGTTGACTTATGGCAAGTCGTCGTGGAAGCGCTTCTTTCGTTGGCTGGCTATATTTTCCATGTTTCTCTCGACTTTATACGTCCTTTCGTTTCCGACATTGATGGCTGGTTATATCACAACGTATGAACCGTATATCGAAGACTACGACAACAACCTCATTGAACTGTGGAAGGTGGTGAAAGCCGAATACATTATCAACGATGCTTCGAGAATTGGTTTCGCGAACCCTCTTGTCGTAGTCGAGGATGACTTGGAGTTGATGAGAGCGATTAGGGAGTGTACGTATTCTAGATTGCCTGGGAAGGCTTGACTGACGGATGCTTTTCAGATACCATGCGACTAATTGCAGAGACCAATAGACTGGTTGACAACAACACAAATTACGGTGACCTCACGACATGGGATCATTACACTGGTACATCTGTATCGGAATTCCGTTCTGAATAGAAGTTTGAAGGCAAGGTCGTCAAACTCACCATACCAAGCTGTAAGCAAGACTTCGTGACAAGTACTATCTGAGACATACTAATGGTACCCAAGTCTTTATTGAACATAATAAGCAGTCTGCTCAGCCATAATGTGCCGGTCAAAGACGACTCCAAGCTCGACCATAGTCACTACACAATCAAGGACAGTGGCCGCCAAGGCGTGATTTATGATCGCGCATACCTCCTCGCCCGTGGTCGTGCAAGCCCAGTGAGACCTACCAATGGGGCTTCTCCTACATCTTCCTCTTCATGGTGTCCATCTTCCAGTTCGTCTGGTCTTGCACGATGGTGGGCTTGTGGCTAGACACGCGGTACCGATCTAGGATGTACCGCAGTGGAAAACGACCAGGACTTTAACGCAGTATTTTAGATCTGTCGGCTGCTACACGAGGTGAGCTGGGTACACAAGCCGAAGACCTGTTCTGAAAAGCTATTTCCCTGAAACGGACATATAATTTGTGCTATTGTCTGCATTTGCCATTCACATACGTGTCCACCTGGAAGTGAAGGGCATGTTGAGATATTGTCTCGGTAGATTCAACTACCTATGTCATTGAGTTATCTATATATTCCAGTGCCGACGTGTGAAACAGCAAAAGATCAATCTCTAGCTGTTCCAGCTAGTAGATTGATGTAATCCTACGCGACACGACGTTATTATTTTCGTTCTCACTTTGCCGTCTAACCTGCAAGATTAGTAATGAGCGAGACTGGTAAACCAGTTTCCAGGTTGTAGCGTGACGTGATGATACCGAAAAGAAGTGGACATAGAGAAGTTAGGGCCGAAGATTTACCGCTAGCGTGATCGCGTGTCTGGATCATTTCGAAAATAACGCCCCTGATGCTCTCGCCTCAGCTCGGAGACTTACCAATCATTTGTGTATCATATTTTTCGCACCTAGAAGTCTACTTTGAAGTGAACGCAGTCAACACCATCATCTGGTACCGAGCCCTTCCTGAGGCTCCTGCCAATTTCCCAAGCTGAGCCCATCATTCTGATTAGAGACCTTCGGATGGCATCCCAACAAGCTTGCTTAGCTACCGATTGTTCTTACTCAACCACATCATGATATTCAGTTCACTGCTGGGGTTCCTGCAGAGACAGGCTGTCCCTCTTACAATCTTGCTTCTCATCACCCTGCCATTTCTGACTTATTATGTTTCCATGTCGAAATTCGTCCGTAAAGCGAATAGTAAAGCATTGGGGAAACGGCCACCAACAATCCCATATTGGATCCCAGGAGTCTATCACACCATCAGTCTGGTATCTGTAGGACCTCAGAAGTATTTTGGGATGCTCATGTAAGCAATAATATATGTCCATTCGTTTTAGCCAAATACTGATGTCCTGCAGTAAGGAGTTTGGTAGTTTTGCGCCTTTTGTAGTCAAAGCAGGATCACATTCTATCCTTGTACTACGAGACCCGAATCACATCCAGAAGATACTCAGATCTCCAAAGCAACTAACTTCTACTGCTTTCACCGTCCGAACATATAGCAAAGTGTTTGGCTCACCAAAAACAGCTCTGAAAATGTACTCAGACAAAGGCGTAACCGAGAAACAGAGGGAAGCTCTAGAGTATACACATCTGACTTTGCCTCGAAAGCACTTGACAGGTGTATCGCTTATACCTGTCGCTGATCTATACACCTCAACCCTCTCTTCAAACCTCAACGACAAGATGTTTCAAACGGAGTTCTGGACCATGGTTGAAGACTTTTGGTCATTCTTCCAGCAGACAATCACTCGCTGCATATTAGAGACACTCTTCGGATCGGCACTGCTTAAGCAGTACCCAAGCGTCGTGCGAGACTACTGGGAATTCGACACAGGTATCGAAAATTTTACCCGGGGGTTGCCGCGCTTCGTGATGCCTGCCGCACACGATGCCCGTGACCGATTGCACCGCGGCATCGAGAAATGGCTAAAGACTAATCATAGCGGAACTGACTTTGCGAGGTTTGGTGATGATGATCCTGTATGGGATGAGCAGAAGGGCTCCAAATTCATCCAAGAACGAGACGATGTGTTTGCGAAGGCAAGTCTAGATATGAGGGCGCGAACCTCGGAGATCTTGGCAATCATGCACGGGTATGTATATTCCAGACCACACCGAAGACAGGCGAGAAAGAAGTTGTAGAAGCTGACGCGTGTCTTTAGATCTCTATCCAATTTGGTCCCCTCCACATTGTGGATGATCATTGAGATTCTGCGGCGGCCACACCTAGCTAATCACCTTACTGCCGATATCCTCAAATATAGTCCACCACAAATCGCAACCTACGACATTGCCACAATCACGGACATGCCGCTCTTTCGATCTATTCACGCCGAGATTGGACGACTTCGCGTGGCAAGCAGTACGGTCCGTACCAGTGAAGTTGACAACTTCCAGCTCGACGATCAATGGACACTCCCCAAAGGCCTGTCAGTATTGCTTCTCTCCCACGATATCTCCATGAACACCAAATTGTGGGCGAAAACACGGCCCCGGACTGTCGAGAGGCCGTTGGAAGAATTCTGGGCAGAACGGTTCCTCATACCGGATAAAGTTGGAAGTAAGCACAGAAGAGTGAGGGAGAGGAAGGAGCAGGTCGAAATTGGACGGTTCGATATGGACGGTCTCGAGACGTTGCATACCACTTTTGAGGGCGGTGATCACTTCTCTCCAGGTCAAGCATTTGTCCAAGCGATGCAAGCAGCTACCTTAGCCGTGCTGTTCACCGAGTTTGAGGCACGGCTTTGTGACCCTGATGAGGTTGCCGAATTAATGCCTCCGATTCTTGAGACTGCGTACGGGGTTATGAAACCTCTTGGCAAGATTGCTATCCAGATACGAAAACGCAAACCGAGCCAGAAGGTTTAGATAGTCTAAGAGAAACACCAAAGACTCTCCAAAGTCTATGTATATACTTTTACGATCGTCTAACAATAATACACAAGAACTATACGTGTAGAAAGAGTTCAAGATAAACCTCAGCACATCGACCCGTCCTGGTATTTTTTCCCATCATCCAACACCTCTTCAATGGCTCAAACCTACTCGCACCCCGATCTACTCTATGCTTGATGTTACATAGTATGTGTGAGGTGACTAGCGTGCGAAAAAAAGACGGCGCGCACAGACCAGACATGGAAAAAATTCCACTCCCGATTCTCCACACGCCCACATCACCACCACCACCATCACCACAGCAAAAATACAAGCAAGCAAAAGAGAAAGCCTGACGTGGGGCTCGAACCCACAACCTTGAGATTAAGAGTCTCACGCGCTACCGATTGTGCCAGCCGGGCTTTGTTGTTGCTTGTTGATGGACGGATGTACACGATCAGGGGTTATGACACCACAGAAAACTTGAGTGGGCGGGGATACTATCGCGATGATGATGACAGCAACCTGCTTAAGGGCCAACGAGGCCTGTCTTTTACCTGTCGACACTTGGTTAACGTTTGGTTGAAACTTGGTTGAAGTTTGGCTGACATACACCTACCTCGTATGCACATGTACATCATTGGAGGGAACAGTGTGGTTGACTAGACGTGACTTCGTACATTTGAATGATACCTAGCTGCCCCAACACGGAGACACCCAAGCACTGATACCGGTACCTATCGTAAAGCGTTCCCCCACCTAAACCTTCTAGAACACTAAACCCCACCCGCTGGAAGACACTAAGAAGCGAAACATGCCTGCAAACATACAGGCCAAACACAATCCTACACGCCATGATCACATGTAGACCTTTCTCCACAGTCTTGACTCGTGCGATTACTTCCACTGGCCCTGGCTCAACTTTAGCAAGCCTTCCACGCACCCTGCCTCCTCAGCCGAACTCAAGCTTGTCCGTCCGCTCATAGGGCCGCCACGCATGAAAGATCTTAGTTCGTCGTCCTGCTCAGGATCGCTAGATTCGTTACTGCCTGCGCCCTTCTCTCGCGCAAGCATGGCGCCCAGACTCGAGGTCTGCGACATGACGTCTGTGTTCTCGCCCAGGATTTGCCGTGCTCGTTGAGAAGCTGAAGGTGTGACGACATGACGCTGTCGACGCGCTGATTTCGGCATGTCGGGCTCCCAGTTCTCTTTGTCTGATTCTGTCTGCAGCATATCATCCGACTCAGTCTCATCGCCGCCCTTCTGTTTGCTCTTGCTTGGAACGCGGCTATCGAAGGTGGATGCGCGTTGCACGGAACCGCGCGACTTCTTGACTCTCGGACTTCCTAGCACCTCATTCGAACGGTGTCGAGACTTGAGTGGCGTGTTCTGGCGTGCTTGGTTCTGGGCTAGTATTTTCCGATTTGCGCGTAGCAGTCCAATTGCGTCCGCTGCACTCCCACTTTCCTCTTGCTCTGCGCGTGCTGTTAAACTTGTGTTGTATCGACTCTCGGGATCGCACCAGAACTCCCATGTGCGCGAGTCCCTGCTTCTACCGATGTTTGGCGATACCCTGGGCATCTTCGGACTTGGCTCCCCACGAGCAGCAGCTGCCAGCCGGTCGTTCAGTCCAGCGGCACTGTAAGTCCTTCGCAACCCCGCAGCGGCGCGGGAGAAAGTGGCGGCGTTCGCCTTCGCGTGTGGGGGCGAGGGTGTCTTGTCGAGGTCTGTTACCACGCGTGCTGTGCCATCTTCATTGGTAGATATTCGCACAAAGGAGTGTGCGCGCTTCAACGGACATGTGGCTGACTGCGGTACCTCGGGCGACTCGGCAGGTTTCGAGGGAGCGTTGGGGAAGGTGATGATCTCCGACGCATAGTCTTCGCTGTAACGGACGAAGGACGCGCTGCGGCGATTCGAAATCCATGACGTCCGTGGTTGCGAGGCGCCCTGGGTGGATGCGGTTTGCTGGGAGTTGCTGATGTCGGGTGGCGCCGTATCTGCAGGCGGGGAATCGCTAGGCAGTTCGACTGTGGAGGCAGGCGGTTCAGCTGCAGACTCGCTTGTTGTCTGGGATTCGTGGTGGACGGTTTCGCGTTTATCCTCATCGCGCGCCTCTTGCGCCGTCTCGTCTGGAGTTGCTTCAGGTGTTGCTGTCCGCCCTAGGCTATCAGACGTCCGGTCTGCTTCCGGCTCCTGCTGCTCCGGCGCGTTCTCGACTTCGCGCACACTCGTCTCGTCTTCGGTGAGCGGGTCAGACATGATGGAAGATGATGACATCAGCGAAGCGGACGAGGAAGGCTCGAGCGGTCGGGAGCGGCGGCGGTCGTTCTGTCGTTTACTAAGAGAGGGGTCAGTCGTCGCGCACACTCGTGACCAGCACGGATACTGTCGGGCACGTACTTTTGGAACCAAATTTGGACTTCTTTCTCGCCAAGCGCGACTTTTTTCACGATGTCGAGGCGTGCTGCTTTGTCGGGTTTGGAGTTGATCAGGTACTCTGCTTTCAGAACATCTTCGTCTTCCTTGCTGCATGTTGAAGTCAGCATGCATGCAGCTACGCGCGGGGCTGTGCCGGAGTAAAGCCACGGCACGTCCCACCATCAACGCGTCGCGAACATCATAGACGGAATGAAAGTACTGTAGGAATAAGTGAAAACACGCACCTTGTTCTGCGTCGTCTTTGCCTAGCAAGAGGTTTGTTATCGACGTCGGGAGACATCTGGTTCGCGACGGTTCTTTGCGAATGTACGAGGAAGGCGTAGTCAGCATCGCGCCTGCCAATTGGAGACGCGGATGGCAAAGGCGAGGAGCTGGCCATCTTGAGTGATCGACACAACTGTGAATTGGATGAACTGGCACGCGCGTGGTATGCAGGACTAATTGGCAGTGGACGACGATAGAGAAAAGATATAGGAAACAATATGGTGGCAGGTGTGGAAGCGCGTCCAAATCGTGGACGCGCCCGCGGTTAGTATGTCTCGCATATGGATCCACTCGCACTTTCCCGCTGGAACCATGGTCTGTGCACGTTCGACCTTGAGCGGAAAGCCTCAGAACAATCGCTGTACTTTTTGTAGAACTTCAATTGTGATTATTGCAATACACCACTGGTTATTGCGCTCAAGATGCATGCAGGTATCAAGATGTCGGAAAGAAGATCCATCGAGTGCTTCTTAACGCGATGCACGACCAACGCGAGCGCGACCTCGGATACCAGCATGAACGGCAGCGCATCCCGACCCACGCGTCGCAAGATACGCGTCGCAGACTACGCGTCCGAGCGTTCTTACTACTTCCGCCGAAGAACGATGTAGAGAAATACTCGATCGAAATATTAATCGGCTGAAAGTAAGCAAACGTACAGGCGAGTTCATATTGTCAAATGATGGACGCGTTTGCACGTGACCTTGCTAAAGTCATCCAACCCGCTCCTTCCGCAGCTGTGATATCTCTCAGAACTATGTTCTCTCGTCAACCGTAAGATCAAGATCTATTGCCGACACTGATGATGGACAGGCATCAACGGTAAGTGAACCCCCACGACTACGAGGACCCGAAGCTCTTGGCACTTAGGCTGAAGGTTGCCTGCGACTACATTTTCCTACACATACACTTCTCTTGTCATCATTAGCATCTGACCTGCATACGCCACTTGAGCTTATACGTAAATGTCTGTTAGTCTGTTGCAAGTCCCCATCCTTACCGGTGAGCATGATCTTCAGAGGCTAAGACTGGGGTTTTCAAGAGCTGGGTTTTCCGAAGCTGCCATGATCATGTGGTACGCCACTCATCCTAGATTCGCCACGTTTTCTGCCTGGAGCACTCTTCCACACCGCCTACCGTATGCGAGTTGCGTCTCAAAGTTATTCGCTTGGAACAACAACCTATGAAGAGAAAATGGTGAACTTGACTAACGCTCCACTTACTCACCACGCTTATACGCTGCTCTCATGGGTTCCACAACCGTTCGGACATACGCGAGATTAAGATATTGTGCTTGAGGCATCGGCGGACGCGTCTAGCATTACCCTAACAGCGTCACCGGTTATGATATCATTCGTCTTTCTTGTCATTTCCCGTCTCCTCATCTCACTACTCACGGAATCCCTTGCACATGAACCCTAGGTTCACGTATCGGATTGCCCTGTCAGGCCAGTCAAACAGGCGTCTCGACCGCTCCCGAACCATATTCTTGTGGCCAAAGCTTAGGTTTGTTGATCTAAGAGGGATTCTCTTGGTCAGGTCAGCCTATGTCTTAGCTACCCTACAGTGCAGAAATCTGCGTACGCTCTCCGGACAGGCCGTTCGAGAGCTTGTCAAGAGGCCGCCGATAAGGACAAACCCTTGGCCCCATCTGCTTGTTGGCCGGTGACTGGATCCAGGTGCCATGATAGGCAACCTTTGAACATTAGGTGAAGGATTTCTAGATCACGATTGGTTATCACTCATCGACATGTAATCTCTTTCATAGACTTACATGCAGTCCCACTGTTGGATTTTGATATAACTCGTCACGACTAACAGCACATTGTGGTCATTCTTACCGCCTTCCAAGCCCGCACCAGACTTGGAATCACGAAGTGCCTATATTTTTTAGTGTGCAGCGGATCGGGTCTGGAGTTTGGATGGTTCTGAAGACGATTGAAACCATGTAACAGGCGTTGAAACCAGGCAACTGTATACTAGCCGCTGATAGTGCCCACCAGGTCCTTCCCAACTTCGCTTACTCGCGACCACCCCTGGGTAGACGGTAGTCGATATATTCACCGTACGTCTGTGCTAGTCCGATAATGCAGCTCGCTCCGATGTAACTTCACTAGCAACGGTTCTGGTCTGCTTCATCGTTGTTCTATTGGTGAGATGGTAACCGTCTCCCAGAAGCATGCACTAGAACACTTTCATAATCATCAACTAAGTACTAATTAGTGTCGGAATTACTCATACCAAGTTTACCAAGACATCTGGCTCGATCACTGCCTCCCATCACCAGTCCGGTGAGTCATCAGCATGCATGCGGCCAGAAAAGCAAGTCCATGATGAGGCTTCAGTCCATAGTCGAGCCCCTTTACACGGCATCCTAGCAATTTGAAGCCTTTGCTCATCCAGAGTATTCTCTTCCAACCTTCGTGGCTTCAGGATATGTCCAACATGCGTGTCGCAATAGTAGGTACTTGCGGTCTGGCGTTGCTCATAGCAAAGAGAATCCACGATTCTACCAGTCATCAACTTGTCATACTATCAAGAAGCGTAAGTGATCGTTCCACAGTTCCTTTAAACCTACAACATACACACCACAGTGACACTGACACTCAAAAGCATCGAGCAAGTCTCATATCTCGAGGATATCAATGTCAAGTCGTCGACTACAAGAACCCGTCTTCTCTTCAGCACGCACTGATGGGTATTGATACTGTCATCTCCACAGTGACTGGCAACTCGCAACTTCGGCTCATCGAGGCAGCTGTACAATGTCGGGTGCGTCGATTCGCCCCCGCTGAATTTGAAGGTCAGCCAGTGCTGCGAGGACAAAACAATGTGTTGGATCGTGGCAAAAGTGCTGCTTTGGCTCTATTGCAACATTACCGAGCGTATATCCAGTCCACCGTTTTTGTCTGCGGCATACTTTATGAACGCTTTGCTGTAAACGGGATGTTATCATGTGGCATTGGTGTCAACACAGGTTATGGAAGAGAAGGAGACTACATTGCTGACCCGCGCAATATGATCGCTGAAGCACCAGCGTACGACGCTGCTCAGAATAACGCGTGTCTGTGCTTGACGTCCGCACACGATGTGGCACGCTTTGTGGTCAGATCTTTAGAGATGCCGAGCTGGGCTCCAGAGATGTCGATGAACGGTGAGAGGACGACGGTTCACGCACTCGTAGAGACCATCAAGGTTTGCAGAGGTAACCTAATTCCTCTTCCACATAATTCATTGTTGCAGCTAACATCTCACAAGGGCGACAGTGGAACAATATTGTATGGGAAAATCCTGCCAGTCCGTTTTCCAGCCGCTGTTATCTCAAACTCCAGCGCTGACCAAACTCTACAGCTCTTCAGTACCAAATTCATATGGCCCAGATGGCAGGAGATGTACCTACGCAGCGGCGCCTTGCTACACTTGGTGCCACAGCAGAAGGGCGTTACGACTTTGCTTCGCCGGCATACCTCAACACATGCTTCCCAGACATTCGGCCAGTCGCTTTTCGAGACTGGTTCTTACAGAACTGGGCTTTGGTGCCTTGAAGGTCGTCTTATACTTACTCTACGGATGGCAACCGGTTCCGTCGCTTGGACTTCAATTATGTTCGCTTGTCTTCCTTGAGATTTGACATACACATTAGTTGTTTTATGTGACGTAGATGGTGGAATCGACAAGTACCATCAAATATTATTCAAAATAGCCAACAGTCAACCCACCAAGGCATACATTTTCCTATCACAAAGCTCATCCCATTAGTCGACACCCTCATCATACACGAACTGCTATCATTACGGAAACAAAGGTCTAGAAATGATAGTGATTCATCCACTCTAATCGATATCAGCATTGAGGCTGTTTCGCCGGTATTGCGCTCAAACAGGGTTTTCTTGCAAGATGAATTAATTTTCCTTGGTTTCCATGATATCCCAATGTCTGTCGAAAACCTTGGGGCGCCCCATCGCTTAGATGTTCATATAGCACAAGGTTTACATGCTCCAGTTTTACAAAATAAGCTTTGCCCGATGACGCCACGGCCTGCAGTGTGTTGGCAGGATTTTCGATGAAGGCAGCCGAACGATGAGCATCGTGCAATTATGCAGTAGTTCTGACATCACAAGACCCACCGAAACATTCATATACTATAAATGCGCAACATGGCTTTGGAAACTCCATCTCAATCCAGCACCTAGTTCAGAATATCTAACAACCCGTATTTCGACCTACTACGTCTTAGTTTATTAGTAAATCAGCAACGTAAGTTTTCACTTGAAGTCACTCTATCAAAAGGCTTCGAACTCGAGCATAGCTCAACATATCAACCGATACATTTATGCTAACACCTTCCTAGTCCTTCAACTCAACGCAAAGCACAAAAATGGTTTCCTCCCAACAAGGCTACTCCAAAACTACTACCGACATGACTGGCAACCAGGAAGCCGTCGACAAGGCTCAAGCCAACCTGCCTCTTCCAGAACAGCCCCCTGCGGCCTCAGACTTCAACTCCGCCAGTGCAAGCACTATGAATGTCGGTTCAGGTGAATTGTCGGGCGATGCTTCGTCGTTCACTGCTGGACGTGAGGCACACGATGGGCTGGAGGGCATCCCAAATGACGCTGTGACGAGAGATGCGAAGAATAAGAAGGGACTGGCGCAGACGACCGGAAAAGATTACGGTACGCCTCCGAGTGCGAAGTAGGGTCCGAACATCTTGATACAGGATGTTTGGGGTTAGATTTACGATTTACGACTATGGGGTAGGCGAGAGCATGTCTGCTCTAATTAGCTCTCATTATTGTTGTTCCTTGGCTACATCAATTGCAGAAATGAACAATTGAATCTGAATGAGTATTCAACATGGTGTGATATGTGTTGTGGTGAGACTCGAAAGCGGAGTTGTTATCGATCGCACACGTAATTGACGTCACAACATGACGCAAAGCGCGCTCTGTTCACGACTTAGAAGCCATAAGAGGACTGCGACGACCATTCTCTCTGAACAATCTACAACTGCTCACCTTAGACCCGCAACTACTCCCATATTCTGCAATTGAACCAAGTTTTCAGAACACAACTATCAACATGTCTTCCACAAATGGACAGAAGGTATGTACAATCACTATTTCCGCCCCAACGAGTCAGCACCCGGCAGCCACCAATCCGTCTTCCAAGGCACGCATCTAATACACATCCAGGTCACTACAGACCCCGCCTCTAATAACGTCATTTACGAATCTGCCGGTACCGTAACCTCCGACTCCCTTGCTGCAGAGTCCTCCTCCTTCGGTGCTGGTAATCCCAAAGCCGCCGTCTCCCAGCAGCCCTCCGCCTCCACAACCACGAACACAACCGACACCTCCAACGCGACACGCCTCGATCCTGCTATCGATGCTGAGACTCGTGGCGCGCAGGAGGGATGGAGCGAGGAGTCGCAGCTGAAGGCTGGACAGCAGCTCGGCATCAAGGGCTTGGGTAAGGAGTCCGGCGTAGGGCCAACGTGGAACACAGTAAAAAGCGGACCAGGCGCTGCCAGTGTGGCGCCTACGGGCACAAATCCTAGCGATGTTAAGGATGGGAAGCCCAAGGGCGCGAACCTAACAGAGGATAATGAACTACACGGACGGACGGTGTTTGGGCAGGTGGGAACGATGCAGGACCCAGGACGAGTAGCCGAGTCGGAGTTTGGGAAGAAGGATGCGGTGACTGGTGGGCCTAAAGATGCCCCACAATCAGGGGAGAGTAAGTTCAGTGCGCTTGGAGGCGACACATCTGCGTAGACGGTTGATGATATGACAACATGTTAAGAGAGATACCCGTCTGTAAGGTGTTTCGTTAGCGTATCGTGACCACGAGCATGTCAACTACATATTCCTGCGTAGTCCCTTGCAATGCTCAACCTTGTCCTGTCTTTACACGTATGGTTCAGTAGATTGAGAGTGAAGGTGAGAATGATGTTCTCGCTTATATAAAATACCCAAAGCCGAGATGCGGCGAAATCTTGTGATAGCTTGATAATTACAGGCAAAGCTCGTATAAAACTTGTATGCCTTAGGTATAACCAGTATACGCTTACAATTTTGTTTAACTCGTGGTAGTTGAGCTTGAAGTTTAGTCGCGTATTATTTCGAGATAAATATAGCTGAATTCCGCGTACTTCAACCCCCTCAACGCGGTCTTTCCCAATCCGGCCTCTTCCGCGCTTGGCACCGCGTAGGGCTGAAACTCCCAAGGTGTCCTTTCACGAACATCCAACATTGGCCGCGCAATCCTCCAACGTCGCTCCTTTACTTTTCAACCGCTCTTTCCTCTGAACTGCACGGTTTCTTCCGTCGCGATTGGGTCTGCTGTGCCCTCAGAAGACGCGACTGAGTGTGCAACATGAACGATTTCGGGGACCGCAGCCTCGATGAGGATGCGTTTGGGACTGCGAAGGGGGGGATTGTGTCGAGTTTCGATGCCTTTCGTAAGTAGATCTTATTGTGATTAAATAGTGGGAGGTGAGGAGCTGCGACATGTAGCCTCTCTGTATGCTCTATGATCTAGCCTCGCTGGTGGAATTGAGATTGGAATGTCAGAGCACGCGCGTTACATCAGATCTTTTTGGAGTATCGACTAACAAGTCAATCAGCCAAGACCAAGAAGACATACCTTGTACAAGGTCGTAATTCCTCCGGGTGGACCGTAACCCTCATCCTAACGTGCATTTGGCTCGCCTGGACCGAAATTGCGCGATGGTTCGCGGGCACGACCACACAATCATTCTCCGTAGAGAAAGGCGTATCGCATGACATGCAAATAAACCTCGATGTTATCATTGCCATGCGCTGTGCTGACCTGCACGTCAACATGCAAGACGCAGCTGGTGACCGGACGCTGGCTGGCGATCTGCTGAGGAAAGACCCTACGAGCTGGGGGCAGTGGACGGGCAAGAACATGGAGAGGGGCACGCATGAGCTGAACAAGCAAGGCGATGAGCCGGGCTGGGAAGAGCTGAGCGATGTGCATGACCATTTGGGCAAAGCGAAGAAGAAGAAATTTTCCAAGACACCGAGGATCAAGGGCCTGACCGACTCGTGTAGAATATTCGGAAGTCTGGACGGCAACAAAGTGCAGGGTGACTTCCACATCACAGCGCGAGGACACGGGTATATGGAGTTTGGAGAGCACCTGGACCACACATGTAAGCTCCGCACAACCACCAATACGAGGATGACGAAACCTATTTGCTAACACTGACCCAGCATTCAACTTCTCCCACATCATCCGCGAAATGTCCTTTGGCCCTTACTACCCCTCCCTCACCAACCCTCTCGACAACACTATCGCTTTGACCCCCACGCCAGAAGACCATTTCTACAAGTTCCAATACTACCTTTCTATTGTGCCCACCATCTACACCGATGACTCGTCAAAACTCCACCTCCTCGATGCGGACCGCAACACCGCCGGCTCCCTCTTCAGCACCCATGCCATCAAGACAAACCAGTACGCGGCAACGTCACAATCGCATACGGTGCCGGAGAACAATGTGCCTGGCGTCTTCGTCAAGTTCGACATTGAGCCCATCATGCTGAGCGTAGTGGAGGAGTGGGGTGGCTTCTGGAGGCTCGTGGTCAGGCTGGTGAATGTTATCAGTGGTGTGATGGTTGCAGGAAGCTGGGCGTGGCAGATGTACGAGATCGGGCTGGAAGTTTGGGGCAGGAAGCAGAGGGATAGGGGACATGGGTTGGGCATGTTGGGCACGCCGGCGAGGGAGAAGAAGGAGTGGGAATAAGCTATTGAAGAGGAGTCTTAGACCAACATTGCATCTGTGGCGTTTGTGGACCGGAATGTGGGCCTGTCATGGAATCTCTTACCTGGAGAACTCAAGGGGTAGGTTTCGAAAGTAACTATGTGTTTACACAGTTCATTCGAGTGATTCGCGTTCTGTCGGTAATTACCTACTGTTTTGAGAGAGGATGTCTATAGAATTGGACGGACCGCTACTCTAGCGCACATCGTGTGCCTTCGGCTATGCGTGATCATAGACCTAGTTGTTTTCCAATCGAAGCACAGCTAGGATTGTCACGGCACATTTGGAACCTCGAGGGCTAGCAGTGACGTTGGACTGCATACTAGGGGAGAAGTCACAATGCAAACAAGTAACAGATTGACAAAAGCAAGCAGTCACACCACCGAGCAATTTCCTTCACTGGCCTGGCATTGTGCCCCTTCTCCAGCTCGGTCGACTTGACCTTTCTGACACTTGATTTGAACTCCACGTCCGCTTTCTTGATTGCCAATCTTATCCGTCCTCGCGATGTCCACTTATCAATCGCTTTAGAGAGTCATAGTCTCGTACCAAGCGTACGCAGCCTCACTACGCTTCTATGCTTACGATGTCTCTACGAGGAAAAGAAATTGTAGCAAGAGAGACTGAAGCACAAAGTCTGTGTTTCGAAGACTGAGTAGAGAGCAGGCATACAGACTAAGACTAAGGATACATGTGTTCTTTTTGTCTATTGTATTGAAGATCTAAGGAGACTCACTTTCTCAATGACCTACATGATGTATGTAAGCTCGTAACATTACTTGACAACCCAAAGCGTCAATCTGTCAATCCCGACTGCTCGCTATCTGCGCCATGAACCAAGGCTTCGCAATCTTTGCAATTTCAATCCTCAACATCGCCTCATCCACCTTGTGCTCCACAATATACGTCTTCTCCTCAACCAGAATGTCCCTTTGCATCCACTTCAAAAATTCCCCCAGCCCCCTCATACCTTGCTCAAAGCTTTTTTCTCTCAAGATATCCCATCCCTGTTCCAAACGCTGCTCCGAGCACCATATTTCCGCCGCTGCCGCAGCAACATGCCGTTTCTCCTCTTCAGTCTCGGATTGCTTCTTCGGCGGGTGTGCAAATGTAGGCTTGAACTTGCCGCCTTTGGTCTTGAACCAAAGTGCTGGGTTGGCGTTGTATTGTGCGGGAGCAAGTTTCCATACTAGCCCCTCGCCTTCGCCATCTACTCCAAAAGTCGCTGCAAAAGGACATCTTGCGGCGACTTGTTCAGCCATTATTTCCAACTCAGTCTGCGTTCGTTGAGGGTCATCAGGGTACAGTGTTGCACGGAATCGCCCACCGCGGGAAACGTTGTAGATGTCTTGGTTTGGTACTGTGATGGCGATGTAATCTGAATCCCTCACCCATTTCCCGTTGATATTAACTGAGACGATGACGAAACGTTTGGAGAGCTGGGAAATAGCGACGCCTTTTTGAATGTTGCTACCGATCCATTCTCCTGCTATAAGAACTGGGTGTGTTGGGTCCAGCGTCGCGCTTGGATTTAGCTGCGTCCAGCGCGCTATGTATAGGTTGCGTAGCCGCAGGAGGGTCTTTGTCTTGCTCGACATCGCTTTTGCAAAACCTTGGTTGTCTTTTGAGGTTTGTAGGTGGACGATGTTGCGCGACTGGAAGACGATACTGTCGTCATTGTAGACGAGTACGTCTGCGTGCGTGCCATGGAGCTTGACCATGCCAACAATGGAAATTGGCTCTAAATGGACTTCCTCCTCGAGGTTCTCGGGGTTTTGGTTCAGATGTTGCAAAGTTTTGATGATGTCTGTGATGTGGTTCGTGATTTTTGGGTAGAGTGTTGACTCGTTTGGGAGCTCCATAGTTGGTCGAGGATCAACGGCACGTATTGCTGAACACCCAGATGCCACTTTAGTTTCGATAGTTTCTTTCGTGCAAACAAAGCAGCAAGAAAGGCTGAGATGAAACGGAATCCAAAGTTATAGGCAATGGGACAACGAGGCTTAGCCGATGCTCTGCGTGTATGACTCCTATGACTCCTACGCGAGACGCGTTACTCACCTCCATGTTGAGACTGACCCGCGTGGCGCAGCTGCGCAGCAACGTTGGCAGTGGTCGTTCTCGAAATCGGTCGTTGAAGACAGCACTTCTGAATAGTTGGCAGCTGGAACCCATACATTATGTGCTTGGCAACTCCAAGTCCGGGTTTTGTACGGAGGCTGAAAGATACATTTCATGTTAACACAATATAAGGAATGCCTCACAGTGTACATGCAATCTCATGATCGAGGTTTAGCGTTGCGCCTTACAACCTTTGTTCTGATCCACCAATTTGTGTAGCTTTAGCCCCCGTTTACTTATGTTTTGGTGACTGCAAGGCTTACTGAGGTCGTCCAGCCCTACGACTAAACCTCATGATATGCTAGCGTATGTACACCTCTAGTCTCTAAATGTACTCGTAATCCGCCTGCGCCTATGGGTCGATCAATATCGCAGCAGTTAAGCGGATGCTACAAACATGAAATAGATCTGCAACAGTAACGACAATCTAACAAAGAATACGTCCGATAAACGGACTCGCAGCTAGAGCTCGCTCGGCTTTCCGCGGCCTACTTTATTCATTGGTTGACTATGGAGTCTTCTCATAATGCAAAGGCCTCCAAGAACCTCTATCGTCTGGTCACAAAGCTTCGCTCATCGAACAGAAGGTATCGCGATGTGTGGCATAAATATGTCAGGTGATGCGTAAAGATACTTTGTTATCATCGCTCGGTCCGAATTGTGTTGCATTCCCATTGCCGGATGACGATCCCGATCACATGACGTCGGCCCAGGGATCTGGTATGGGCGATGTCATGTGATCGGCATCGTCATTCCGAGATCCGGTATGCGATAAGGGATTCCATAACATCCTTGGTGTTGAGCTTTGGTGTGGAGTCTCACCATGTGCTTGGAGACAGAAGCCAACCTGATCTACAGTTGGCAAGTATGTTGGAAGGTAGAATACTGGTGGCAAACGATCAAGGTTGGGAGCCAGAAGTATGCATATGCTCGTATGTTGGTTCATTCACGCGTGAGACAGTCTACAAAACAAAATGCAATAGTTGTTCGCAACTACAAAATATGTTGGAACCCGTCGAAATCGGTTGTCGGTGGGAATTCATGTTGTACTTGGTGTGGCGTTGGAAGGTGATTGTCGTGGTCTTTGTACCCGTGAATGGATGCATCTCAAGAAGCAAGATGGCAACCACCAGCGCTACAGATAAAATAGACGACGAAAATACAACGAATGAAATACTTTTTGTTTCATTCGCTCAGTAAAAATACCATCTTTTATTATCCATTCCAACCGTACGCCAATCTTGAGTATAGCATAGTGTTGGCGACGACAAGGTCTCGATGCCAACAACATCATGAAATACCAAGGGTTGAGATCGGATATTCCAGGATCTCATTGGGAGACCTGTCATGGGACGAAGACAACTGATTCAGCGATTACGTTTCTAATCTTTCGAGGCCGGAATTATACTGTCTCATGGCCGGAATCATCACCGCATCTGTCGTATATAAGCTCAGACGAACACACACTCGAAAATTCAAATCTGCAACAGGTCAAAACGACTCCAGGAGACTTCATACTCATATCGAAGACCTTTTTCGCAATTCTTTACCATGACGTCCCCATTCTTCACTTTCCCTGTCCTCAACGACACTCGTCCCGATGATCACTCCATTCCTGCCTTCATGGTCTCGACGACGCGAGGCTTCCTCCCTCGCCAAGAACCTCTCATCGAACTGCCGAAGGAATTTGCAATCCTCGAATCACTTCTGCAACGCATGCCAATAAAGACACTCTCGGGGGAACCTGGTCTCCTTGCCAAATTCACCTTCGGTGACACCGTGTTGAAGGAGTTGCCAGACCTGACTGCTGAAGTCGAGAAGTACAGCCACGACCTTGTCGTCATGAACGCCCTGTATCGTGACTACTCCTTCCTGGCCTCGGCGTACCTACTTGAGCCATGTCACGAAAGGTTCCTCAGAGGAGAGTCGTATGGTCTGGGCCGACAGTCACTGCCCCGTTGCATCGCATTGCCAATTGTCAAAGTCGCTGAGCTGTAAGTACTCTTATCTTTGTAGGATTTTCTTATGTTGGTGTGACTTTGGCTAATACAAATATCATCAGTGCGGGATTCAAGCCTTTCATGGAGTATGCTGGTTCATACGCGTTGTTCAACTACCGTCTGGAGGATCCCGAAAAAGGTCTTGACTATGACAATCTAAGGTTGATTCGTGCCTTTGAGCATGGTTTGGATCCCACTTCCTCCGAGGCGGGCTTTGTTCTTGTTCACATCGCGATGGTGAAGCAGTCTGGTGCACTAGTGAAGGGCGCTTCTGAGATGTTGGAAAGTTGCATGGGCAATGATCGAGAGCGGTTTGATGACGGCTTACGGACGTTGGTAGGCGGGTTAAGAAACGTCAACGCTGTGATGAACAGTAAGTACATGAGCGAATGCTGTTGAAAGACACTGATCAATCGTCTAGCAATGTGGAAGCGTAGCAAACCCAATGGATACACTAACTTCCGCACATTCATCTTCGGAATTACAAAACAGACAATGTTTCCAAACGGCGTTATTTACGAGGGAGTCAGTGAAGAGCCGATGTCTTTCCGTGGTGAATCCGGAGCAAACGACAGCATGGTATGTTACCCATACTCACTTTGAGATCCGTTACTGACAACGGTCAGATCCCAATGTGCGACAATCTGTTACAAATCCAGATGCCACAATCACCTCTGACGGACATTCTCCAAGATTTCCGTCAGTACCGACCTGGCAACCACCGCGACTTTCTGGAAAGTGTTCGCGACAGCGCTGAGAAAGCGGGCGTCAGAGAGTTTGCAAAGGGTGACTCTGTTTCCGCTGCTCTCTATCTCCAGGCTCTTGATCAAGTCCGCGACTTCCGTTGGAGGTAAGATCACTACTCTTCGGGTTTCTGATTGGAAACTAATCAATAATTGAACCAGACATTGGTCCTTCACTCGTGAGTATATCCTTAAGCAAACGGCACATCCGACAGCGACTGGAGGAAGTCCGATTGTAACTGTAAGTTTGATATAATGTTTGATGTACATGTACTGATTGTGTCGCAGTGGCTGCCAAACCAGCTTGGCGCTGTCCTGGCGCAGATGGCAGAGACGTTCGAATTCTGCAAATCGGTAAATGGCGCCAGCGATATCATGGACTTTGCAAACGAACAGCGTGAGACGCTGCAGAAGGAGGTGGCCAAGTACTGCAGTGAGCGAGGGGTTGCAGCAGCAGCATCGTGAGGTGATGACGCTAGGTAGCTTGGCGAGGCGGAAAGGAAGGCGCGTCGAGGGCGCGACAAGGCGCGGTGTTCAGCAATGCGCCGTGCTGCTTAGCAGGTTCAATAACGATTTTTATGTATCCAAAGTATTTCTTATATCACCGATCAATGATCTCAGAATCGTGAGTCCTAGTGCTACTGCTTCTGCATGCTGAGTGCACAATGCATCACATAAATGGTGATGGCGATTGCTAGGAAGCTACGTGTAAGGGCGCATTACCAACAACGTGACATTGAATACGACACAGTCATGTCTCGGGCTCGACTCTCAATCAACGCCCCCAGAGTCATCCTGTGGTGTTGTGAGTCAAAGACAATGTCTATGCGTCATCGCTTCGACGGTACTAAATGGCAGCTCTCCCGCCGTCGCTCGTGCCTGACCTGAGCACCCCACGGCCATCCAGAGCACTCTCCACCCTTCAATGAACGCTGCACGACATCTCATGGAACATTCACACCGAATGCACATACGACACAGCTCATTACTACGGCGAATATTACGGACAAGAACCTGACAGAACTACACATACCCACACAACAGCCATGACCTCACGACACCACCACGTTGCGAAGCAGAACCCGGTAGAGCGTCGCAAGGGCGAGACCGTATGCAGTCGTGTAACATGATTACTGCAGCTTACTAATTGATCATGACAGGCGCTGAGCGAATTCGCCGACTACGTGCAGAAGCAGCAGGCACTGCGCCGTCCGCCAGGCCAGGCCCCCGCCGAGCTCGAGGACCATGACGAGCTGAGCATCCTCGACGAGCTCGGTTTGACCGACGACACCAAGACACACATTCGCTTGAAGACGCTGCTGATAGGCCCTGACGAGGAGAATGTCGCTGCCCTTGCCGAACACGTCAAAGAGCGCCTGACTGAGGGCCATGGCGAGGTCATGTTCGACGTCGGGCTGGAAGACAGCGGCGAGTCTATGGCTTTCACCACAGAGAATTGGGACGCCGCCTTGGAGAGAATAGGAACCGTTTGCGAGCAGCTCAAGGCCGATTACAAGCTCTTGATGACGCGGAACGTAGGTGGCGACGTCGAAGTCGGACCCCGTGACGCGAAGGACACGGGAGTTTGTGGCAAGATGATTGTGCGCCAGCGGCCGGAGGGCGTAGACGATGTCATTGAGACGAGGATAGCAGTCGTCGGAAATGGTGAGTCGGGTGGTACTTTTCTTCTATGCCTTACACAACCAGCTGACTTTCGCAGTCGATGCTGGCAAAAGCACCATGCTCGGCGTGCTTGTCAAGGGCGGGCTAGACGACGGCCGCGGGAAAGCACGAGTCAATCTCTTCCGACACAAGCATGAAATCGAAAGCGGACGAACTAGTTCAGTCGGCATGGAGATCATGGGATTCGACAGCAAGAGTGATGTTGTCGTCTCGACCGTTGCTGGAAGGAAGCTCACCTGGGAGGAGATTGGACGTCGATCTGTAAGCTCTTGTTGAAATTGAAGATTTGGAGCACCCGTTGACTCGTACAGGCGAAAGTGATTAGCTTCACCGATCTGGCGGGCCATGAAAGATATCTGCGTACTACCGTCTTCGGCCTACTTTCGAGCGAGCCAAACTACTGCCTCCTTATGGTCGCGGCGAACAACGGAGTGATTGGTATGAGCAAGTACGTGTCATGAACACCAACCGACAAACCCGGCATTGCTAACATTGTGCAGAGAGCATCTTGGAATTGCTCTGGCGCTCAATGTCCCGGTCATGGTCGTCATCACCAAGATCGATATCTGCCCGCCGCAAATTCTCGAACAGACCATCACTCAATTAAGCAAAATTCTCAAATCTCCAGGCGCTCGAAAGATTCCCGTCTTCATCAAGAATCGAGAAGAGTGCATCAATACTGCTGTAAGTTTCCTGTTATAGTCATCGAGCGCCAGACGCTGACCAGATTAGACCCAATTTGTTTCTCGGCGCATATGTCCCATCTTCCAAGTGTCTAACGTTACGGGTCACAATCTCGACCTAGTCCGTACTTTTCTCAACGTTCTTCCGCACCACGGCAACTACGATAGCTCTGCACCCTTGGAGTTCCATGTCAACGACACATTCTCTGTTCCGTTCGTCGGTACAGTCGTTTCAGGTGTAGTGAAATCCGGCGTTATTCACGCTGGTGACACCATCCTGATTGGACCCGACAGCCTTGGTCAATTCACAACAACAAAAGTACGATCTATCGAGCGGAAGCGTATACAGGTCCCTGGATGCTCAGCTGGCCAGTCGGCTAGTCTCGCACTGCGCAATGTCCGAAGGAAAGACGTGCGGAAAGGCATGGTGGTTCTCCACAAACCTGACAAGCCCGATCCGACGACGGGTATCATTCCTAACCCCAAAGTTTACCGTGAGTTCGTCGCCGAAGTACTTATCTTGTCCCACGCCACCACCATCAAGACCAAGTACCAGGCTATGCTGCACGTTGGCCCAGTCTCTCAGACATGTGCTATCATCGACATTGATCGTCAGTACATACGAACAGGTGATCGAGCGCAGGTGGCATTCAAATTTGTTCAGCGGCCCGAGTATCTGACGGTCGGAGATCGTATACTGTTCCGCGAGGGTCGGACGAAAGGCCTTGGAATCGTTAAACGCGTTGGATATGACCCAAAGCATCCTCTGAACCCTGAGTTACAGAAAGAGTTGGAGAAGGAAAAGGAGGCGAAGAAGGTTGGGGCGTCATGAGAAGAGAGTAGTGTATCCAGACTAAGACATGTGATGCTGTAAGTAGTCGCAAGCAGATAACTTCATATGACACAGCCAGTATGCCTAAAATTGCAATGAAGTCGATACATGTCAAGATCGCTGTACCACCTGCGATGATTATCATGTATCATAGTGGTATCACGTTTTGTGGTGGCAGAAGTGAAATATCAAGTTGCGTCATGAAACTGGAGCTACCGCAATGTAGAATGAGGTTACAAGTTTGTAAATGCCCTCTAATTACGTGTCTCGCCAAAGCAGGTACCGTTTCTTACACGACGAAGCATCCTTGGTTGATCGTCTTCGCATCCCGGGTTGAGCTTGAACGAAACAAGCTTCAGCGATGGCCAATCATGAAAACCCCGCGCGGAGCCAACCCGCTGCCACCCTTCATCTTCAGCTGGTCATTGCATAAATAAGCTTATTTGCCTCCTACTAAGGTATCTCCATCTTTATTTAAAGAGTGACGCAGTCGACCTGACATGCACAGGAGGCCTTGCATCTCCTCAATTGCCATCCTAGAGGACCCTCGCAATGAAAGCCAGGCTCATCAACCTCATCCCAGGAGTGCGCTGGGTCCCGCACGACCTCCCCGCGCAGGACTCTTCCTCGCAGAAAAGCAAACCGCGCAAGCGCTTCTCGCTCCGGTCGTCTCCGCATCCATCTCCTCTTGGTGCCGTTCATAATCGCAAGTCTACGCTCTCGTTGCGCTCAGAGCCCGATGAGGTTGTTGATGCGCGTACGCTCGCGCAGGGTCAGAGCATCTTCTTCGCCATGCTCCCGCTCGAAATCAGAAGGGAAGTGTACGAATACGTCATGGGCGCGGAGAGTGTGCATCTGACGCTTGGCGCGAAGAAGAGGCTCGGGCACTTTGTGTGTGAAGAGGGCGGGGATGGCGGGGGGCGGGAATGCACGTGTCGCGTGCTAGGCGGTGGGAAGGGGAACGGGCGTTTGAGCCGTGGGGGGCTAAGCATAGCAATGGCTTGTCGGAGAATGTATGTTTTTCTTCTTTCGTTCATTGTTTTTCTCCTTGCATGCTATGACTACGGAAGCTCATCCGGGGATTTGCCTACCAGGTACTCTGAAGCCGTGCCGTATCTCTACCGCTCGCATGCTTTCTCTCTCCTCCATATGAGCCACCTCCTCCACCTTCCCACTGCCGTTCCGCAACCCCGTCTGAACCAAATCCGCACACTGCGGCTACGCTGGACGATCCGTGCGCTTCCCTATTTGCGTCGCGGGCCGGCTGATCGTGTCGCGTATCGGGAGGACACGGCGATGTGGGAGCGGGGATGGGCCATCATAGCAAGTATGCAGGGACTCCGCGACTTGTATGTTGTTGTTGTCGACCCGAGTCCGCAGGACATGTGGGAGAGTAGTTGGGTGGAGCTAGAGGAGCAGTTGCTGCAGCCCGTGAGGAGTGTTACGAAACCGAAGTGCTTTGAATTGATGCTGCCGTATGCGAGTTGTGGTGTTGAGTGGGAAATGGGTTCGAGTCGAGTTGTTTTGAGACGACCGGACGGACAAGAAGGGTTGGAGGATGAGGTATGATATGTTGTCGACGATTACTGCATTTTTCAGGGCAATGACCGGTGCCATTGTTTCACTCCGTTCAATATGCCGTGATGAGGTATCTGGCGGCTGAGTACTAGCAAGAAACCCTCAGGAGTTGTTCTATCATATTGCCTTCTCTAAGACGCAATCTTTTCTGTCTTTCGTAGAAGACATCGAGATATCTCAGTCATCAGGTGTCTCATCTCAGTTTGTTTAAGTCAGTGCACTCATGTGCAACCGGCGTGTTTGGGTGTGTGGGGATTGGGTTCCATTCAGGCGTCAGGATACGCGCTCGACAGGTGTCTCATATCTATGTACATTTCGCGATCGTCATCACATTTTCCTATCTCCAATATGTATTTCCCCCTTAGCTACGCAACTCTTGGACATCATCCTTGCCGAACACAGGCCCCTTACAATCCGAAGCAATTGGCATAGTACGTGACGGAAGCCGGCCAATCCGAGAACAAAGCCTTGATGCCAACCTGCTGAGCCAGAACATCCAGCACGGTATACATATCTCCGTCGTTGTTGGTGACGTTAGCAACGTATTGATAGTAGTAGCCACCACCGTCAATCTGCAACCAACCGGAGCGATCGAAGCTCCAAGCAACAATCTCCAGACCATTCTCCTTGCAAGCAATGGCATATTCGGATGGGATGATTTCACCCTCGTCATTGACTTTGGTCAGGGCAAACATAGCCGGCGCCATGATCTTAACACCACGCTCAGCGAGAGCAGGAAGGCTAGCAGTAGCATTTGCGTAGCCTTCTGCTGTGTCGACGCGCTCGTCCAGGTACACGGCTTGCTTGGCAAACTCCGGCTCGTTGTCGATCCAGTAGAAGATATCGGCTGGAAGGAACGACTGAGGGAATACACGGCTGGGATCGATGCCAGCGTTTTTGAATGCATTGATCATGTCTTGTGCGTATTGCTCCTGGGTGTATCCGTCATATGGCATGGGAACTTCGGGCGTCTTGAGCTCAGGCGTGAACTTGAGGCCCCAGTCGTCGACAACCTTAATGTACTCATTTAGGGTCATGAGCTTTGGGCAACCGCTGGCGTACAAGTCGGTGCGGAAATACGGTGTGCCGTCCATGTACTGGTCAACAGTCGTCCCGTTGGCGTTGAAGCCGTCCTGCTTGCCGCACAGCGTCTGAAACTCTGCGAGAGTGAAGTCAGAAGTGCAGCACTTAGCTGTAGCTTCAGTGCCATTGCCAGCCGGTGTAAAAGGCGTGGTACATTTGTCTGCTAGTGTGGTATTGAGGACATTCGTTGTGGTGTGCAAGTCGCATTGCGCATGGCGGCAGACGAGTTGCTTGTCCTTTGTGAACGCAACGTCGCATTCGATGACACCGGCTCCTTGTCGATGCGCAGCATTGTACGCCGGGTAGGTATGCTCGGGAAATAATAAAGACGCGCCACGATGCGCAAACACAAAATCCGATGTCTTGAATGGTCCTTCCGAGCAGCTCTCAAGCTTCTCTTTCAGCGGACCCTCGTCCATGTCGTTAACCAAGAAATACGGCCGGTCTCCCACCTGGACATTGAGTTTTACGGGTTTGTTCTTGTGGCTATAGTCGCCGCCTCGAGGGAGAACGGCAGCGGACGCGAGGCCAGCAAGGACCGATGAAGCAATGAAAGAACGCATCGCAAACAACCCACAAACTCAATGGCCGAGAACTGGGAGAAACTGCTTCTGCAGGACAATAAACCTGCGGCTACGGCCTTCTTATCTACATCACGAAGATGCGAGGGCTCCGCATTCTATCCGGACATCTATCAACGCAAGGTAGCCACACGGCACGAGCTCCAGTCGCTCCGATCCATGTGCGCGACAAAGTCCTCACACGTGGGGGAGATACCCCGACGGTGGCTTTTAAAAACGCATAGAGGCTTGCGGATGTCGAGGGTGAGAGCGGAGAACTATACCAAGCGAGGCGAAGTGGTTCGATTTGTAGCTAGATTGCCCAGGTGCCAAGTATGTGCGTCGACTCGCACGTTGAGAAACGACAGGATAAGAGTCGTGAGGCCGACGAGGAACCGACATGAACATGTACGGATCGTATTGGCGGATCCTTCTTGTACGTCATCACCGACCGGGAGTTTGGTAACCACTGTCGTTGTCGTTTGGTTATGTGATCGACGTCTGTTACCTCTCATACACATATAGACTTTCTACTGGGGAAGTCTGCAGATTATTTTGCAGTGATTTCTGTCGATGACTTACCGGAATAGAAGATTGGTGACGCTGGGAGGGAGAATGACAACGATCTTACAAGAGACGAACCTCTCGTATTAACGCTTGTAGTGTTGATTAGAACCTCATTCGGACAACGGACTAGAGAGATGTGAGTTCGAGGATTTTAGCTTCGTTCTCGGAAACGGCTATGGAAAACATTGCATCCTCATCCCATACCTTTGTTTTCGCTCAGCCATGGATGGAATTTGGCTAAGCTACAAAGAAGCGTCAATGTCGTATTTCGCCTCAGCATTCGTCTAAGTTATACCTTGCTGGTTTACATGCTCTGCCTCGTGTCGATTCTCTATATCTCCATGTCTGGTTGGTTCTTCGTCATGACCCCCACATACGCGTTCTTAGTCGCGACGTTATCACTCGTTGTCTTTGCCAGAACCCATTCAGCATATGACATTTTGCCCTATCTGCAAAGCAATATTTTACACATGGCTATTCAGTCAAGCATAGCCATGGTAAAGATGTCCAATTGTAGTTGTAGAAAGAGATTACAACAGCTGCTTCAGTCCACCGCTTGGTAGTCTTTCCATGCAAGCCATCAATCAGACCGTACTGCTTTGGAGAATCTCTGGCGATTGTCTCAACTTACCGTACTATTGTTCTGTGCCTTGTGTCATCAATACTAGCGCCGCTATGTTAATAGTCACATTTGGGTTGTTAGTGATATGGGAACGAAGGTGATTGTGAAAGTGAAGGGCAATGGAACGTTTTTTTGGACAGGGAAAGAAGGAGCAAATGGGCCATGATTGGCTTTGAGGACGATCAACCTTCGGCTCACCTATGGCTGGCGCTTGGAGTAAGCTAAGTTGGGAGAGCTTGAATCTATGCGTGTATCTGAGGACTTGCACGTGTTTTCCTTATGGACTAAATCCAGCCATCTGAAGCTTTCAATCCAACCTGATGGCTGTAGTGCTGCCTTGAAGGTTCTATCTGTCATTATTCTGGCTAGAAAACCCTGACGTCCATCTATGGCGACCATCTGACCATACTCATGGGATCTTGTTGCGCGGTTCCGCCATCCAACTGTTCCATCAACCAACCCTTTTCCCTCAACTGCATGATACCATAAACAGCCATTTGCATCGATATGCTGATGTTGTTCGTCCGCTGCCGAAGCTGTTGGACTTTCTCCGTCAGCAGATCCCGAAACTGCTGTGTCTGAGTATCAAGGAACGGACCCGCACGCAGGACGAAACCAACGAGGAGATCGAAGTTGTCGTGTAGAGCGAGATGACCAGAACACACCATGCCTTCCATAACGTTGAGCGCGATCCCAGGAGTTAGACTTGTAATTCTCCCTGTGTTACACAGTTGGCCAAGGAAGTCGATAAACCCCAGACTCCACACCTCCATCCTCATCATCTCGCCGAACTGCACCTGACACGCTCGCATGAGTTGGTACCGAATCAGGAAGGCTCCCCTAAGGCCCTGCATCTGCGGGTCTGGGTGCGTGAAGTCGTCGTCGATGAATACGGTCAGCAGCTCGTACGCTCTGATCGCTGTTGTTACCCATGCTGGGTCCTCGTGTAACCGGGCTTGGATGACTTCGACAACATAGGAAAGTCTAGCGAACTCCCGGTTCAACTGGGTAGCAATCGTGTGCACAGAATTTGGGATTGTGGTGTCGTTGGAGTCGGTATCGCTAGGGAGGCTTCGGAGAACACTGTATGCTAAATCTTTGAAAGCGCCTAGGAAAATCCCGTCGATTCCGTTTTCGGCAAACGCCAAGTCGGCCATGATGGCTGGGGCGTAGGATAATTTTGAGCTACTGCATGCGAAGAAGAAGAAGGCGTGTTGTGAGGAGCGTGGTGCAGAGATTGAGATTGTTGTTTCTGCCTCGAGAGGGCATTAACCGAATTGTTTGCTTTCACCTCACCCCACCCCACCTCACGATGTCCAAATCCAACTCCAGGTCTGGCGCGGTTCAGGTGTGTCCAAAAGCTTGCTCCGCATAGCTCAAGCGCCACGACTGTCCAGCGGACAATCTCATCCGTGATAGGTTCCTCATACACATCCATTTCTACAACTCTCTTCCCCACTAAATCCTACACTCGCCTTTTACTTGACTTCTTTACACTCGCCTTTCCAGCTCAACTTCGTTACACCCACCATTCCTGCTCAACTTCACAGACGACTTGCCCACCAACTATTACACCCATTTACATCGCAGCCTAAGCCGCTGGCCGGCTCCTTCAGCGCCCCAAATCTTACACACTTGCATGACATTGATCGTTGCGGGTACCTCGACAGGCCTCAGCCTTTCCACTTCCAAGTCGAGTTTCGGTGAATCTCGTAGTCTCGACTTTTGATCGACTTCCAAATACCCCAGAAACCCCCAAGCGGCCAGACGTTCCTCAGACGCATTCCCCAATCCTTATTCGTCATCTGCATGTGCTTCTCGATATCGACATGCACTTTGTCATATACACCAGGAAATGTTTCGGCTCTGTACTTGCGCCTGAGGTCCTCATGCCATGTGCGGTTGAACTGTGCCCAAAACTCGTCTTTGCTGTAGTACGTATGTGCGTACAACCATTTCATACCCCCCATTTTACCCAGTGTCTTCTCCAGAGCGCGATTCTTCTCGAGGTACGTTTTCGGGTTCTTTGGTCCAAAACCCCAAAGCCCAATATTGAGCATCTGGTCGTCCTTCAGCTCGCCCTTTGTGTGAGGATGCATAGTCGGCTGCTCACTCTGCTTGAGCGGACACAGCCAGATTGGCCAGATGTCGAATGTTTTGTCGGTGTAATCGATAAACTTCTCCGCATTGGGATATGGAAGCGCCATGTCTTGTACAATATACCGCGTTGCTATCCCAGAAGCGTGAAGTGCGCGGTACAGCATCCGTGTGTGCAAGAAATCGTCCAGGAACCAACGGGTATACTTGTTGAAGGGGAAACGCATGTAGTTGAAGGCGGACCGACCGACCCAGAAGCCGCCCCGGTCGTAGCGGAACATGTACTCTGCCAGCGGGATGTATTCGACAATGGGCGAGGTGGAAGAGCGAGTGAGAGATTCGACGTGAAGGTAGAACCATGGGTCCCAGGGGTGACTGAAAGTCTGTGGCTTGGTGTTTGGGGGAAGCTCGTCTGTCATTTCGCCGGTGATGATTGCTCCATGCTTTTTGCTGAACAAAACACCATCTACGTAGTCATTCGATTCTCCATTTTCACCCTTTGTTTGCTCTCTGACTTCCTTCACCGCTTGAGACACGCTGCGTGTAGGATAGTATGTAGTCTTGACAAATTTCTTCGCCTCGACTAACTTCAAGTTCACAAGCGTGGTAACGCCTAAAGTGCCCACCGCTCCTGCTGCCCCACGAAACAGATCCCGATTCTCTTTCTCGCTAGCTTTCACAACTTCACCATCTGCAAGAACCATTTCGACTTCGTTGATGGTTCGATCAAAGAATCCATACTTGAAACTACTGCTCTCGCCTGCCGTCCCTGCATATCCGCCTCCCACTGTGATTCCAGGAAATTCCATGACAACGGGCGGCACAAGGCCATGCGGAAGAGTTGCTTCCACAAGCCTGTCCATAGGTACGTTTGGTTCGACGAGTGCTGTACGTGTCGACTTATCGACTTTGACTACATTGTTGAGGGAACTGATATCCACGACGCGTTTCTTGACATTTGGTCGCGTGCTGTTCGTTGAGCCGTGGGAAATTCGAAAGGGCTCCTTGCGTGTGAAGTAGTCTTTTACTTTTGAAGCTACTTGAGCCACAGCCCGCGCGTGACGGTCCATTGTAGGCATGAAGAACGTAAGAAGGAACCTCAAGTGACTTGGGTTGAGAAGGTCATTGATGCATCCTAACGGTTCACTAACGACATGTGTGATCGATGATGCGAATTGAAGACGTCGGTGTTGAGGTTTTCTCCGATCATCTAGCTTAGTCTGGATGTAGCGCCGATCTGTATTCACATAGCGCGTGCGTGACGCGTTGAATTCCAACGTCGTCTCTCAGATCACTCCTCGATAGTTCTTTCCCTGTGCGGGCTCGAGATCCTAGAGCACTAGAACCCTTGATCTTTTGGATGAGCAAAATCGCAACATCAGGCCCCTGTATGTCGCGAGCCGGACTTGTCTCCAAATACCATCTAGACGGACGGGACAGTTCTACTAGTCCATACGTTTTCTTGTGCTCCAGATGCCCAGAAGACATGAATGCTCGATCTTGTGCCCGCTCGATGAAGGATCACACATCATGGTATGCATCTTCCAGTAACTTGCAGGCAAAGACACCGATATTTAAGGGGCAATTTGCCCGAACTATGTAGACTAAGCATCTCTATCCACCGCATCGAGCATGCTTTTCCGTCCTCCAGGAGTCGCACCAGCGGAAGTCACAATCGGACAGCCCTTCGCAAAATTCAACGTGTCAAGAAGGTCGCAAAATGAAGTGGATATAAAGCTCGACCAGGAGTGTTCAATCCGATCACCATATTGTAGCCTTCAATTCTACAGTCCCCATAGTATCATCCATTCCAGTAATACCAACTACGATGCATCCCCTTCCTCTGACTCTTGCTGCTTTCCTCTGCACTCTCTCTTCAGCGAACCCAATCGTCGAGAAACGTGCCGTGACCTGCTTAAAGGTTAGTGCGACAGCGACTGCGACATGGACGAACGCAGTGGGCAAAACTTGCAGATGGACTGGCGTTGTCGGTAGCAACTTCGGGGTCAATAGCTTGAATGGCGGGGAGTACGTACACTAGTTTCCAAATGATGAAATGTACAGTAGACAACAGTAGCTAACTTGCTGGATAGTTACAGCTGCAATGGCCGCTGCGGCGCGGGATGCACTGGAACGGCCGTCGGGAATGCGTATACGCAGGATTGCTTCTCCCACGATGCGTGCTCGTGGTTCAACAATGCTAAGGGGGGTGCTAGGTACGTCGTTGTCGTTTCGTTCAATATGCGAGGCTTTGTGGATCAGAGCAAAGGCGTAAGGATGTGTGTCGCTGACGGAGAGATAGTGACCCGAATTGCGGTTCTGCATATAATGCCGCCGTGGATGATACGTTGAGTGGTACGGCGAAGGGGTGTGGACAGACTAATCCGAACAATGCGGCGGAAGCGCCTGGGACGCAACCAGTTTGTGCTTGAGAAAGACATTGGGAGAGAGAACAAGTTTTTGACGTAGGATAAAGGAAAGGACAGAGCATGGCAGACATGTAATTACCAATAAGCCAGGCATCAGAACTGATGGCAAATCCAGCAGAACATACAACTTTTTTATGCCTCTCGATATACGCCCGTTATACTTTTCATGAGTGACGCGCCTTCACAAGTGCGCCGTCTTTTCTGGACCGCATCCACCGTCAACACACCAACCAACTCCAATGCAGTGCATACCCGGAAATCCTACACAGACAGAGCCAAATCGAGTCGGTAATCAAGGCGCACGCACAACCTTACGACCTGTTACCTCGAATCGCTGTAGCTCTTGGATGATCTTGGGCGATTCAGCGAAGTCATAGACCTCGATCTTGGGCGTAATCTTTCCTTGCAAGGCGAGCTGGAGCAGCTCATCCATCTGCGCGGCCGTACCTGTTGAGGAGCCTTTGATTACCAGGCCTGTCCGTGTTAGCAGTTTGAAAGAACGTGAGGAGAGTCAGGAAATGTCATACCTCGATTCGCAATGTGTATTGGACTCATTGGGAACATGAAGCTGTCCGGAGGCAGACCAACGCAGACGAAGACGCCGAAATTTCGGACAAGCGACGGCGCCTGGAGGTATGCTTTCTCACTGCCAGCAACACAGATGACGGCATGCGCACCTTCCCCATCCGTCAGATCTTTCACTGTCTGCACGACGTCCTGCTTCGTGTAATCGACAAAGGCCACAGCACCCATCTCCTTGCACAGCTTCTCCTTATCGCTGCCACCATCAATGGCAATGACCTTGTATCCCTTGATGGTCGCAATCTGCACGCCGATGTGTCCTAGCCCGCCGCCTGCCCCTATGATGGCAACGAATTCGCCGGGCTGAACCTCTGGCGTGAGTTTCGACACTGCGCCTGCGAGCGAGAGACCAGCACAGAGCAGCGGCGCGGCGACCTCACTCGAGACGCCAGCGGGGATGTGGGTGACGAAGTCGGCGTCCGCGACTACATACTGCTGCAGTGTGCCCCACACACTCCGGCTGGTGTTGCGCTGACTGGCGCAGTGGTTAATCCTCCCCTTCCTGCAGCTTGTGCATTTATTGCAGGCGCTGTAGAGCCACTTGACACCCACACGCTTGCCCATCAAGTCTTGCGAGACGCCGGGACCCAGCTTCACGACGTACCCGACGCCTTCGTGGCCAGGGACTGGGGTGTATTTCCCAGGCACCTCGACACTCATGCAGTCAGAGTGGCAGATACCCGAGCACTCCAGCTTCACAAGGACTTCGTTGGCGGCGGGCTGCTGGACTTCGACGTCATGGCGGATCTGGAGGACACAGCTTGGGCTGGGGTTCTCGACCCAGGCTACCGTCTGCGTGTTCGGAATCGTCTGCTCAGACATGATGTCACAGAGTAAAGTAAGGATATGGGTCGACGGTTAGCAAGAGAGAATACGGGAGCAGCAGCTGCATCTTTGTGGACAATTGTGCTATCTCAGCCTCCATAGCTAACCCCGCCGCCCCTCGTTCGGAGGAAGCCGAAATGTACCAATAACAGCCACCGAAGTCCGGATGCTATCTGGCCTGCCACTTTGGGTTATAAGTTTTGCTCCACTCACGCCTCTGAAGACCGGATTTCGCAAGTGGCTGGATCGACTAGTATAATGTTAGTCAGCAGCAAAATCTGCCCCACTCTGGCATCTGCTCTTGAGTGTTGGTTCATCGAGTAGATAGTAGATCTTGAGAGATGTGTATGACTCCTGATCTGGATCGAGGAATTGTGACGCCATCACGATCGTGGCTTTCCCAGAGTATCTTGGTGTCCTGGGTTGCTAAGCTAAGTACTCTTCCTACTAGGCAATGACCGTATTTCGAATGCCAGGTTCACCTGGGCGTGAGGATCCTAGCAGAGGTAGTAGAGCCGCTCAAGGAAGGGAACGAGAAAATTGTACAGTCTGAAAGATGTTCCAAGCTTGGCCTTGCTCACGACTTCATTGTTGTGAGTGTCGTAGATTCAAGAACCATCCTGCTGAAGGTGGTTTCTTGGGATTGAGCGCCTCTTGGTCACCAATGATTTGGTATCATGGTTCGATCAATCGTGTGGGTGTTGGATGCACGCGATTCACCCATCAATTGGGGAGGAAGAACCTGTCGTACTGATATAGCGATGCTGTTGTCTCGGTGACCATGTGCAAGAGAGCTGTCGTGGTGTGTTGTCCGAAACAGGCAAGGCCGCGGAGGTGAGCGTCAGGCTGGGCATGGAATTAATTCTCAATGGCAGCTCACGACGGGCCCTCATCAGCCCGCATCCCGCACCCGCAACCCCATACAGCCCCTCGCCATGCCGCCTCGACTGTGCGCAGCCTTCTCGCTGCTGTCCATTGCGCCCAAGCCAGCAGTCACGCCCGTCAGGCCATTTCTCGTCCCCGCCCAGCAGCGATGCGCGTCCATCCTGTCGGCGCTCTCGGACAACAAGGGCGCCTACAACAAGAAGATCCGCCGCGGCCGTGGGCCGGCCTCGGGCAAGGGAAAGACGGGAGGGCGTGGTCAGAAGGGTCAGCATGCGCACGGAAAGGTGCCCGCGGGCTTCGAGGGTGGCCAGACGCCTGAGAGCATTACAAGGCCGGAGAGGGGGAGGGGCGTGTACAATCCGTGAGTCGCATGCGAGCCCATTGTGTCGTGGGGGGTAGTGCTGACTGGTCAAGATTCAAAGTTGAAATGTCGCCCATCAACCTCGACCGGATACAATCGTGGATCGACCAGGGCCGCCTCGACCCCTCGAAGCCCATCACCATGAAGGAACTGCACAAGTCGCGCTGTCTGCACGGCGTCAAGCGACACGGCGTGAAGCTGCTGGCACGAGTACGTTTACCGCACGACGCTGCATCAAGAACCTGACTGACAACACTCCCACAGAACCCTGAGCAACTGACGTCTCCGATACACATAGTCGTGTCCCGCGCCTCCGCCGAAGCAATAGCCCGCATCGAATCCCTCGGCGGCAGCGTCACGACCCGCTTCTACTCCCCAACAAGCATCAAGCGTGTGCTACGCGGCGACTCCCACCCCACCATCTCGCTGCAATCGCCGCCGTCTCTGATAGCGCTGGCATCGACGTCCAACGCCAACTTGATCCCCTCTCCCATACTGTCCGCCCTTGAATCCGCCCCGGAAGAAAACAAAAAGGACGCCCTGATCGCCGTCATGAAGCATGTCAACCAGCAATTCAAGTACAGGCTACCCGACGCAACGGCGAGAAAGGACATTGAATACTACCGGGACCCCGCCCACAGGGGCTATCTCAACTACATGGTCAAGGACGGCGAGAGCCCGAGTTTGTTCTTCAAACCGCCAGGCGAGGCCAAGGATCGAAAGAAGCAGAGTGCCAGGCGCGACGCGGCCAAGGCTAGTGCTGACAACCGTTTGTTCTAGTTGTTGTGCTGAGTTGGATTGGCGGGAGGGAGCCTGGTGTATGTCTCATGTAACTGTACACACATCTATAGGTCTTAACAAGACCTCGATATTGCGAATAGCAAGGCCTGGTGCAGGCGATGCATTGGGAAGGTGGTTTTGCAAACTCGTTTGCTCCTTGTCCGTTGTGATAGCGGAATTCCTTGTGATATTGCATCCAGACTGTGTGTTGTGAGCTGAACCACGCACGGTGCTACAAGTAATGCATCTTCTCGTCCGGTAATGGAAGAACAACGTTCAAGACACTATACCCCAATGCACAAACTTCAGACCGGTATATACACATGCCACACCCTCAGGAAACAGAGTTCGACGCAGCGTCAGCCACTTGTGTGACAGATACGGGTACTTGTCGTAAGCACTACAATCAACATATATGTATACTCCCAATCAAGCAATGCATCAAGCTGTGAGTTACAAAGCTGACCCGTGTATCTAATATGAAGGGCAAAGCGAGGACAAATATCTATCGCTGTAGATGAAAGTGATGCGAGTACAATGGCGCGTGTCGAGCAGACAAGGACAAGTTTGTTGGTTAGCGTAGTGCTTCGTTTCGTTTCGATTCGTTTGTGCGACGTGGTGAACCATGTGACAAACAGTAGTCTGTTTTACGACTAACCTGGCAATAGTACAGTGTCTTCTGCATGAATGCATGGGGGTCGAATGTAAATGTGCTCGATAGGCGGTAGGACTGTGATATGGAGGATGACGAATGGGATGTGCTAGGGTGGGTTGGGGGAGATTGCATGTATTGTGTGTATGTATGCTGAGACGTGTTGAGAAAAAGATCTATCGAATGACGGGGGACGACGGCGGAAAGGCAGGGCGATCGCAAGTGTACATCGCCCTGGTAGTCATCATACTGACGACGCGATGGCTGTTTAGACCGAGCTGGGAGTCGGTGGTTCGTCCTCCGGTGCTGCTGGGGAGTGGATGGAATGGTGGTGGTGTGTAGGATTTTTATCTTGCTGATCCATGTTGGAAGGAACAACTTTTATCACATAATGCGTGCCGAGCGGACCGTTCACGAAGCTGTCAAGTCGAGGCGAATCGAGCCGGACAGTGTGGCGCTGTGTGGTCCAAAGTCTAAGCTCAACATGACCCTGTCTTGTGCCCTCTGCACTCTGCCCCTCATTCAGAAAAGTACATGTACCTTTACGGCGTGGCCTAGGGGACCTTGAAGCCCGTGATACAGTCAGATGTGAGGAAAAGGATCGGCCTGATACGGATGACCTTTTCGATGGATTCCTCCAAGTCGTCGTCTGCAGGAGACCAGCATACTTTGCCCCCTCCCCCCCGTCTTACCTACTTTTCAGGTATTTAGTGGAGCGGGGTGGGCGACCATAGAGGGATGGATGATGCATACCACCAAAGTATGCGGTGTAAGGAGCTAAACTCAGAGTCGTTTGGCAAGGAGAGTACCTTGTCATGTCGCAGGAAAAGACAGGTACTCTCGGCATCTGGAACAGCTGTCGTGTCCGTGTGCTTAAACTTTGGCGTCTTCGGCACGACGGAAGCTGAAAATGACCATATCAGCATTAGGCCGGTCGTGATTGCGAATAGAAACTTCGCCCGGAAGCCTGCATCGTCGCGTCTCAGTCTTGTGGACCGGTCTTTGCGTATGGGCATCAGACATGGTATGGTGATGAGGAGGACAGATTGCGCTAGGCTGGGCTAGCTGGTAGCTGGGTGGCCAAGCCCTGCTCGGCTGGAGTTCTCAGGATATTGATAATCCCGAACTCCGCAGACGTTAGTGAGGTCGGCGAGGGCAAGTGTGCGAACAAAGTTCCGAGTAGGGTTTAGGGCGGTCGTACACCAACCAACTCCCACGTCCCGCTCTCCTGAGTGCTCGTAATCGTGAATAGATGCCGACGTACCTATCACGGCCTTGTTTGATCATCGTCGAAACTAACGACCATCGTCATCTCCACAATGTGCCTCCGACATGTGTTGGGATGCTGCTCGAGAAGTTAATAATTCCCGGCGGTATTTTTATACCTACATTATTACAGTTAATCTGCTGGCTTGCATTGCACGGCCCGCGTCGTTGATTCACGTTGTTGAGTTTATGGCTGGCCATGGCAGAAGCGAGGGTTGGCTGGTTGCCTAAGTGATGGTCCTCTTACCACGTCTCCGTCTACCAAACAAGCGAGCAGGCGAGCGAGCATTCACGGGCTGAAGACGGCCAAGAGGCTGCGTCGAGGCAGGAGCCAACCAGGCCAAAGGCGACCCACTGCGACACAGCTTACGTCACGCATGGACCGAGGAAGGCGCGTTCGATCCTTGTGACTGTCCGTTGGCGTCTCGTCTTCGCTCCACCACGCCAACGACCGTCGACAGAATTTGACATGTCGCCGGGATGTCACGTCTCTCTTGCATTGTTGTGTCTTTGATCGCGATATCCCGTCACAGTCTCACCGTTAGCGCTGTCGGCCTTAGCAGAGGCGTCGACTACCGCATTAGGCTTGCGCAGAGCGTCTCGAAAAGCAACGGATTCGTGGGTGTGCACTGGGCCATCGACCCCCTGCAGAGCCGTGTTTGCAGAGAAGGGCGACACCTAGCGAGTATGCTGGTAGACAGATTGCGTTTGGCCAGGGCCGCTGAGCAGGCGGTTGCGGTCCTGGGGTGCAAATTGCCTCAACATGGAACCGCACAACAGTCTGGCGTGAAGGAAGGCATGTACCTAGCGCCGGGGCAGGTGCAGGCGAGCGATTGGCTGGTGACGCGGGCCAGACATGCAAGCAGCGACTCATCCGCATGACTGATTGGGACCTCACACGACGCAACATCACTTGCAAGCAAGAAAAAAAGACGTTTGCACGATCAGCAGCGCTCGCACCTCAGCCTGCTTTGTTCGCGTCGAGCAGGTTGCCGGGGTTGGTGGGGCTGCTCGTATCGCTCCTGATACGGCTCTCACTTGGGGGGTGTGGTGTGTGGTGTGTGTGTGTAGTGTGTGTGTGTGTGTGCATGCATCAGCGCGTCGTCGTCCTGGCTTTTGCAACGCCGTTCGCGGACTGCAAGGCCAAACACACGGCAAGGAATGCTGCACGCGTGCGATGATGCCGTTCCACCAACGGGTTGCCTGGCTGGCTACACTCAGCCGCTGCATCAAGCGACGACGGTCCTCAGCATCGTAATCAGCAGCATCATCATCTCGTGTGCTCCGCCTTGGCTGGTGCAGCAGCTGGCCGTGGTGGGCTGCGTAAGGGATGGAGGCTACCTATAATTTCGTTCTGGGACCGCCGCACTTCTCCGGGGCTGCCGTGCAAAGGATTAATGAGGCCCGCCAGCGCTACTGTTTCTGCCTGGATGGTCCGCCGTGCACAGCGAGGGAATGGATGACTGCTTGCTCTGCTGCCAGCCCGGCAGTCGTCAACTGAGGTGAGGTGACGGCCCTGCTTCCAATCAGCACGCGCGGCTTTCTGAGGGTGGCGGACGCGGTCGCGGCGGCGCAGTTAGTGGCTCGCCCTCGCTATATACAGAGGCCGTCGCAACGCCTGCCTGACGGGGATGTGCATGTGGATATGGGATGGGGAGGTGCACGTCTGCGGGCCAGATAGCGGCGTGAATAATCAAATGGATCCTGCGGCCGCCACGATTCGTCGCAGCAAACGACGCCGCTTGCAGTTGCTGGTGTCGTGACCGCCGCCAGTAGGCTTTGTCTTGTCTGGCCTTGTCGTGCCCGGCGTCCGTGCAGCCCTAGTCACAGTCTTTCACGCCTAGCAGCAGGCGCGGTTGATGTCAGAGCTGCTTCTGCTTCCGGATCAGCCTCTTGGTGCAAGACGCCCCCAATGCCTGGAACCTTCCGACCTTCACAGTCACGAATAATGTATCCAACGGCCTGCGCAAGCAGTAGCAGGCGGGCCCAAGACAAGCCGCCGACTCTTTATTGTGTCTCCCTGCACTCTGCTTGGCCTCATCCACCACCACCATCATCGCCGCCGTCTGCCGCATACAGGCTACCACCCATTGGCCTACTTACATAGTAGTCGTCGACACGCCTGCCGTCTCCTTGCTTGACTTGCCTGCCCTCCGGTGATGCAGTGAAGGACTCTCGCCGTCGCCCCGTCCACCTCTCCCCGTCCACCTCTCCCCGTCCACCTCTCCCTGCTTCGCCATCGCCATCGTCTGCGCCGTCCCCATGCTCGAGCTTCAGCTCCCACGTCCAATGCCTCACGCCATCCCACGGGAGCCCCCCTTCGACCTCTTCTCCTCCGTCTCCGCCCGCTCACTGCTGCCCAAGCTGGATGTCACCATGCACCTGCCCATGCCCCGGATCACGGCCAGCCACGACCACGCCAACACGCTGCGGACGCCAGACCTGCCAGGATCCGCAGTGAGAGCCGTGTCGTTGCCGTCAGCCCAGGGCGTTGGCCCTCACTATAGCTACCAGCTACCTGCCATTGGCACCTCGAGGGCAATCACAGCACCGAGCAGCTCACCTCCTCCAAGACAGTCGCAGCAGCAGCAACCACAACATCCCCAGGAAGCGAGTCAGTCGCCGCGGAAGAAGTGGACCATACAGCCAAACCTCCGAATACCGTCCACCATCAGCACGCCACAAGAGGGCCTCCCACAGTTAGCAGCAGAGGTGAGTCTGGCAGATACTAGGCCTCGTCATGGCAGAAAGTTGACTTATCTAGGTGACCTGCCTCTTTTGGTTCGAGAGCTCGACGGTGTTGAAGCAAGTGCTTGACGTGACCAAATCCCCACGGTCCATCCAGCCCCTTGTCCCTGATGCCATGCCAACGACCGGCTTCCGCAAGTGGGTGGCCACCATCCTCACGACGACCCAGGTTGCTCAGAATGTCATCTTATTAGCACTGCTTTTCATCTACAGGCTGAAGCAGACGAACCCGACGGTCAAGGGAAAGCCCGGCAGCGAGTACCGCTTGTTGACTGTAGCTCTCATGCTTGGCAACAAGTTCCTCGACGACAACACCTATACGAACAAGACATGGGCCGAGGTATCCGGCATTTCGGTACAGGAAGTGCACGTCATGGAGGTCGAGTTTCTCAGCAACATGAGGTATGGGTTGTACACATCAAAGGAGCAGTGGGATAAATGGCACACCACTCTCGGCAAATTCGGCACCTACTTCGACCATGCATCTAAAATCGCCATATCTGCCCGTGGGAGCCCATCTGGACCATCGAACCATTCGTTCGGCGTACAGAACTATGTCCCATCACCGCCGACCACCCTGCAGCCATCCCCACCAATGTCGACTACCTACTCAGCAAATCCTTTTGCGTTTGTTAATACACCGTCTTTGCCGTCACAGACAACTCCAGCCACCGTGTCCCCAGTTGGCCATCGATCCGAGTTAGGTCCCATCATGCAACGCAAACGAAGCAATGACCACAGTGGCGAGCCGCCAATGAAGAGGCAAGCCCATGGTTTCGCTCCTGGACCGTATAGCAACGCCCCCCTTATCCCAACATTGCAGACGCCCGTGAACAGATCATTTGAGCCATCACCATCTACAAATAGGCTGCCACCATTGCCGAGTCTGTCTATACCTCCGCCGCAACATCTCCCGCCTGCTCACGTGAAGAATTGGTCAGAGCTTCCGCTGCCTATCCCCGGCAGCCGTTCGATGGCCATGGTCTACCCCCCGCCTGTGCAATGGCAACAGCCTGGCAGCACGCCCACTTCTTCAGTGGCGCCCCCCTTCTCGACAACACAGACGCCAACTACCGATCGGTCTCGCCAGATTAGTCCATATCTTCCTTCTGCTGAGTCTTCGCCCACCAGCGCGTCTTTCTCAACGTCACACTCACGGCAATTATCACCATCTCACTTTCTTAGCCAACGACAGTCACCATACCGTCCAGTTCGTGGTGTGCATACTCTACTTGTGCCGCCTCCCCAAAAGTCAATTCACAATCCTGCACAAAATATTGCCTACGACCAGATGCACTACCAGCCTCTAGGTCGACCTATGACAGAGTGCCGAGCTGGTCTTTTGCCCTACATGGATCATGGGGCGTGGCCTGCGACGAACCAGTTCAACCAACTTCCCGTTCCTCAACAGCCCGTCTTCCGTTGAGCCGACTATACTTTCCAGATCATAGACGGCTTCTTTGCATTATGTTTATTTTACTTGATGCGTTTTGAGCGAGCATAGCATTTGTTTGGGAAAGTCCCATTTTGTTTTACAGCATGCCGCTTGTCGAGAGACTTGACTGGCTTTCTTTTACCGTTACATCACACAAAGCATCCGCAGGCGTAATTTCACCTTTTTTCCATTCCATCGGCATTGCCTGATGAGCAAGCGAGCGAGCTTGCTGTTTGAGAGCATGTGTAGAGTGCCGAGGCGGATCTCGGATATGATTTAGATTGGAAAAAGTCCATAGTGGTCAGTTCCTCGACGGAAATATACAGAGCTTGGCTCTAAGCCAAATTGAAATCTATGCAATGTTTTCAAAAGCGGTATTTCTTGTGATGAATTGACGCGTGAAGTCGTGTTGAATGAAACGCTCGTTGGGTGTGGGACGTGAGGTCGGACTGCCAAGCCACTACTAAATAATTGTCAATTGTCGCGTTCGCGGCTTCGCGTCCGACGTCAGCTTCTCGAGGAGCAGCACACGACCTACACTATCATCCTCGCACACAACATGCCACCACCAAAAGTCAAGAAGCTCACCGCGCAGCCGATACGCACGCGTCAATTCGCTGGGAAACCGGCTGCGGCCGAAGCAAAGGAACAGTCCAGTTCGGACGAGTCCGAGTCGGACGAGGAAAAACAGCAACCAAAGCCCTACGCGAAATCCAAGCCGGCGCCAGTCTCGTCGTCGTTTCCCAAGGCTGCGCTCAAGTCGAAGCTTGCGGCGCGACAAAAGCAGGATGCGGAGCGTAAAGCACTAGAGGCCGAGTTTGAGACTGAGAGCGAAGACGAGGGCGGCGATCAAGGCAGTGGGAGTGGGAGCGGGAGTGGGAGCGGGAGCGAAGACGAGTCTTCAGAGGAAGAAGAGTCGAGCAGCGAAGAGGAGGCGCCAAAAAAGCTGTTGCGACCCGTGTTCCTGAAGAAGAAGGAACGCAGTCAGGGCATGGCCAAGTCAGCAGATGTTCTCGCAGAGGAAGAAGAACGGCGGCGGCAGGAACAGGCGCGAGCGGTTGTTCAAGAGCAGGTTGAACAGCGCGCAGCTGAGCGCGCTGCAGGCAAGAAGGACTGGGACGACGACATTGAAGACGCCGACATCGACGCAATCGACGATACCGACCGACATGACCCCGCCGAGTACTTGGCCTGGAAATTGCGCGAACTCAAGCGCATCAAGCGCGAGCGCCTCGCCATCGAAGAAGCAGAAGCCGAGCGCGCTGAAATTGATCGCCGACGCAACCTCTCCGCTGCCGACCGCGAAGCTGAAGACCGCGCCTTTATTGAGCAGCAGCAGGAAGACCGTGGCGACCGTGGTCAGATGCAGTATATGCAAAAGTACTTTCACAAAGGCGCCTTCTTCACTGATGAGCTGGCAGAGTTGGGCGTCGATCGCCGGAATCTGATGAACGCGCGCTTCGAGGACCAGACAAACCGCGAGATACTACCCGAGTTCATGCAGATACGCGATATGACTAAGCTGGGCAAAAAGGGCAGGACGAGGTACAAAGATATGCGGAGCGAGGACACAGGCAAATGGGGAGATCTAGGCTATCAAGGGCCACGTCGCGACGCGGGCGAACATGGGCTGGACGATCGCTTTCGATCCGATTCATTTAATGCAAGAGATGGCGGCAGAGGAGAGGGCGCGACAGGGGCTAATGCGAAACCACTAGGAGACAGGAAGAGATTTAGTGACGAGAGAGAGAGAGATGGTAAACGACCGAGGTTTGACGAATAGCGTATTTTCCCCCAGTTCCACGCACGCAGCTCCACAAATCCAGAACAGAATGAATGCTAGCTCTGGCGGTGGGGCGACGAGAATGCGGGGAATTATCATCCGAGGGGCGTCGATTGAAACAGTGAGCGGGGAAATGGTTCCCGACCCGACCCCAGCTTCCGAAAGCGTCCACTCAACCACTCAACAACTCAACAACAACAATAACAATAACTTCTCTTGGCAGCTATGAGTTCCGTGCAACTCCTCCCTTCACACAACTATAACACTCGACAGCATTGCCGGCATAGAGAAAGGTCTGAAGCAAAACACCGCCGACCACTTTATAAATACTTCTGCGCGTGCTACAGAATAGGTCATGCAAACTATATAGCGGTCGATGTCTTCATTAACCTACGCCAAGGGTCGATCCCGCACTGTTATTGGCGGATTTCGGAAAGAGCTTCAATGCACCATCGACAGTACGAGTTCAGTAACAGTGCAAGCATCTGCCGGAAAATTACATGCTGTGATATTCTTTGTGACGTACCGTATAAACTGGGCTCTCTCGGAAAACGCTAGTAGGGGTGGCAGGTGTGCTAAATAGACGCTCTAATAAATACCCCTAAGTAGCACTTAGGCTAATATTAGAATCCACTAAAGTTTTTATTAGCCTAAGCCCCTATTATTTTCTTTATCCTATGTGTAATTAAGCTCTCTTACTTATGTAAATTTGTTGTATTTAACTACCTGCATATTAATAGGCCTCTTACCTAAAACCTCTACCTATAACAAGGTCCCCCTAAGCAATGTTACTGTAAGTAATCTTATAGCTAATTATTCTAATAAGGTCTATTGCAGGCACAGCTACTAGACAATTAAAGACCTTATTAGTACTACACAGCTATACAAAGTACCTAAAGCTTTGTCTAGGCCCTATACAATTATCTTACCTTAAAAGAAACTTAGGATTATACTCTACTTTATACATTATTAGATTAAGGATAAGAGCTATTGTAATAGTATTAAGTAGAAGCAGCAGTGCCTCTAAGGACTTAAATACAATAGTTATTAGAGACTGCTAAGGACAGTAGACACTGCGCGCTACTTTAAAATACTGCAGTCTACTGCGTAGGATATATAGCAGTAATAATATAAGATAGTTAGGATAAGCTAAGGCTGTTAAGTACTTATATTAGGTAATAGTTATAAGAGGTTTCCTAAGCTTAAACTTAAGTTATTTAGGTAGTTTATTAAGTAGAGGCAGATAGGATAAAAAGTATCTTAGTACTAGTTCTACTAGCGTAGGAAGATTATATTTAATACATTATATAGTAAGGAGCTTAATAGTAACAGTAAAGTTAGTAATTATAATTATTAGGTATAGAAAACAGAATTTACTTACTTTAGGTAGCCTTTTAAATTCCTATTCTCTAACAGCTAGTTTAAGGGCTTTCTTTAATAATAGGATATATCCTAGCAACGCCTTACTTATGCTAGCTAGTATCTTCTACCTTACTACTTCTAGCTTATAAATTATTTTCTTTAGTTTATTTACTGCAATTTATTTCTATAGATATTAGTTAGCTACTTCTAGCGCTTCTAATTATCTAATATACTAAATATAGATAAAGTTCTAATTCCCTTTAAGTTCTTTAATAGGTATACTTACTATCTTAAGGGAGAATATACAGTAGGTAGAAGTATTATAAACTCTAGCTAGGCTAAATATTAAGCTATATTAGTATTATACGTATTTATTAACAGTGTGCTAAGACTTAAGCTAAAGCTTATCTTTTATAGTATAGTAGGTAGTAAGCTTAATAAGAAGAAGTAAGTTAAGTAGGACTCTTATATTACTATTAAGGTTAATCTAAGCGCGTATAATAATAAAGAGCTCCTAGTTAAATAGTTAAATAAAGAACTGTTTAATATATTAAAGGAACGTAACAGCTTACTTATAATAGACTATACTACTTTCTATAAAACTAAAGTTATTAAGGTAAAACTCTAAAAAAATAATATCTATCTAGTAATAATCCTAGGCAGATATACTAGACTACTCTAGCTACTAGATGTTAGTATAAATAAGTCCTTTAAGGTATTAATAAGGGAGAAGCTTAAGTTATTATTAGATAATAAAACCTTAGAGGAGAACTTAATAAAATAGATAGTAATTTTAGTACAGCAGATAGCAGTAATAAGGGCTGTTACTAATGCCTAGGATAACCTAAATAAGCATAAAAGATAGCTTATAAAGGACTCTTTTATCTATACTAGTATTGCTATTAGCCCTATTAGTACTAATAACTACTTAATTAAGATTAAAGACTTCTCTAATAAGGTAGACTTTACTAGTTAGGAGATATCTAAGAACTTAGCAGAGGACCTTACTACTGTTAAAATTAAGGAGGATAAGGATAATATATTTACCTATTTATTACTAGAGAATAAAGAGGAGATGCTTACGTACTAGGAGAAGAGTTATAAAGCTATATTAGTACCTAACTTAAAGAAGCTTTTAATTAATTATTATATACCTAAAGGTAGTTAGTTAAATAAAGCTTACCTTATAGAGTAACTATTAGTAGAGGATACTAAAGGTTAGATCTTATTAAATCTAATTATTATTAATAGCGCTAGAAATTTACTTACACTACTAAAAATAGCAAGGTAGGTAGAATAAGAGAAGAATAAGAAGATATAGTAGTAGTAATTAAAGCTTAGAAAGGATTATAGTAATATTAAAACATTAAGATAGATATAGGCGTTAAGGTTATAAAGTTGTTTAGATTATTTAGATAGACTCTAAAGTTTAAAGTTTTCTAAAGTTCTTAGCGCTATACTAGTAACTTAGTATTACCTAATTAGGTAAAACGCTGCTGTAATCTAGTGCTACTTATTATACTAGTAAAGAATTAGGAGGATTTTAGAGCCTACTCTATAGTATTTATAACTATTACTTATATCTACTTTTTACTGCTAAGCTTTACAAATTTACTAGCTATAGATATATTTTTTAGAACGCTTAGCTAAAACTTAAGACTAGTAAAATATAGCTCTAATTACAGGTATAACCTTAACGTTTAAACGCTATATCTTATACTACACTAAGTAACTTAGCTGCGCGTACAAGCTACGCTACGTAACTAATTTTACGTTATTCTTTAAAAACTGTAAAAAATTAAGATCTAGGTGTAATAACTCTAAAATCTAAGCTTTAAATGTATGTTTATAGAGCTCTACTATAGTTATAGAGCTAGATTTAAAGGTATAGATGGCAGTTTGTATAGGTGGCGCCACGTAACGCGGCATTTAAGTATTCAGACTAGGTTCTAGTTCCCGAGTTCCCCTGCTAGCGTTTTCCGAGAGAGCCCAGTTTATACGGTAGCAGCCACTCGTCACCCTGTAGACACTTCAGGGGACGCGTACAGATTGGCTGAATCTGTTAAATCAACAACACGCGTCTTCCAGGGGAGCTCCAAAAGCGGAGATGCAATCGAAATATGGTAGAACGAACGTCCGGGTAGAGAACAATACCCCGGTATGGGGGTAGAATACCCATGACACACAGTAGTTTGCATGGAAAAAAGACGATCAGGTTTCTAGCATATGCTTTCTTTCGCACTCGTCCACCAATATGCTTGAGGGAGGGGAACTTGCTATTCCCTTGTAGGCTAGGAATTTTTGGTGGAGCGGGTAACGTACGGACGCCATCAAGGTATTATATTGCTCCCTCGATTCATTTCCACGACGTTTGATTATGAGGATTTCACTTGGTGTACGCCTCTTTCGGTCGAGACTCTGAAGTGTTCTCATGCAGTTTCGACTGTAGCTCCAAAGCCAGCAGGATTCCTCGACCACAGAGTTCAATGCAACTTGATAAATAACTCCGTACACGTTCGCGCAAAAAAAGACGGCAGGCAATTGCAGCAATAATGAATTCTCTCCTCTCATTTCTCTGCCTCTGTGGTGTTGCCTTCGCACAGGGGAATGCGTCATCGCCCACTGTTCGCTCGGACACTGGCATCTTCCACGGCCGCTATCTCGCAGAGTTTGACCAGGACGTCTACCTTGGCGTCAAGTACGCGCCCAAACCAGTACGTTTCGCTCCCGCCGAGCTCATCAAGGCGACACCTACCCAGGACTTCAATGTCACTTCGTATGGTGTTGATTGTAGGGGGTATGGTTCAGACACAACCCTGCTGGTGAAGGATGGGTGGACACAGATGGGGGAGGACTGTCTCCATCTGAACATTGTGAAGCCGAGGACAAAGCAGAATAAGAAGCTACCCGTGTTGTTATGGATATATGGAGGTGGATGGCAGCAGGGCGCTACGAGCGATCCACGGTTAGTTGTTCTCGCAAGAGAAGGGTAACGAATAGGTACTGACACGGGTTCATAGATACAATATGAGTTACATCGTACAGCAATCGGTACTCAACAATAAGCCTGTCATCGGAATCTCCATCAACTACCGCATGGCCGCGTTCGGCTTCATCGACAGCGAAGAAATTGCCGAGACAGGGAACCAGAACCTAGGCTTGCGAGACCAACGCCTCGCATTCAAGTGGGTGAACAAGTACATCTCATCCTTTGGCGGCGATCCCGCCAAAGTGACTATCTGGGGCGAGTCGGCGGGCGCATACTCGGTCGGCGACCACATCAACGCATACAATGGCGACAACGACGACTTGTTCCGAGCCGCCATCATGGAGAGCGGCGGCGCTGTCGGCGCGCCCCTCAACGGCACAGACTGGTACCAGCACATGTACGACAACCTGACGGCGAGCGTAGGATGTGACAACGCAACCAACACGCTCCAATGTCTGCGCGACGTGCCCTATGAAACCATCGCCCCCTACGGCTACCAAGGTCTGGAGTGGTTCCACACCATCGACGGGTCCTTCATCCCGCGCTACGGCCAGCAATCCCTCACAACGGGCCGCTTCGCAAAGATCCCCATCATCCTCGGGACAAACACCGACGAGGGATTCGGCGTTAATGGCGTGAACACCGATGCGGATGCCATCAACCAGCTCGTGCACTCGAAGCGCTGGAACGTCAACGAGGAGCAGGCGAAGGAGCTGCTGGCCTTGTATCCGGATGATCCCGCTGTCGGTGAGCCATATGGCTGGGGCAATCGTACCTGGCCGCAGAACGGTCTGCAGTATAAACGCTACCAGTCCATCGCCTCGGACCTAGCTATGTTTGCCCCTCGACGGCTGATGGCGCAGCAAATGAGCAAGTATGTCGAGAACGTGTATTCGTACCGATGGGATGCGCCAAAGTTCAATAGCACGCCGGCTACGATTGGGGTTAATCATTTCTCAGAGGTAAGACATATCTATCCTCGTACATGTGTTATCTTCTCGTTGCGCAGACTGCGGGTAGCATGCATGGTACCGTACTGTACTGTACTGACAGCACAAACAGATCCCCTTCGTCTTTGGCAACACAGAGCAGCAGATCACGCCTCTGGGTAATAGCTCCGCTAACGTCGCTCTGTCGCATCTCGTGATGCGCATGTGGACGTCTTTTGCCTACGACCTCGATCCGAATGACCACGGTGGTATGTTGTATTCTCTCTGATAACTGTCTGTGGCTGAGCTAATTGATGGTGAAGTTGCTGGAGTTCCTGTATGGCCGCAGTACCGGGAGAAGGTGACGAACTTTGTGTTCCGCGCGGATAAGAGTTATGTGGAGAAGGATGTGGATAGGAAGGAGGGGGTGGCGTATATCAATAGTTTGGTTCGTTGAATGAGTGGTCGGTTGGTCGGATGGGAATGAGGTGTGGTGCCATGATTGGAAGTAGGGGAACTTGCTGCATATGCATGTATATATATATATAAGCCTGGGGAACGTGTTCTGGAGAAACAGTGTCAGATGTGAATACTTGCGCGAGTGGAGTCTAGACTATGAAAACCCTGGTTGAAACCAATACCGTAAACGCCACCGCTTGCTATATACCGAGAACGAGATGGCAGAAAGACAAGAAAATATAGACAAATCTCCCAAGATGGACAGGTGTTATGTGATGAGGCATCGACGGCAGGTCATGCAAACTTCCTAACGACCATGAACAGCAAGGCTGCTACAACAGCGTAGATGCATGTATCGATCCAGGCCAAGGAGCGATCAGGATTCTGTTGTGCGAGTTGCTGCACTGGGACTGGTCGTGTTGTCCTTGTTGGTCTGAGCGTAGGTGCGGTGGGAGACGGTGCTACGTTTGACGTTGGAACTGTTGGCGCAGGCATGGGTTGGAATGACGAAGACGACGGCGAAGACTCGACAACTTTGCCCTTTTCCATCCATGGCCCCCCCTCGTCTTCCGTCTTCCTCAGCTGGTCGCGATATGCCAGACGTAGTTCTTCAGGAACCTCCTCTTCCTTTCGCTTGCCTTCCCTCTCCTCGATTTCCTTTACTAGGTCGTCCGTGTCCTTGATGATGTCGGCGTTATTCTTCCCACATGCTGCACATTGCCAGACGGCGCTGTCCTTGGCCATCCTCTCACGCGCATCCTTGGTACACTCGATTCCTCCCAGCTGGCCCTTTGCATCGGTATCCATGAAGCTTCGTATGGCGACCAAGGCAGTCCTCACGCCCCAGGCCGGCTGCCACGTCTCCTCATGATGTCCCGATATGCTCAGACAAATCTCTCTGTTGACTTCGAAGCGGCCGGTGGGAGTGAGGAAGCGGAAGGAAGGCGGGCGGAGTGGATACTGAGGTGGGAGGATGATGCGACCGTGGTATATGCCGCCGGCGTAGGGGGAGGGCGCAGGCGGACCTCGCAATGTGAAGTGCCATTCGAAGAGGTTTGTTTCTAGCGGCTCGGCATGGTAGTCTGAAGAGGGCGAGGTGGACAGCTCGGAAGCTTCCTTTACTGCCACACGTCAGTTCCCAAGTCATGATGGGGCGATGGGACGAGCACCTACAGATACGCTTGATGGTTGGGTTCTTGGTGTTGAACTGTCCGCGGGTAGACATGACGGGTGGAATGATTTATCGGGGCAGTGACATGTGTTGGGTAGAGTGATTCACCGGTGCAGTGACGTGTGTTGGGTGGAATGATTTATCGGAGCAGTGACATGTATTATTCATGACATGTGTTGAGTGGAGGTGTTGGCGCTGACGTTGGGCGTGTTTGGCAAGCGCGGCCCGCCGTAGCTAGCCCCACTTTCCTCGGCCTGCATCATCATTCTACCACCTACCACCTACCACCTAGTAACGACCACATTTCGATACAACTGAACTATCTGGCAGGCTTCGTTCCTGGCGCCTGCCGAACTGAGTGCTTGCCTTTCCACTCTTCGCTCGCAAGCTGCACGCGCCCATGTCTGTGATGAAGTGTTGGATTGACGACGAAGCAAGACAGACATGTCCTCACTCGCAGGCCGTCAAGATGCAATCATACAGACGTGAAAGCGCCAGCTCGTGATAGACACACATGACATGACCTGACCTGGCATTCGCAGTCGTGTGTGGGAGTAGTGGGCCCGGTCCGCCATGTGTCAACCGTCAGCCCTACCCGCACATGGCAGCCTGTGGTGTGACGGCGATCCGCATCCCAGTGATCTGATGTGTTCCCCAGAGCGAGCCCTGAAGATCATGCACGCCTCCACAGTCCTCCATCCGGCCTGCCCAGACGTGCAGCTTCAAGACGGACCGCGTGCGTGCCTTGCAGCTGTCACGTCGCCTTTGTCTGCCCAGACTTGTTAATCACGTCATGCATATCAACAGGCCGAGCTATCAACTAGCCGTCGCCACATGGATCCCGCACGAGTCGGACCCTTAGGAAGTTTGGTCTCGGGCCCGTGTGCGCGTGGGGCCTGCGCGTGGTGACGCCCTGCCTCGACATTTCCTGTGCTCCATCTTGTCCTGGCTCTCCCGCCAACTTGCTCCCTTTGCTAGACCACACTGCGCTGCCCAACTCTCCAAGATGCTGGAGCGATGCGATTCAACGACTGTTTCGCTGCCCGCCGAGATCAACACGGCGACACGGTACGCCCTCCTTGTCGCAATCACCCTCCCCTCAAGCGCTGCTAACCCTCCCGCCCACAGAACGCTGCACACAACCCTCAACCGCCTCATCACATCCCGCCTCCCGCTCGCCCTCCCACCACACGCCTCGGACCCCACTCTCTACGCTACCGGCCTCGTCCACTTTGCCCACATCTACCTGACCTTTGAGTCTCTCTGGGCCGACACAATACGCGACTACACACCACACTCCGAACCCACGGCGTCCTCCAACTCGCCACTCCTCTCCTACCTCCTCGTCAATCCCTACGATTCGCCTTCACTATTCACATCCACCCTCGGCGCCCCAACACAGCCATCACCACTCCTCGCCGCATTCCTCCAGTCCCTGCGTCCAAGAGGCCTGGTTCGCTCGGTGCGCCTAAAAAAGGACCTGGAGTATTTACTCGACCTGCACCCCACCGACCTCGAAGTCCTGCTTGCGAAATACCCCGGCGACAAGGTCGCAGACTTCTGCACACATATCCGGAAGAGCGTCAACGAGAAGCCGTGGACACTGGTGAGCTATGCGTGGTGTTTTTACATGGCCGTTTTCTCCGGCGGGAGATGGATACGCGGGGGCCTTCTCAACGCTGGGCCTGAGTTTTGGCCGGCGAGCGACAAGGTAGACCTGCAGCAGTGCGGTCTGTCATTCTGGCACTTCCCCGGTGCGCATGATGGCGAGGACATCAAAGCAGACTTCAAGACGAGACTAGGTGCGGCCGAGGCTCTCTTCACGCCTGACGAGCGTGTCGATATCATTGAGGAAGCCAAAGCCATTTTCCACCTTTGCGCAGGACTGGTGCAGGAGTTGGACGAGCTGGTTGGGACGGATTTGAGCCTGGCTGAAACTAACAGACGTCAGCCGACCCCGTCGGAAGAGAAGCCACCCATGAACGAGAAGAAGGCGGAGAGTGTCACGCGAGTCGGACGTATATCCGTTCCCAACGACCCGCTCATGAGATTCCTCCGAAGGCCAGAACTCACAGGGTCGATTGTTGCCTTGGCATGCCTGGCCTGTGTGGCCTTTGTCAGACTGCAGTGAGGAGGAATAATGGAGTTGCTGTGAGTAGTAGATGCCTTGTCATTGTCTAGCACATTCTTCTGAGCACGGCGAAACGGAGCGAGATACCCTACATTCCATAGACGTTTTTATCCCACTTTTCTTTTTCTCAACCCAAGCATATCAAAAATCAAACACGAGTGAACTTCTCACCCGCCGAACCTACTGACCGTGCTACACACACCAACACCGACCTCCCATCCACGCTTACAAACTGATGCAACCATTTGCGCTGTCCTCGAGGAATACACCACCGTAGATCTGGCCCTCGTTGAGGTTCGGGCTCTGATAACCACTGTTGACAACGTCGTCCGTGCCCATTGGCTTCTTCAAGATGCCGAGCTGGAACTGGCCTTGACCAGAAAGATCGACCGCGAGGGGCCCAGCAACCTTTTGCAGCACGCGGGCATCAGCCGAGTAGTAGATGGTAGTTTGGCTACACCCACGAATTAGCATCTCCCCTCTCACCTTCACAACATGGAAAGATCCAAACCTACTTGTTCACATAGTCCAACTTGACGGCAAAATTCTGCCACTTCTTCATCTCCATCTTGGTGCTCCACAACTGCTTCCCCGCCCGATCCAGGATCTTGAACGAGTTCTTATCCGCATTGCTCTTCCCAATCAAACTGCCAGCCTGGAATTGGATCTGATTCGCCGAGTAGTCCGCCGTCTCATGCCACGCATTCAGGTACTCGTGCGTGAGATTAAGCTTGCGCGCGCCGTCCTGCTTGACGCTCCAATGCAGTGTCTTGACGCCTTTGCCGCCGGGCCCATCGGCAGCATCATTCATAAACTGCAGGCCCGCGCGGCGGAACCCGTTCTGCTTCTGGAAGATGCTCTTGTCGGAGATGGTGACTTCGACGGCAGTGTAGTTTGCACCGTCGAAGCGCGAGGCCGTGTTGGGGAACAGCAGGATGTCGGACCAGGTGAGGTTGTTACCCTTGACGTAGTCTTTGTTGTAGAGGCCGAGCGTGTCGAAGGTCGAGGGGGTGGTGTTGACGGGGATGCGGCCGTCAAAGACGATGGGGCATTGGGGGGCGCGGGGGAGGACTGAGGGCGCTGCGAGGGTTGACGATGCGGCCGCGAGGAGCGAAAAGAGAGTGGTGCCGTGCATAGTGACGGATGGGAATGGGAAAGGTAGAGATGGAAGTAAAAGGAAAAGTAAAAAGTAAAAGAGCGACTAGAAGTATATGTTCGAAGATCTACTTACGATGAGGAAACTACAAGAGACTCCAACCATCACTCTTTATACAACCACAGTAAATTACTCCCAAGCACCTACGCACTTGGCCCCTCTCCTCTCATCCTTCCGCAATTCGTGCGCATTACACTGCTCATTACTTGGTTCACAGAGGCGTCTTCTCTCCATCCCCATGTGAAAATGGCAGGAGGGAGTATAGGCCCGAAACGACGTACCGTTGCTGCCTTTTCAATCAATCCATCAAATCACGGGTAAGCTCGGTCGACATCGACATTTACAACCACACTAACGTCGGGACGTGGTGTGGTATGAGATAGATTAGCGGTCCGTTACTCCGCATGGGAGATGAAGATGGAGATGGCAAGGCTAGAACCTGTACGCGCATGTTCCTTTGGACAGCGCTAGAAAGAATATGAGAAACATGTCTATGTGTTTCAAAAGGGACCGTGATTTTGGCCGAATGATCATCGCGTTTGTTTGATAGTAATAATAGACACGGCACCCGTTTCGTATGGAATCCAGGCGAGAGCGAATGCGACTACAGATTCACCACGCATACCAGAATGGAAGAGGAGAAAGAACTACTATAAGCTATACATGCTCAACCCATCAAGCCAAAGATATCAGCCAGTTAACCCAACATGCTAAATATGCTTTCGCCCCTAGTCTAGACAACAACCTTTTCGTATCCAGAGTGGTAGTGTGCAAGGATCCAAAACGCCATACATGATCGTGACAACAGCAACGCCTCCCAACCAAGTGTTGATACACGTCTTATTCTCGACTCACCGCACCTGCGGAGTCAGCCATGTAGCCTCCTCACAGCCCTCGTAGAAGCGTCTCTCGCCCTTTTCCCCCACTACCCCAAAGCCCAGGTTCCTCAGCTTGCCCGAGTCCCAGCCTGAGACGAACTCGCCCTGGCCGCCGTTCTCTCTGTTTACGGCGTCGCCGAGCTTGATGTAGTCTGCATGGCGGCAGACGGTCTGCGAGTAGGACCACTGCAGACAGTGGGCGTCGTTGGCGCACTCTGAGCCGCACGAGTTGGCGTTGCGGTGGGCGGGGCGGTCGTTGGGGACCGGGGCGGTGGAGAGGTTGTCCCACCACTCGCGCGAGGGGCCCTGGGAGAGGAAGGAGTGGGTGTAGGAGAGGAGGGAGGAGTAGGTAAAGGGTTTCTGCGGGGACGAGTGTGTCAGCGGTGTGGTTGCGTCATTGCAAGGGCAGGCTGCTCACCAGGTTGTAGGGCCGTGTGCGCTCCCACTTCCACAGGTCCTCCATCTGCTCGGGCTTGATCTGGTGCAGCGAGAGCAGCGGGACGCACCAGCGGTCGCGCGTCGTGGTGACGTCCTTGAGCTGGTCGCTGGCAAAGGTCGGGTACAGGGCCTCGAGGCGGACGCCCGTGGCGTTCTGGATGGCGTAGGCGAGGACCGAGTCGCCGCGCTGCTCGCCCTGCAGCCACGTCTCGTAGCGCAGGCTCAGCGGCGTCTTGGCGGGCATCAGCTGCTTCATCAGGCCCTGCGACAGGACGAAGCCGGCGCCGCCATAGGCAAACCAGCGGTCGTTGGAGCCCTTGTGCGGGGCGCCCATGTAGTGCGGCTCGGCGGGGTCGAGCTGGCTCAGCAGGCGGAACAGCGTGTCCCACACAAAGTAGACGTCCGACTCGAGGAAGACGAACCACTTGGCGCGCGGGTTGGTGGCGTAGGCCTTGTCGACCATGGGCAGGTACTTGAAGCGGTCGAGCTTGAAGGCGCGCTGCGACTCCTTGGTCGCCTCGCCCTCGCTGTGGGCCTTCTTCTGCTCGACGTAGGCGCGGAAGTCGGCGTGGGCGGCCTCGTAGCTCTTGGGCAGGTCGGCCAGGACGTCGACGACGTGGCGGTCGCCCAGGCGCTCGTCGCCGTCGCCGACGATGAGCAGGTTGGTGATGCAGCTCGACACGGTGCCGACGTGGGCCCGGTTGGCGGCGCCCTCGCTGGACGCGACGCGCAGCACCACCTGCACCTCGTCGAGCAGCTGCGTGGGGAAGTTGTGGCAGTAGTCGAGCTCGACGGCGTTGGCCTGCTTCTGCTCGAGCGGCGGGAAGAACGACTTGGTCTTGGCCTTGTGCACGGGGGGCTGCACGTGCGGCCGCCGGTGCGAGAGCGTGTAGGCCACGAAGAACAGCACCAGGCCGGGCACCACGAACCGCCACGGCCGTCGAGCGAAGCGGCCCGCCAGCACCGTGGGCATCATGGGAGCGAAGTTGGGGTGCTCGTCGTCGGCGTGTTGTCGTCGTCGTTCCTGTCGTAGTCGTCGTCGGCGTCGTGGTGTTGATGGCTCGAGGTTGGACTTTTGGCTCCCTGCGTCAGTCTGCACGCTAGAACCATCTCAACCCTCAACACAACAAACACATCCATTACTCGACACCCACCTCCACACCAGCTGTCCATGATATGCTGACGATATACCAATAATACAATAATAATGCAAATGATCTACCCACGATATACCAATGATATGCTAGCGATATACTAATGATATGCTGATATCACCCCTCCTTCACCCCGTCCACCCACACCTCCACCTTTTCGTTGTAAAAACACATGTACCCGGCAATCGGCGCGCTCTCGGCCGTCGGATACCGATAATACCACACCACATCCCTATACACCTTGCCCCCGACACGCACATCATAGTAGTTTGCCCGGCCCTTGTACGGACACAGCGTCTCCAACCCACTCTTCGACAGATACTCCCACCTCACACTCGTAGGCGGCAGATAATACCGCGTGCGCAACGTCGTCTCCAGGAGAAACAACGCGCTCGAGCTCTCAGCCAGCGTAACACCATCCAAAACCACTCTCACCGTGCGCGTCGAGTTGAGGATGTCGATGCGCTTGTACGGGTCTTTGGGGTGGCCGAAGACTGCCACGTCTTCTTCGAACCATTGGTCCATTTCGTGAAAATCAACCTTGACAAGGTCTTTCAGCTTACTGCTGTTGAAGATGACGACGCGGTCGGTGCTGCGATTGCCACTGCTGAGGCGCGCAAGATGTGCACCACCATCTGTACCGTCAACAACCGACAATCTTGTCAGTTTGGCATCTGGGGTGAAGCTTGAAACAGGAACGTAGAACCTGGACACGTCAGTTTGCATCGTGCACCACCTCGAGGGAACAGTACTGCGGGAAATTTGGATGCTCCCATACATGGTACGCCTCGATCGTGTCGATGACGTATTTGCCATTCAGCAGGGCTCGCACGCGGCGCGGCGTGTGTTCACATCTATAAGGGCCTTCACCTTCAGACGTGAGTCTTTGTGCAAGCTTGACAAGACTACGCGTGTCAGCTCTGCCTAGGATGATGCTCAAAACTGAACCAGTATAACGAACTCGCTGGTGTATGCCATCTTGTGTGAAGACCGAGAGGAATGCAACAACCGAGCAAGGAAAGGAATCTGTTGCATAGGACTAGGATGGATATCAACCACTCAATAACTGCTGTTTGTAGAATGTAATGATGTAGGAAAGAAGTGGGGTCAAGCGGGGAAGCGTCTAACTAACAGTGATCATCAACGTTGACATTTATCACGCTGCAAGTTGACATAAAGAGACTCTACCTCCTCTGTAAGCAGCGACTTCACATGAACAGTCCTAAGTTGAAGGTGTGGTATGGAGTTGCTACAAACCCTCTATGCCTCCATGGCTGTCGATAAACCGTATGTTCCCTCAAACTCGTCCTAGCATGCTTTAATCACGCTTACACGATGGATTCGTCGAGTTGAGCTTCGTGGGCTGACCAGCATGCAGAGTATACCGTATGTCACCCGTGGTAAATCAACGTTGCGGTAACGCAAGCTGGATTCAGTTCAAGGCTTTTGACGGCATCCTATCCTTCGGTTGTTATGTCCAGGATGGTCTCAAGCGCCTACCAACCCTACTAGGTTTATCGTCAAGCCGCTTGGCAGATCGGAGGTTTGAACAGAAACAAAACAAAGCAGACGCAAGGACGTTTCGAGGCAGCCCAGCAATGTGGTCGGAACAGAGTGCTCATAGCTGACGGCGTGCGGCTAGCTGCTTCGGGTGCTAATTGACTGAAACATGGCGGAGCTTACAGCGCACTTGGCAGGGGTAAGGAGGGATTGGACGGTGCGAGGAAGCGAAATTGGCCATGCAAGAGAGCAATTATGAGGAATTGCAACCATGCGAGTCGGTTACAGTGCTGACTGCAGAAGTCCTGGGTCTTGACGAGGGGCTTAGTACGAGAACTGGCTTCCTTGAGATCGCCAGCGCTTTGTCGGAGCTTTGCGCCTGTTCCGCACACCCTCCCACAGCAACATCCACCAACCGCGACTTTCTTCACCTGATCAATAAATGCAAAGCCCCGTATTTGCTTCGAGTGGCAATATAGCACCACGCGCTCCACCCTTTGATGGATGCCTGCCATCGTTCCCGCAGTCTTTTGACAAACCACGGTCCGTCACCGTTGCTGACAGCATCTGTATCGCCTGTCCGGCAGCAAGCCAAGTATTGGAGTTCGTGTTCAGAGTTACACAAGACCAAACGCGTGATTCTACGCACTCCACAACGCCTGCTTGGATCACCTAGCCCCGCCCTAGATAGTGCGGTTTCATTTCCTCTGTGGGGAATCCACGGCAGACACGCAGTAGTAGCAGACTTGGGAGTCTCCAGCTCAGCTCCAGGTCATGGAAGTGGCGTAGATCGGAGCGTTGGGTGTTGGCAAAGGCTCGTCGTTACAGCCATCGCGTCGTCGGTCACGGAGACTCCTCGCCCTAACCGCACATTAGCGTCGCCTGCCGGCCAGCCCTATACCAAGAGAGACCGAAGCGGGTGATAGATCGACACCCGGCGCATGGGCTCAGACGCCAGTGTACTCCAAATAGAAGCTTCGCTTCCCGACATGCCAGGACTCCATCAAGGCCTGCATGCCCAGTACGCTAGCTATGGCTCGGTGTCATGCCTCGTGCCGCTACCTAAAGCTGATCAAGGAGGTATATCTAAAGCAGGAGCCCGCACCTGCTAGAGCTTCATGAGCTTTCGTCTTATTCCCACAAACCCTCTTGTCAATCCATAGGGTAACGATACTCTTTTTGGAAGTCCTCGTGACCTCCGTACATTCGCTTTTCATAGTCTCTCGCTTCATCACCTATAATATGCGTCGTTCTGTTTTAATTGGCCTCTTGGCCGGATTTGCCAGCCAGGTCTCAGCAGCCTGCAGCTCGGCACTCAAGATCGATGACTTTTCCAAATGGTCGTCCAACACCAACAGCTTGGGCTCGTGGACAAGCGGTACGTGTACTCATCGCCATCTGTGGACTGTAGCTTATCAATGAAGACGACGGCTCCATGACCTCAATCACGGCCAGTGGTGGAATCCTCTCGTTCAAGCCAAAGTCTGAATCTTACTTCTATGAGACCTTTACCTGCCAGGCTGCAAGCACCAACGGCTATAACTCCCTTCAGTTCACTGTCAAGGGCCCCGCCAGCGGTTCCGCTACTCTGGAGATCCAGACCCAGGCCTCTTGTTCAGCCACAAGTTACACCTCGTACTACACCTCCATCTCTGGCCTGACCGGTAACTCTCAGACCATCACTATCCCCCTGAGCCAGTTCACTGGTGCTAACGCCAACGCCATCACCGGGTTCGTCTGGTCCGGCTTCTCGTCCACCACGGCAACATGGCAGTTCAGCAACGTTCAGTTTGGCTGCGGTGGTGCTGGTTCGGGCTCCAGTTCAACTGTCCGATCCAGCTCGACTGTCCGACCCAGCTCGACCGTCCGATCTAGCTCGACTGTTGGTGTGAGCTCGACTGTTCGTCCCAGTTCCTCCACGCTCATCACTTCTACAAGGCCCAGCGGAACCTGCAGCCCCCTTTTGATCGATGATTGGTCCTCGCAGTCTCGTCTTACCTTCTTGTTTTATAACTCCTTCACACTATCTACCTCTTCAGATGGCACCATGAAGTCTCTCACTGTCGGAAAACCATCTTCCAATCGCGTGGAAATTGTTCCCACTGACCGCAGCTCTTACTTCTACAGTCAATTCCCTTGTGTCAACGCGAAGAACATGTATGGAGGTATCTCGCTCCGCATCAAGGCTCCTGCTGGTACTACGCTCTCGGTTGAGCTTGACTCCTCCAATACCTGCGATCCCGGCGTCGCTGTGGCCGCAACCCAGTCGTCTACTGATCTCGGCTGGACCTTTGATGGCACAGAGAAATTGTACCTCATCCCGTTCTCCAAGTTCCCCAGCCTCAACACTGAGAAGCTCGTTACGATACTCTTCTCTCAGTTTTCGACCACCGTCTCCTTCGGTCCCATGGCTTTCTACTGCGGCAGCACTGGCGAATATATCGTTACCACCAGTACCAGTCCGGCTGGTCCTACCGGCACTGTTGCCGCACCCTCCGGCACCGCTGCCGCTCTCGTCGTTGACAAGTTCGCAAGCGCTGACAGCAACGCTCTCGGCAACTGGCACGGTGGTGATGATGGCATGGGTCTTACCTACTCTGCTGGCAAGCTCACCATCAAGTCTGACGACGCCGACTACTCTTTCTACACTCAGGTCTCTGCGAGCTGTAGTGATTTCAGCAAGTACAAGGGCTCATACCTGCATATCGCATACTCCGGCACTGTGGCTTTCACTGTCGCTCTGCAGCAGCACAATACGGCTTGCAACCCTGACATCGCTCCTTACCCTGAGACCTGGGACTCTGTCGAGGCTTCTCGCTATGCCAAGAATGGTCACATTTACATCCCAATGAACCACTTCAACGTTGAGATGACGCGTGTCGTTGGATTTGCTCTCAAGGGCTTCTACAAGTCAGACGCAGTTGTTTTCTCTGTCATCGAAATTGTGCCTTCCGTCCCTGCCGGTACCGTCATTCCTATTGACGAGGAGAGCGGTGACCTCGTTTTCGCTTGCAAGCGCCCTAACAGCTTCGCTTTCGCCATCGATGACGGTTCTCCAGAATATGCCCAGGAAGTTTTGAAGATCATCCGTGAGGAAGGCATCAAGGTGACTTTCTTCACCGTTGGAGCCCCCCTCCTCGACGCATCGACCAACCTCACAAACGTCTATCGTGAGATGTCGGCCGCCGGCCACCAGCTTGCCATGCACTCTTTCACGCACCCCAAGATGGAGGGTCTTTCCGACTACGCATCCATCGACTGGGAGTACAACGAGGACATCAAGGCCATGAAGCAATCGTTCAACGGTCTCGAGACGTCTTACTTCCGTCCTCCCTTTGGTACCGAGGGCGCCCGTATGCGCTCCCGTCTTGCAAAGGCCGTCGGCAAGAAGCCCACCATTACCAACTGGTCCGTTGACGTCGAAGACTGGTTGTGGGCGGAGTCCAACACCCCCGAGCAGCAGCTCACTGCTTTCCAGCGTGACGTGAACAAGGGCGGAAACCTAGTCGTGCTACACTACCTCTACCCGTCGACCGTCGGCTACCTGAGGCAGTTCATCCAGATTGCGAAGAAGACCGGCAAGCAGCTTATGCGTGTCGACCAGTGCATGATGGATCCCAACGCTCCTCCTTTGTAGGTGATTTTCGTTTCAAGCGGTATCATTGGATGGATAGGGAAAGTGGATGGATGGAGTAATGTTCTATAATGTTGAAAGATGGTTCAGAAATTATTGCGGCTTTGGTAAAACGCACCTCAGCGTCAGATTCTAAAACTAATATATCTGCTGTTTCATGCCACCGTGTTTTTATTTTGCCTACGCTGTCTCGGCTGTGAGTGTTTGAATGTTGTGACACATTAGCCCTAGCAATAACCTACTACCTATGTGAGCCATGTCAGCCTGGGCGAATCACATGCATTCTGTTTATCTCGAGGATGTCGAAACCATTAGTGTGTTCAAAGATTCTCTTGCGTACCTGCGCTAGGGCAGTCCATGAACGTGGAAGATTAATATTTGGAGGTCTTGCAAAGAAAGACAGAACGTGGGTGTCGAACCGAGGAGGAAGTTGAAGCCATATCTCCCTCTCGCACGTCATTAACATGATCGTTCCAGAACAGCACTTTCATGTTGACAGCAAAGTAAACAAAGAATTATTCTACTGATTATCTTGTTTTCCGTCAAACTACTAATATGTACTTTCCTCTTCATCCCCGCAATTTGTCTGGGCATGTGTGGAGTCGAATTGTACGTTGGGGTCGAAGTAGAGTGTAACGATACCGGCATTGGTGCGAGTCCAGCTTGCTGGCTCAGGTGCTACATCTGCTCGGTGATCACGGCATACTTGGCTTGTAGTATCTGCTGCAGGAACGGATTCGTCAGGGTCTGCAGTTGTTTGAACTTGTCGAAGGAAGTGCCTTTTCATTCGCCGAGCTTTTACAGGTGTGATCTCGTTTTTTCGGCGTATGCGGATCTTCCTGTTTTCTGCGTGCCGTTTGCAAGGAAGATGTTCACACTCTGGTATGGATCACAATTGCAATGTTTTGTGCGACTGTATTTTCAGTCTTGTGGCTCATGGGGCCGTTGTTAAAGTTGAAGTGGAATAAAGGCTTGAAGTGCGTCACATAGGAATGGCCGTGATTCTCCGTTCAATTGAGGATTCTTATAGCTATGAAGGTGAGTGACAAGTGACTTGAGAAATTTTAGTACAGATGTCCAATAGCCAGAGTACACAAGGAGGTTCGTCGGAAGTCAGGACTTCAACAACGTGGCAGCGTCGTCTTGGCGTGTTAACACGATACACTCGTCAACATTTCTGAGGAATCAGTTGACAAAACGCTTATTACTGTGCTGTTTACAGGTTCAGAAGAAAGTGAGTTCCGGTAAAAAGTATCCGGGACGAGCCTCATCAGAGCGGCAGATCCCGGGAGTAGTCATTGGCATGTTGGTTATACGATGGTTTGGCGAAAATTCACATCGTTCGTACTTGTAGTTGAAAAATATATAAAAGGCGTAAAATGCTTGTTTGATTGGCATCTTTCCCTATGTTTGCTACGGCACTGAAGCTTGCTACTAACCGTTCCAGAGATCTCAAGGAATGATATTTTACGTTTTGAAACACTCCTTGGCCGATAGAACTGGGATAAGCTGCACCAAAGGTTCGGCATATTCTGCAGCAAACAACCTCATATCGTGGAGTTCATTGTCCAATTGCGTGTCTTTCCGAGCATCGAGGGAAGAAACCTATGCACATGGTACAATCTTCTTGGCCGATTCGAAAGTCTGGCGCCGTTCGCTGACATGTTTGTACGTCGCTACCGTTGTAGGTGAGACAGAGAACCTGCAGACATTGATGTGACATCCTTCAGTTGTAGAATATACGAACCTACCAGCTGCTCCAGACACCCTCTTTACAGTCAGCTATCTCGATAGCTTCCTGTATGGCTCCCAAACGGACCAAATGCTTGGATGAAGTCCAGTGCTTCGCCTATATCCCGTCCCGCAACAACTTAGTCATGGTCATGCCAAGTCCGTTTGCATAGCAAGACTCAGACACTTTCTCGAAGGCGTCGGCAGATTTGGCGAGTTCCACATCGTTGTGCCTTCTATATCTGGGAAAGCCATGTTACTGATTAACGTGGAGTGCTTTGAGGGACATCCTTAAGATTGCCGTGATCAGGTCATGACGTATGTCCGGACTGCAGCTTTGGTCGTTGCGAACGAGTTGAACATGGCTAATAGTGATGTGTCGGTGTGGTACTTCTGGTTAGACCACATCTTCAAAATGCTGCTTTTGCGCATCGGAAAGACAACAGTATTGTGATAGCGACACGATAAAGGCATATTTTCACTCCCCGTATACTCTCCCGCATCTTTACTGTCTGGAGATCGAGATCCGTACAGTTCGTCGGAATCGGCGAGAATCTGATTTTTGTCAATCGTTAACAATGACAAAAAGTCCTTCATTTTACTTTCTGGAGTTACGGTATTATTGAACTCAAAGGAGTCCTGTTCTTCTTTCCTGTAGTCGCCATCTTGAGTTTACTGGGTCATATTTGTAAGGGGCCAGTAGACTCCATTCTTTGCACGGAGACAGTCTAAGTACTTACCATTGACAGCATCCCGCCCCTTGAAATCCTTCAGCGAGAGACTGGCCTCTATGTGTTGATGTTCGAGCGAGCAGAAAAAGAAGTCGAGATGCGGAAACTTGTGGCCTCATCAATGCAAGAGTGTCTCTAGTTTGGCATGAGTGGCATCTATAGCAGCAGCCGTATGTTTTGGCTGATTCAAGTTCTGTATAAGATTGTATGTCATAACCAAGCGGTAGTCTCAGGTGACAGGCTTGATCTCATGCTGGACGTCGGAGTACCATGCCAATGTAGAAAGATCGAATGCGGAGTGTGGCGCAGTGTTCAGTACTCGTGAGTTTTTCCATGGACTAGATAGACATCTCCGCTTGCATGCTCCGATGGCAGGTTGATGACCAGAGTTCCGAACACCCCCGGAACCTTCTCCGTGTCGCGGTGTGCTTTGAAAAATGCGTTTTCTTCGTAGAACAAGACTTTATACCGCAGTGCGGACGTTGGTACCTGCACGCCGAGATCCTGTATGGCCTTTTGTTCAAGACATCTAGGTACGTTGTCCATGCGTAAAAGGGCGCAAAGGTTATTGGCATCGACGCAGTGGATGTGTGTCAATCGGAACTGGAACTCTGCGGCATCCAACTCCCAAGTTTTCCCGGACGGTCTCATCGACAAATGTTTCGTCCTTCCTGCCGAATGGCGATTTCTTACACAAAAGAGCAATGGCCTGCGCACCACGTGTCGAGAGCGGTAGTTACACCGAGCCAAAATCCGAGACGTACAAACCGGGGTTGACATATTGCTTGTGACTTTGGAATGCAGAGAATGTGCCTTGATACTTGATCTCGTCCAGACAGTCTTGCAGTCGCTGTTTGTAATCCTTTTCTACGTCCGATCCATCGCTGTCGAAGCAACTATTCAGCCTGTATTTAACGTAATCAGAGTTACTCAGTCTGTGCATCTTTGTCTTGCGTATAGTCAAGCGTGTCGCTGCAGAGCGATTAGACCACTGGATTGGAGTGTAAGATGACAAGAGGCTTTGAGGGGGAAGGCGTGGAAACAAGCGGATATAACATGAAGTTGGCCGAGCGCGTTAACGCCAAATGGAATAGCGTGGCAAGATCCCAGACGCGTCATCACGGACTCAACACCAGAGCACGTGCTACAAGAGAGTCAATCACCGCAACGACATCGTGACTGACGACTAAAACACTTGATGAACGCACCACTTGGAACTGATTATCTGTCCCATCGAGAACTTTGAGTGAGTGAGGGTGAAGAAGAATACTACTTAGAGTTTTTGTCAGTGAAGACATACAAGAAGGTTATCAGCACCCGGATCCGGAAACGATAACCACTCTCCAGATATCTCATCGTCACCTCTCTCCACTGGAGTAATGGCAACGTATCAACCAAACACTCCGGCGACAAACCCCTCGCCTTCCCAATCTGCCTTACCTATTCCGTGCCACAGCGCCTAGAACTATGACCTCCCTGCATCGTGAAGGTCAATTCTCTTGTCGATTCGCATATCACTGGTTCACATCCGACAGCTTATTGTACCCCCTCATTCCGTCCTTGTGCCATTCCCACCCTTTCCATACATAACTCGTGCGAATGACCATGCCACTCTCCCGCGATACCTCCTCTCTGTGCATAAGCTTGTTGGCGGTTGGTTGCTGGTCTTTGTTCCAACGCTCGATAGCCAGTTCTTCGGGGAGGAGGTCGGAGTGTAGGAGGTATTTGTAACTGTAATTGGCGCGGTAATGGTGGTAGACTGAGATTGGAGACTCGTTGCGGGGGTAATGAGATGGATTCTGGAGGACGTCGACGTCGAATTTGTAGATTATGGTGTCAGCACGGGTGTCCGTGTAACGATAGAACTCGACAGGTGCCATGACGTGGGTGAGCGGCAGCGATATGGTAGGAGTGAGTGAGGGATCTGGTTGTTCGAACGAATTCGGTATGTAGTTGTGGACTGTAGGGAGATCGGAGCAATGATGGCCAGATAGCGCTGAGGAAAGTGGCTGTCGGTTGTGGAGAGTGCGGTTGTATTGTCGATGCACACTGAGTTGAGAAGACAAGAAAAGGTGAAGCCGGAGTCGGGCTTTTTGCCTTCACCCTACCATAGCAGATCATTCACCATGGCCACGTTTCCAGCAGTGATGATGGAGAGTGAGGTGACACGAAATAGCAGATGCTCGAACTACATAGCGCTGACAAGTAATACGACGGAAATTGCATGGAAGACGCAGCGGCTTGATGTGAGGGAAAGAGCCAACATGCCAGCGTGCGCGTCAAGTTGTACTTGGAACATACATGCCGCTGACTGTTGTTGGCACCAACAGGCCCAAATCGATTACTATTCTTGTACGTTTGTCCTCGACTCGGCGCAATGGCACTCGACAACTGCATGCACAGGTGCGAGAGCCTCACGTGTCCAGCGGGTAGACTAGGACCAAGCTTGAAACTTGGAAGCCAGAGATGGAGCAGAAGAAGAAGGGAAATGGGCCTAGGTTTGCTCTGGGCAAGAACAGTTGGAAGTCGGGCAGGGCAGACGTACATGGTGGTGAGGTGTCGGGGATGAGATGCTGAGATGATGTGGGGCAGCCAAGCCCGGATGCTGGTCGGACGTGCAGCGTGGGACAGGTGGAAATCCCCTGGCCGACGTGCATGGATGGCTTTCCCAGTCGACGCCCAACACAACGACGAACCCCCGCGAACTCGACGACGTACCCCCGCCGTCTTAGCGACGCGTAGCTACACGTAGCTGTACCCTCTCCAGGCCACTCGACGCAGCCCACGACAGCCCAGGCAAAAGCTCCTTCCGGCCCTCCCGCCGCTCGCTCGCCCAAGGCCCACGACCGCGTCGACGACCTACAACGATGGCCTACGGCTGAGCACCATGGCCCTCCCCACATTGCAGTTCCTGGCGGGGCTCCTCGTGCTGCTGTACCTGCTCTCTTTCGTCTTATTCGCCTTCATCCGCGTCGTCACAGGCGTCTCGGTGCAGCGACTGGGCTACTCGGGCCTGCGGCGCATCGCCTTTACTCCCAAGGATGGCCTGCGCATCGAGATTCGCGGACTGGGCTTCTCCCTCCACCGCCCCACCTTTGCCCAGCCAACATGGGTCAGCGTCGTTCTCACAGAGGCCAAGGTCATCGTCGACCTCAAGGCCCTGGGAGAGAAGCCTCGAAAAAAGGCGCGATGGGCACACTGGACCAGTGCGTCGACGCACACCGACAAGGCCGAAAAGAGCATCTCGGAGCTCGCGCCCGAAGACGAGAGCGAGGCCCCCGACGGCCCTGGGAGCCAGACATGGAAGCGGCTGACGGAGGCCAAGGAGCAAATTAAGCGTCTGCACGGGAAGATTCTGTGGATTCGGCAGGTGGATTTGATGGCGCAAGGAGTCACCATGGTTGTAAAGGATGTGGGCTCTCTGCACGTGGGCAGCCTGGTCGTGGCTGTCGACACGAGGCGCAAGACTGTCGACCACAGCCGCCTCTTCAATCACCACAAGCCAAAGCCAGACGAACAACAGCGCCCAGCCGAGTGGCGCTTGATCGCTCGTACCGTCCTCTTCACACCCGAGGGTCGCGAGTCGACCGAGATTCTGGACCACTGCACCCTCAACATCCATGGTTTTCTCAAAAAGGAGCTGGAGGGCTTGCGTGATGCGTCCATCGCCCTGAAGCTCGGTCGCCTGCTCATCCCCTATGACGATCTTCACCTATGTCTCGAGCGTGCAAATAACTGCCGACCATCGCACTCACTAAAGAGTGCCCATATTGGCCACACGCCCATCTCATTGACCGATATCATTGAAGAGCTAGACCAACCAGGCACCCGCAAAAAGGGTATTGCCCGCGCTGTTTCGGACTCGAAAGAATTTGCCAGCTCTATTCTTCGCGGCATACATGAGTTCCAATTCGCTGTCAGCTTCTTGGGCCTGACCAAGCAATTCCACGCCAACCATGAATTGGAACCTCCAGTCTACCTGAATATTTCGATGAAGGAACTCGGCATGGACCTGCTCCGGCTGGATCCTCGCAGTCCTGCTCATCTCATGTACTTTTCGCCTGATGACATCGCTCACCAGGCCCTTCTTGCCGCCACTCAGATATCCGTTGGACTTGACGACGGAAATGGCCATCCTGAGCGTCTCCTCTATATTCCCATGGCTACCACTACATTGAACACTACACTTCCTTCGAAGACCGTTCAGTTCTCGGATGACGAGAACAGTGCTGAGCGCAATACCAATATCTTATTCGCCAATCTTGTCATCACTTCTCCATCCTTGGATCTTGATCCTAAGCACTTACCTCTACTCCTTGCCATGTTTCGGAACTTCAAGTCTCAGCGTAAACCCTCCAAAGATAGAAATCGCAAGCGTAATCTAGTTGGTCGACTCTTACCGAAGGCGAATATCAAGATTTCAGTGCACGAACCTGTCATTCGAGTGACGTTACCCCCGACAGACCCGGAAAAGCAGGGATCTGACGAGTTTGATCTACTCATCTCAGCCTCCTCGTCCATGTCCTGGGATATGGAGTCGTCCCATGCTGCAGATGGTGAGCTCCACTATGCGCTTGTATCAACCTTCCGTATGAATTCACAGCAACTCTACTACCAGAACACATCAAGCGAGAAGCACAACCTGCTCACTACAGATTATCTTGAAACCAAAGCACAGCTTAGCGCTACTCCAAACATTGCGCTGGAGATCAGGTCGACTGCACAGTCGTTTTCTATTTCCCTCGTGCGACCCGAAATTATTGAAGGGCTTCGACAGATCAACGCTCAATTGCAGAAGGATATGAGTCGAGGACAGAGCACATCCAGAAAGCAGGCCAATTTCCTCCGCAAGTTGCCGCCGTGGCTTGCGTATGTCCACCTACAGGGCTCGGACTGGAATCTAGAGGTCGCTGGTGTTGATCCTGCGGTATCGAAGCATAGCCGGGGCATTGCTTTGCATCTGGACACCTGGACAGCTGAGTACAAGCAGAGTCGAGATGATGAGAGTGAGCTGAAGCCTGTACGACGCCGCGCAAGTCGTACAATCAACCGTGATGAGCACTTACTACGGTCCTCAACAATCTCATCGCCTATGTCGCCGAGAAAAACGATGGGTAATGCAACAGATGGGAGACGACTTGCTCTACATTTTCATGGTCTGGAGGGTCTCATCATTGAGAGTGCTGATCAGTGGGAGAATGATCCTTGCCTATCGTTACCAGCCATTGAGATAGCCTTCAGCACATCATCAGATAAACAGGGTACACTGTTCCATGTGCATTGCTTCAGCCAGAGTTTGTTTGTACATCATTCTCTTTACCGTCATTTCGCCGTGATGATGGCTATGCAGGTACTGGCAAGGTCTTTTCATTGGCGCACTGAGCCTGTCACCCAGGAGGTGTCAACACCTCCCAACTTGTCTCGTCACTTGACGGCACTATCCCTCGACGACGATAGTGTCGACTCTTTGAGCAAACTGAACCCCGAGATCATGACGATCGAGGCCAAGGCGCAGTTTGTTCAAGTAAAGATAGACATGCCCTCGGATCCCCATCTTATGCTTCAAATTTACGGATTGGAAGCGAGTCGGAATCGATGGACCAATCCTCAAGTCCGATCACGTCTTGTACGCTTATATGCTGAAAACCCCAACATAGAGCATGTCTGGAGTCGCATTGTGTCTGTCAAGTCTTTACGAATAGACTACAGAAAATCGAAGCGGAGATATGGTCACACAGTCACCAACGAACAGTCGTTCGATGTCGCCACGGATGCCATCCGTTTCGCTGTGCCACACCAACTTGTGATACACAAGATCTTCGACAACGTCGCAAATGTTACCAAGACCATCAAGCAGGTGCAACACCGCTTCAGGACTGGGTCAGACGATTATGTGCTGAACAAGGAGCCAGAAGGCCCCAAGCATGTGCCAAAAATATCGCTACGGAGTCGTGCGGTTCTTTTCGAACTTGAGGACAGCTCTTTCGAATGGAAACTCGGCACCATATATCGCATCGGATTGATGGAGCAAAAGCAGAGGCTTGCACGAGCACAGGCCTTCGATCTGAAAGTGAAAAGGCTGCAACACTTGGATGAACAGCGTGGTAACTCGCGTCAACGTGCAAGGTCGGCTCACGGCCATCGGGCGCGAAGCAAATCAAAGAGGAGAGACAAGGAGTTTAAGTTTCACCGACGCGGTAAGAGCGAGGATTCGAGTGGACGAGACTCGATGAATCGAGACCGAATGGACTATCCAATGCGGTACAACTCGGATGGGTTTAGTGGTCTCAGCGGTTCGTGTCAAACTTCTATTGAAGAAGCCCGCGAGAAGTTGAATCGTCTAAATGCTCAAACCTGGAGGAAGCGCATTGATCATGCGTTGGGTACCCAAACCAGAGTCATGCACGACATTCGCTCTGTATTTTGGGGCTTGGACGAGATACCAGACGGTGTTGAGCAGAAAGAGACCATACTTGCCATACCTCAACGACCAGCACTCATGGCGCTTGCAGTGAGTGATTTGGATATTGTCGTTGACAAACCCTCATTTCCGTTATCCGAGTATCCGCGATTTCTTCACCGCGTTGGTAAAGGCATGCCTTTCGAGACCCAATATGCTCTACTCATACCGATGCTCCTTCAAGTCAATATGGGCGAGGCCAAGATTGTCCTTCGGGACTATCCATTGCCACTCCTGCACATCCCCTCGATAGGGACTGCTTCATCGTCACGTTTACCGAGCCTGTCATTGAAGACCGACTTCGTGATCGCGGAAGAATACCGAGACGTTGAGTCTTCGAGAGTAAGCAGGGTGGTTGTGGTACCCCAGGAGTGCACGTCTTCCGGCGAACTCACTGGAGGGTTTGCGGTCGACATTCGTCGCACCGTAGCGCCTGTCAAGACGTACTCGGAGATGGCGATTGATATCAACTCCGCGCATCCCACCAAGATCACTTGGGGTACGTCATATCAGCCTGCAATTCAAGACATGATGCAGGTCATCGAGAACTTCACGAAACCTGCGATCGACCCATCTGAACGTGTTGGCTTCTGGGATAAGATACGATTGACCTTCCATTCCCGTATCAATGTGTCGTGGAAAGGAGACGGAGACGTTCATCTCATTCTGAAAGGTAAGCTCATCTAGTCTCTCTGTTCCTAATTTCATTGGCTGACCTAGTTCAGGTTCGCGCGATCCTTACATGGTCACTGGTCATGGTGCAGGTTTTGTCATGTGTTGGCAGAACGATGTCCAGCTTAGTGTTGCCGAGGATGAGGACCCCAGAAACTTCATGAAAGTCACGAGCGGAAACTACGTTCTAGCTATCCCAGATCTCAGTCATTACGCACGCCATGACGCTGACTCACTGGACTCGACCACTCGTCCAGAGACTGCTTCTAGTACGTCTAGTCGGAAGCAGCCCGCTGTGTTTAAGAAGACAGTGATGAAGTTGAATGGTAACGTTCGTTGGGTTGTTGGGCTGGTATTCGAGCGGACTCTTGAAGACGGTGGGCGCTCTTTCAACTTTGGTCCTCATTACGATGTTGTATTGAAGAATCCCAAGCATGCCAGGCCATCAGGGAACAAGGTAACTATCGTCCAATATGGTACATATGCACAAGACTAACCAAGACAAGCAATACGATGCCTTCCGAGGGTTTCGTAGTGACCATATCCACATGTCCATTGCCATCGCTGCACCGTACGACCGAGAATGGTCTGTCGCTAATCTCGAGCCTTCAAAAACATACAATAGTGTTCATCTTACGCCCAGATTCTTCACACACTTTTTCAGTTGGTGGTCAATGTTCTCGGGAGCTATGTCCTTACCCGTACGACAAGGCAAACTGTGGCCCGGCGTGGAAAAGTCTAGCAAGAAGTTTGGGCGACATCTGGCCACCATCAAGTACAACCTCTTGCTTTCACCGCTATACATGAGCCATATCTACAAGCACAAAGACGCGGAAGACTATGGATCGGATGTTGTTTCGGCAACAGGCTTGAAAGCGCGTTTCGACAGTTTCATGCTCGACCTACACATGCGGCGTGAAGAGTTCCGGACTGTGGTACAAGCGCCCAAAAACCAAGCGGACAGCAAACAGAATCAGACCACTGGCATGCGCATAAACCAAGTACAGCTTGATCTAATCAGAACGGACGTGCGCGCCATCTCGGCTAGTATCGCGGCAATCAACTCCGATGATGTTGACAATGCGACGACTGAGGATATTGCAAACTTCAACCAGGAGTATCTTCTTGCTGATCTTTCCAAGTTCACGATTCCAGACAACGATTGGGGTTGGGTGGATATGGACGATTTCATTGAGTTGGGCTGGATTTTGCCATCGAATCGTCACCCGGAAACACAAATCTTGCCACTTGCTTTTGCTCCCCATTTCACTTACTTCCGTCAAACCGACCACGCCGACAACATCTCAGGTGATCCCAATCGGACCAGTGCGTTCGGGAACGAGCCTACGCACCATTGCGTCATGTCAGCACGAAATGATCCTCGGCAAATACAATGCGGACTGATTGAACAGCGTATACAGCGCGTCAAAGAACAAGTTGCATTCAACCAGAACGCGATCGGTGATCAAGAGCTCAAGATTGTCCGCGAACCCGAGGGCAAAGAAGAGTGTGAACGTCGCTTGGACACCCTGCAAGAGCATGCTCAAATCCTCCAGCGCAAATTGGAATTTCTGGTATCAATGCATGAGAGCCTAATTGAGGATCTGCGCGCGAACGAACGTGTTACGGTTGCTGTTCCTGACAGTGATACAGATGAGAAAGACGAGTATCACGAGGCCCATGAGCATTATCCTTCAGCAATGCCAGAGGAGAAGGGCACAAGTACGGCACCCATCGCCGACTATATCAGTGACTTCAACAATCGATTCATCATCCACAACGTCCATCTAAAATGGAGTAATTCGCAACGTAACATTATACTTCGCTACATACACCAGGTCAGCCAGCGTCGTGGTTTCGTCTACTACATGTCTCGTCGAGCAGTAAAATTCATACTTGACGTCGTGGAAGAACAGAACAAGTCGCGCGGACCTTCAACATCGGAACGTTATGAGGGATCGACCACGCCCATGACTCCACCAGACGAGTCAGGCCCAAGCATCGATGATCATGTTGAACAACTGCTGCAAGATGCTAGGAATTTCATTGGTCCAGAGGAGCCGACTCGGGGCGAAGTCTCTGACCAGCCCGAATCCCATCAAGCCAATGGAGGCGGTATCGCTTCCGAGTATGTCCCTCAAAACGCATATATCGTTCGTCTCATTGCTCCGCAAATCCAACTGCAGAGTGAAAAAGATATCAAGGCCGCAGTGCTGGTGACAGCAAAAGGCATGCAACTCAAGGTGCTCCAGATCATGGACAGAGATAGAGTCAACGACGATGTCTCTGGTTTGGTTCAGCGACGTTTCACGGCTGCCATGAACAGCATGCAGATATTTGTCACAAACACAAAGACTTTTGGTAGCATGGAAGATATTCATATGTATTCTGGAAGTACGTACGGGGCACCTGTACGGTCGGCCTGGCCGCCTTGGGTGCCATTTGAAGTCATGTTCGAATTCCACTCGACCCCCTATGGCTTCCAACGGGTCATTCAAAAGACTTCAGCTAGCATGCGTTTTGATAAGTACAATACCCTTCGTTTGAAGTACAATGACGACATCTCTGGCGGCGACTCCGCCTCGTCGACGAGTGCGACCAACAAAGAGAGTAGGATCGATCACATCTGGGTTGACTTCCCTCACATCCGAGCTCTTTGCGATTCGAGACAGTACTACGCGATGTACGTCATTGTACTCGATTTATTGTTGTATAGCGAACCTCTAGGTAAAACGCGTAATGAACGCCTTGAGAAAATCATGCTCGCCTCGGATTTCAGCGATCTTACTGGCGCCCCTAATCTTGTTATCGGCCTTCAAGAGCGAATCCGTCAACTGGAAGAGATCAAAACCGTCTTCCAGGTCAATGAAACGTTCCTCGACAAGCAAGGTTGGGAAGATCGTATCGAAGTCGAGAAGGATTTGGCCATATACGAAGATGAGCTATTCTTCGTCATGAAGGCCATCACTACCACGCAGCGCAAGCAAGACGATCGTGCACAAGCAAAGGAGTCTACAGGACTGCTGCGTTGGTACATCTCGGCATCAGAGATCGTCTGGCACCTTCTCCGTGAAGGAGAAGAATCTTTGGCGGAATTCCAGCTAAAGAATGCAGTATACGATCGCACAGACCACAATGACGGCTCAAATTCCAACTTACTGGAGATTGGCAAGGTTCGCGGCTTGAACCTGCTTCCAAATGCACTGTATCCTGAAATGATTTCGCCCTACCTTGAGAAGAACCGTGTTTTACCAAAGAATGCTAGGTGTCTCAAGGTCGAGTTCATCATGCTTGAAGCCATAGCTGGTATTCCTGTAATGGAACACTTCGAAGTAAGTCTGTTCCCGTTAAAGGTACAATTGGAGTACGAGATAGGCAAGAAACTCTTCGAGTATGTTTTCCCTACTGGCAAGAACAAAAACGGGGAGAATGGAAACTCTTCGCCTTTCTTGATCAAGCATGCTCTCCCCTCGCCAGACGAGGATGATGATGATGGAAACGACGCTAGTGTCAATACCAGCATGAGCGCGTCATTCTCACAAGGGAATGGCATAGGGGAGGCTCTCAAGCAACGCCTTACTCCTACTCTGCAACTACCAGATCCGCAGCAGAAGTCCGATCGCAAGATCAAAAGCAGCCCAGAGAAGAGACCCGGCGCTCAATACTTCCGCTTCTTCCGCGACAACCCATCTCGAAGCGGGACTGAGCTTCGCAGGACCTTGCATCCTAGTTCGGCACTGGCACCGCCCGGAAGTTCACCTGCATATGTCCCGTCCAGGCCTGGCTCCATTCGAACGGGTTCAACGACGGGCTCTATCGCAGCGTCTCAAAACGAGTCTGAACGGAGTAGTAAGCGATTCGCACTCTATCGCACGGGAACCAACAACACTATTGCGAGCGACAAACGTACTAACAAGAAGCCGAGAAGCGATGACCTCACGCAGATGATGAACCGTGCGAATAACTACATGACGCTGGCATACATCAACATGCAATCCACAACACTCTGCCTATCTTACAAAGGCAAAGGACAGCGCAATTTCGAGGATGTGCACGACCTTGTCTTCAAGATGCCGACCCTCGAATATCGAAACAAGACGTGGTCGAATCTGGACCTCGCACTCCAGCTCAAGAAGGATATCATGCGCGCCCTCATTTCCCACACCGGCGCCATCATCGGCAACAAGTTCTCACAGCATCGCCCTTCAAAGAACGCACCGTCCCGCCTACGCCAACTTACAAGCAGCAGTACCAAACTCGCGGCGTCGCCCGATCTCTCGGGCACAGACTCGAACTCGATACGCGACTACAGTGCTGGCGAGTCCGACACCGAAGCCAATTCAAGGCAATCCTTCACTAGCGGGCGCCAAGGGAGTGTATTTAGCACCGTGTCCGAGGAGTCCTCACAGCGCTCCCTCCGACCGGGCACCAGCTCCGACGCGCGCTCCCTCCGACCGGGCACCAGCTCCGGCGCGCGCTCCCTCCGACCTGCCACCAGCTCTGGCGCACGCTCTACGCACGGCAGCATCATGGGTGGCTACCACGGCCTTGGCATTGACGAAGTGGCCGATGGACGGGCGTTTGCGGACGAACTGTCAAGAGTTGACAACACGGAGCCTGTGCATGCAAATCTAATTCACAGTCTTAGCAAGCACTTGACACAAGTCACACCGTTTTCTGGACATAGAAGGGAGAGAGCGGTGAGTGGCGGCGCGAGTATGAAGGAAGGGAGTTTTTTGGGGGGCGAAGAAGGAGATGGCGAGGATGGGTAAGTAGCCCCTGGCATTGGCTCGGGGCCTGAACGTTTGCTAACGTGCCGTAGGCCTAAAAAGAAAGCCAAGATGTTCGCTCAGAAGTTTCTTGGTCGCAGTCACGGCAGCTAGTGACTCTTGTGCGCGTTATCCACCTCATCACGGTCGGTAGTAATGGCTTCTTTCACGAAGTACCACCGGGCTCTCACTATTGTGAGTTGTTATATTGTATGTACCATTGCTTCTCACTTTAGAGTCTTGTTTGCTATGTGTTTCTTTCGTGTGGGGAAAATTGGTTTGCTACGCGCGACACCGGCGTCAAGATAGATGGAGGTCTGCTTACGTTGTTGGTTGCATTGGGATACTGTCGTCTTGCGATTTCATTTTTGTTTTGTACAGCACTAGATGATACGTCCATATAATACGCTACCAATTTCTTCGTTATAAAGCCCGTGCCTTCTGTCAAAGGCTATGAACATATGTTGTTGCATTGCATGTAAGTAAGTCGAATATAGACTAAGCACCCATCAACGATACTAAGTTGGCGATAAACTCCCACATTTTATCAACTTAGAAAAGCACTTCAGTTCAAAGTTAAGCATTCAATCGGCGTATCGTATCATTCAGATTCAGCCCCAGGTTCAGGAATTTTGATTGTTCGGTTTTGCGTGTCTGAAAGCAAATGTAAAACCAAGAACGTGCTTCAAGAGACACTATGTTGTTCTTGCCTATGTCACATTCGACTGGTCTGAGTGTCTTTCTGCCTGCTGCACAACCGTTGAGACTCGGGATGCCTTCACGCTTGGTGCAAGCTCTTCCTGGCTGCTCCTGGTGTCATCCCAGTAAGGGTCTTCTCTACCTGTCCTAGATCGTCCTGGCCCCATGTTTACAATCTGCATTCTGATCTCATCTGGACTACTTCAATTTGTGCCCGATCGACTGTGAGGCTGTCGCACATGGCCTTGCGTGTCGTATAAGATATTTGTCGTGCAGACAGTACGGTAGAGAACAGCGAAGGCAAGGCAGCAGCCTATGCAGACCGCTATGGGAGTTTCGACCATTGTCCAGATTGCAAGCCATGAGGGACTGGGCGAGGCGGAGATGCCAGCGTTGATGCCAATCTGGGCGACGCGGAGAGTGGCGACGACGATGCACACGAAACCTGATGCGAAGAGGATGATTACAGTTATCTTTTGTCCTCGTGCCATTTGTAGATTCCAGACGAGCTTGATGGGCAGGGCAATAACTAGGTAGTGTCAGCCGCCGATTGTGTGACGTAGCGACAGTCGCCCTTGATCAAGCGTGGTAATGATGCCTATGTAAGACACGCACACAAAGAGAAAAACCCTGGGACTTGCTCATGAAGTCTGACAGTATGTCAACCGTGTAAGATGTGCACAAATTGGCGAACTGATCGTGTACACTTCGAGCACCTTTGCAATCCCCGTTTTCTCATTGATGCTCCAAAATCCAAACAGGAAGTCACATATGAGGCGATACAACCGGCAAGAGACCACACAAAGGTTATCCTTGGAACAATACAGTATAAAAAGGGTAGAGTTCAGAAGAGTACTTGCGACGACGCAAAAAAAAAATATACATCACCAGGGCTTTACATCGAAGGCAAACTTTTCATCAGATTCTTGTAAAGTATCAGCAGAGACAACTTGGCAGACCATAGAGCAAGTCAAAACAATGTGTTTGTTAGAGAATTATCTGTATATAGAAACAAGTTCTTGTTGCATAGTCGGGGGCGGCGCAATATCACCTCGTTCGACCTTGTCGATCATATATATCTTGGGGAAGATGGTCATGTATAACATCGCCATGACAAGGAAGAGAAAGAATGCCAGATATAATAAGAAGTCCTGCATTTCCCATCTTTTGTGATTCCACATTTGCATGCCCGCGCACGTGAGAACAAAGATCGAAGACAGTGTTATCATGGCGTAAGAAATTCCGGGAAGCTGAAATTGCGAGAACACGTCTTTGTAAGTGGAGCCCGACATGGCTGGTATGTTATTGACAAGAGGAAATACCGGGTTAACGCCAATTGTAAGGAGGCATGCGTGGCCAGCGGTAGCTGTCGAATGGCTTCGTAGTATGTGACGAGGTAGAACGTTGGAAGATATCGCTTGACTTGCTCGAAGTTCATCAATTTCAATGCATGTGTATTGCATCTGTATGCATTGGTGCCTATATGGAAGTCCAGACCATGGGAACAAGTTGGAATCGATTCCCAGGCGGCACACCATTCCGAGCGGCACACAGAATGGGTCAGAAGCCTGGCCTCGTACTGATGCAAGCCGGTAAGACCTCCACAACGGACATGCAGGAGAGTTCGTTGTGAGACGATGCGTATATCCTCGCTCAGACCGGGTTCTGCGCTCTTTAGATACCAGTGAACAGAATGTGTCGTTGGCCCTGATACCATTGAAACTAGCATGCTGGCAGTCTATACTTTGACCAATAATCCGAGTCTGCCCTGTTCGATTCGGAATTAGTATGAATGGAACGGCTTATATTGACGACATGGTAGATGTGTCTGAGGAATTTGTCTACTGCTAGTTGAATCCAGTCTGGATATAAATTCGGACATGGCCCCTTGACGCTGAGGTATGGATGCTGAGCAATTAGTATGCAGTTCAAATATGTACAATTTATTTCAATTTCTTTAGCATGTGAGTGGTCAAGTCTGTCCATGCTTACAGCTTTCGCTATATCGCATGCTGTCTAGCGATAAAGGTACAATGTAGAGCTACTATTGTCACTAACGGTGAGCACTAAAGTGTTTCGAGTTTCTCAACGCCAACACAGTAAAAGTGTCGTGACACAGATCCAAACACGATTTAACAAAATAGCTCAGAGATTGTAAAGAGAAAGAGTAAGGGTGTATCTTCAGCGTTGAAACAGAGAATAGTAGTAGCAATTATGCTCAACCAATATGTAAGAAACGTCTCAGAAAACAAATCAAGTTTGGAAAACGATACAAAACGCCGAAAACTTTTACTGATAAACCAGAACTTTTTGTCTTGAACAACAAATCATAATTTTGTATGGCTCTTTACATTCAGCTTGAGTTCATCAAGTATCACATTCCCCCCCTTCCTTGCCCCTTTCCCCCTCTAGCCAGTTGTTATTCAATATGTAATATAGTTGTCAAAGGTTAGTCCCCTGTACCGTCCGCGATAGAAGCTTGAATTAGCCATGGCTACTTCTACATAGTCTATGCGTACAAAGTGTTTACTTTATCTCCAATCTCCCACTCAGTCAAGTTATATACTCGAACCTATCCGCCGTCTTTTTCGTATTATACTCTTCAGCCTTACCAACTCAGACCAGATGACCTTCTCTTTGATCTGGATTGACCGCCTGCAGAACTACACGCTCAGGCTCGGCGGTAACCATGCAGTTAGTTGGATAGTATACAGATGAAAGAGGCTGTAGTACGCGCTTTCAGGGTTCGGACGAGGAAGAACGAGAAGTGTATGCTCCGAGACTGGAGCGCCGACGTCAATGGATGAGGATCGTCTTGGGCCCGGGAGTATGGAACAATTGGGGGAGTGTGTACAGAAAGATTTGCGTTTCCCCGTTGTAGTAAATGGCGAAGGTGCGTGTAATAGTCGATGAACTGAGAGATCGTGGCGCCGATGCCTGTCACAAGAGAAGTTATGAAGTCTTCAGGGGCGAGTATGTGTGCAAACCTGATAGGGGAGGGTGGGGAGGCGATGCTAGCAAAGCATTGACAATGAACATCTAGGCAAAGGCGCAGATGGGATAAACGGACATTGTTCCAGGGATCGGCCGTGAAATAGGTGGGGCAAAAACGTTTAAGTTAGCTAGTATGCTTCGTAAGGGTTAGAATGTCCCTGTGATCGTGTCCGTTGTATACCAGTTGTTGCACATCCAACTACTTATCATTCCTTAGCCACAACCTTTCAAACTACGCAGTCCTGAGCATACTCCACAAAGGATCCTCTAACTGCCGTTCTAGTTGCAAGGCATACCTGATCACTGTATCTGGGCACTTGTACATTTCATCTTTGAGTGTGTGCCTGAAATGAACCAAGCCCTGGAGAATGACTAAGAAGCTGATGTGGATGGAGTTCTGCTTCGGTACATACTTGCTGATTATCATGAATACTGGCGGTAGGGGAACATACTGGGTCTAGCAGTTCATGGTCACAGACTGCACCAGATGAATGAGAGGACCCTGTGTCGATAAACCGAGTGGCTGGTTCTGCAGGCGATGGTAGGTAGAATTAACAGCACCCGTCAGGTGGTTGATGACGTCTTTCATACAAGACACCTCGGGAATGACCATGAATTTATACAGAACGGCCATGTTTACGAACCGCAGAGGAGGATATCGACATCTTTGCGTGGGTGCGCACGCCACTTTGGCAAGGTTATTCGAACGTGGCTCTAAGATTAGTCTCCTAATGATAACGGCTGACCATCAAGTATAGCTTTTGAGCAATGGTAAGTACGATGTTGTTCGAGCGTCGATGCCTGATATCACTCCCTTTTTGGACAGTTTAGGAGCTATCATCGCACTACACCAAGCCGCGCCCTGCGTGATAACAGACCGTAGAAAAGACACTTGATAATCTACCTCAGCTTTACTTCTACCATGACACGTCCCTACATCGGTAGACACCTACACACAATCAAGTACAACAGGGATGGCTGCCAAGTTTGCCCCCTACGCACTCATGCCACGATATATACGTATAGAGGCGGCAATGCTGTATGGATGAACAACTTTATGGTGAGTCGTGAGATTGGTTTCTGCCTTGTCCGCGCGATGTAATACTCACCTGGTGGATTGGATGCGATAGCCATAAGATAGGGTTTATGCCCATCCACGAGATTGTCTTAGTACTTCCTCAATATCGAATTTCACAGAGTATCGTGACCATGCTGATGTGGAGATGCGGGCCAGATAATTCATACGAAGAGCCATTTTCAACGATATTGTCCAGAAAGGCTGACACTTATGTCTTTTCTAGCCACTCTCACGACGGGTAAACGTCCAAATCGTTCACAGAGCCTACATGAGCTTATCATTGCTTAAAGTAGATGTTTTGAAGCCTTCGCCAGGTTATTACACAATATGCCTTAGGTAGCAATTGAGCGAGGTCGGATACCGTACTAAATTCGCCGACCTGCCGTCAACGATACGTCATCGATATTCCCTATGATTCACGTCATTATTACCCTAGTAAAGTCAGACGAAAACCCATTGATTCCACCCTTATTGGACATCACTGACGATGAGCGACTAGTGGAAGCTAATCATTGACCACTCGATTGCCACTCGCCGAAGACGTGGTTTCGCGAAATGGCAAGTCAGTATTGCCACCGTGCGATAGACTGATCATTTGGTGGATACATAATCTTTTTAATGAGCAATGATACATTTGGTTATTCACATCTGTCTTTCTTTAATCTCAGTCTCCTTTGCGTTACTAGCAGCATTACTGATCTTTGTTGGCATTGTCGCGTATTGCAGCCCTGGGTGTCATCACGAGTTCAGTCCCATGGATTCTTCACCATCCCCCGCTGCAATCATTCACACAAATCATGCAACTCCAGTCCACCAGAAACGAAAGCGTCTTCCTAAGCCGGTTATCTCTCCTTTTTTCGCAAAGCTTGGGGAGAATACTGTCTCGAGAACAAACAAATCGTTAAGAAATACTGCAGCGTCTGTTCCGCGGGTACGCCTCTCAGGTCTTTCCGCTTCTACAGAACGTCGTCAGGGCACAGTTATTCGTATCTTGAGCGATCCACCAGTTTGCTCTCAAAAACTAGCCAAACGCAAGACGTCGCGTCGTCTACGAGGGCCAACAATTTCACCATACTTCTCGTCTCCACTAACGAAGCCTCAACCAGTGGACCCGTTTTCACTTCCAATCGTCCCTCCTGGTCTCGGCTTCACCCTTGAGCCAGCAGGACCTGTGGGACTAATTCAAGAGCGTATATGCAGAAGTTTGTTTGCCTTGGTTGTTCAAGCCATGTTATGGAACAAGACTAGAGGCACTGCCGGTCGCCCTGTACTCTTCCAACTTCTGTGCACATATCCCACACCGGAAATATTGGCCGCTGCGAATGAGGAAGACCTTGTGAATATGATCTGGCATCTGGGACTGCAGTGCAGTCGAGCCTCAAACTTGATCAAGATGGCAGCTGGATGGATTGAAGCGCCTCCTCGTGCAGAGACGATCTTGAAGAAAAAGACTTTCAAGCCAAGCAATAATGGTGGTTGTGAGATATCACATCTCCATGGTGTCGGCCAATATGCAGAAGACTCTTTCCGCATCTTCGGTAGAGATCGATTACGTGCAGCTGATAAATCACGGTACAAGTTCGAACCTGAGTGGAAGCGAGTTATACCACAAGATAAGGATTTGCGGCGATACATTCGATGGAAATGGGAGGTAGAGGGATACGAGTACGACTACGAGTCAGGACGTCATTGGAAGAAGAAGTCTCCTATCACGAATGCCTAGAACTCCGGTGTGAATTAAAAGGCTTCGCTGTCGGCAAATGGAAACAAAACAAATTGTTACATGTGTGTATATTGAATTATATAGATTCATAATGTAGTGCCTATTTCTAGGTTAAAACCACTATACGCCCCAACAAGCGCCGCAAGAGAGACTACACTAGATGAAACCTCTGGATTGCAGTACCCGCTCTTGTTGATTAAAATCCTCTGTCTGAAAGCTCAATACCCAATTGCATGCATAGCAGCGTCAATGAATCCTCCGCCACCACCACTACCTCCTCCACCACCTCCGCTTAAGAGACCGAACCACTTCGCCAGAGCATCAAACTGTATACAACACAGCTTCTAATCTACTCAATCTAACGCGTCTAGGGAATGTTCTTCTGCATTGGTTGATAGAGGATATTTGGATTAGGCAGCAGGCGCACTGTATTTGTAGGGAAACCAGAGGAATGCTTCATTTTTGGTGATTAATCATTGGACATTTCTTTCTCTCAGTCGACAATTCCAGAACATTCAATGTTATTTCTGCTTCCCTAAGAATTTACCTTGCTTTCCAATTCCATCTCTGGTGGGAGCGAAAAGGGAACGCGATTGATGCCATAGCTGCAGTCCTCGAGCTGCGCTAGCTCCTCAGGATGGTTGTAAAGAAGCGGTACAAGTAGCCGGGAGAACGATTTGAATCTTGGTTGGTATTTCGCAGAGGCAGCCTCGAATATTGGAGGATAAAAGCCAGCACAACCCCAATCGATCAGCCAGACCTGGTTGCTGGTGTCTAGAATGAGGTTTCGAGGGCTGAGATCTCCATGAACGAGGACAAAGTAAGGACACTGTAGAGGTAGAGCATCCGGCGAGGCTTGCTTGTAACGCTTGCTCATGTTGAGTTTCCAGGTAATCCACTTCTGAAATACGTCTTTCGTCGGAAACGGTCCTGCGCCATAGTCACTGAACCACATGCCACGGGATATTCCTCCGCCATTAACGCCTGGATGATCGCAGTGTACAGATTGTAGCTGATCAACCATAGCCGCAACCTGTTCAGCCACACTTTTCTGGACATCGAGAGTGAGTTCGTCCCAACATGTGTCCAGGGAAGGACTCTCTATATAGTCCATGACTATGTAGCCTTCGACACCAAAATATGACGAGGAATGATCAATGTTGAAACAACGATAGACTTGAGGCAGCCTAACTCCCGAAAACTTCGTTGCGACGTATCTCATAGTCTCCCCTTCTGAGGCTAGAACAGTGGTCCCAAATTTCATGACCAGAGTTTTGGACAGTCGTACGACTTTCATGCGCGCAATCGAGTAAAGAACTGGAGCAACTTTGCCATATGCTATAAGTTCCTCCTCTGGCATCGAAGAGATATCAAAGGCTGCGCTATCTAGCGGGAATATAGTTGAAGGACTTCGAGCGGCCGGCTATGTTCTTTAGTGATTTTCCATCGCGAGCTGAGATAGGGCACTTACATCGACATAGGGTTCCATCATCGTGCACGGGCGAGGGGTGGGTGTTGCTTAAGCAGTGCGACTATGCCTGCCCACACATTTGACTAATGCTGCCCACAACCCACATCGCGCAACACTACTGCGGCTCTAAGTTATTAGTGCGCGCTACGTAAGATTTATGTTTAGCGTGTATCTATCAAAAGTTTCTAGATAAACTTATAACCTTATTATTATTTTATATTTATAGCGTATTTATACTACAAGTATAAGTATATAAATATAATATAGTAAGAATCTAATATAGTAACTTAGTATAAAGGCTAATACCTAGCCCCTTTTTATATAGTAAAAATTAGTAAGAGTATATAGTAATAGTAATAAAAAGCTAATTAGTATACTATTTCTTAATAACTAGCTACTTAATATACTAGTATAAAAAGATATTTAAAAGCCTTATTAGCTATTAGTTAAGGTTTAGTTATATTATAAATACTAGCTTATATTTTAAACTATAGCTAAGTTAGAAAAGCTTTTTAATTAACTAGTAATTCTAAGTAAATAACTAATATAGCTTAAAAAAAAGTATAGGTAGTAATTATTTTTATAAGTTAGCTAGTATATTAATACTCTTTACACGATAAAGGTTAAGATATAAGTACCTTATTTATTTCTTTATTTATTAAATGTAATCTTCTTTTATAACTAAAATTAGACTTAACTAATAATATAGTTCTATTAGTCTAGCTAAGAAGTTTCTATACTTTATCTTATAATAAACTAATACTTAAAGAGTAAAATAATTAATAATTAGTACTAGGATAGTACTTTAGATATCTTTAATAAGATCTTTAAAAACCTAGTTAAGTAGTAAAAAGAAAAAAAAAAAATTACTTAGTATAATAGTAATATAGCCTACTAAAGTAATTTAAAAATTAGGTAGTACCTTATATTTAGTAAAAGGCTTTAAGTAAAACTTAATAAAGTTAAAATTTAGCTTTTTTAATTTAAGTTTATAAAACTAATAATACTTTCTTTTATACTAAGTTTTTTTAACTTAATAGTATTACTATTAAGTATTACAGTAGGGTAACACAGATAAAAAGTTACTTTAAAAGTCTACTATTTTAAGAGCGTATATCTTAGTAAGTAATAGAGCTATAAATATAAAAAAAGAAGTTTTTAAAAGAGAAAGCCTAGCTTAATATTTCTGTAATTAAAGGTAAATATACTTACTATCTAGTAAAATTAATATATAAGCTAGAAGTAGACCCTAAAGTTTTTCTTTATTTTAACTAGCTAGAACTTTTTTTTAGACGTATAAAGTTCAGTTTTTTTTAGGTATATATAGAATAGGCTTTAATAAGCATTACATTACCTAATTTATAGTATAAATTTGTTAACTAAAAGATTTTTAAATCTAACTTTAAATCTAGTAATAGTAAGTTAGTAAGCTAAAATTACGTAATTACATGCTAAAATAGTAGTATATAATAGATATCTTCTAGAAAAAAAATCCTAGACTTCTATTTCCTTAGTAATATTTTTAAAATAGAGCTAAAATTCTTAAAATTTAAACCTTAAGTTAAGCTTCTTTTAAAAGCTAAAACTTCTACTTCTACTATAGCTATAACGCTAGAAAAGCCTCTAAAGTCTATTAAAAATACTATTAATAGAATAAATTAAAAAACTCTTAATATAACGCCTCTAAAATCTATTAAACAAGGACGTGTTTCTAAGCTATCTAAAAGAGAAGAAAGAGTTATTAACAGGGCTATAATAAATAACCCTAAGGTTAGAAATAAGAGTATATTAGTTAAAAATAACCTTCCTATATATAAAAGAAGCTTACAAAGATTTTTTAAAAGAGAAAGATATTCTATTAATATAGCTTCTAAAAAAGCTTTATTAGATAGATATAAAGCTAAAAGGAGGCTTTTACTAGCTAAAGAGTAGGATAAAAATATTAGAAATATAAAACTTAATAAGATAGTATTTTTTAATAAGTTAGTAATCTAGCGTAGGTATAGTACTAGAAAGGAATATTACAAAAAGAAGGAAAATAACAGAGTTAGTAACTAAATAGTTAATATAACTAATATAAGTAAGTCTAAAATCTTTTCTAGTAAGCTTAGTTTTAGAGCTTTTTATTCTTTTTATTCTTATTTAACTATCTTTTTTATAGCTTTAAAACTAACTTTTTTATAGCCTAAAACATTTCTATCTAAGTTTTAAGAGTAATTAAGATAGGTAGATACTCTAAATTAGAGGTTATTAAAACGCCTTTTATAACTAAGTCTTATATAAATAAAGACTACCTAAGAAAGGTTTTAATACGCTATATTAAACTAGCTATTAAAAAAAGTAAGTTTATTATTCTTTATTTCTAACTCTTTTATTATTTTTAACCTTTATTTTTACTCTTTTAATTTCTTTTAAATTCTTAAAAAATTCTTTATACCTATATCTATTTAGGGTAGAAGTTTTAGTAAGATAATATTAAAACTTATAAAACGCTAAATATAATAGCTTAGTTTAAGAGAAATAAAATTTCTTTTTATTAGTATTTACCCTACAGCCTAGATCTAGTACCTATTAAAAATATCTAGAGTCTATTAAAAGATAGACTAGATAATAAAATAAGTACTAGTTTAGAAGTAGAAGCTAGTAAGGCTAGTGTAGAAGCCTTTAAGAGAGCTATATATAAGAAGTAGGATTTAATCTTATAATAGAGTATAGATAACTATATTTTATCTATGCCTAGGCGTTATAAGGTAGTTATAGACGCTAAAGGGTAGTATACTAAGTACTAGTTAGCTATTACTTATTATATTATTTTATTTTAACTACTTTTACTACTTTATTAAATTCTATCTTTTTTACTTGAGTAACTATACCTAAAAAACTTAGAATCTAATATTAATAGATAGATAAGAAAGTTTATACTATTTTAAGTTAATTTTATACCTATAAAAAATACTTATTACTACTTTTATTAAACTCTTTTTTACTCCTCTTAAACACTGCTAAAGAACTATCTTCTAGAGATTACTAAGCCAAGGTAGTATATCAGAAAGTTATAAATCTGTATTTTCTCTTTCTAAATCTCTTTTTTTTATATTTATAGCTCTACTACTAACTAAGATATACACTCTTGAAATAGTAGACTTTTAAAGTAACTTTTTATTTGTGTCACCCCAGTGTATAATAATACTATTTTTACTAAAGATAAAATATATTTTCAGTAAGCTTTTATAGACCTTAATTATACTATCTAAGAAAAAAAACTTATAAAAGTAATTAACAAGGTATAAATCTTTAAAATAGGACTATAGAATTAATATTAAATGTCGATAAAGCAAGCTTATCTTATTAAAAAGTAGTAGTAAGGGTAATAGTAATAGTAATAGTAATAGAAAGTAAAGGGCTAATAACTTAAAACTAAGTTAAACCTTAGATCTTCTAGTAAGTATAAATATATAATAAGAAATAATAAGTTATAAAAACAGATATATAGCTAAAATATAATAGTAACGTAAAATATTAATTTCTATGCTTTAGAAATAACCTTGTTATAGGTAGGATTTTATATATAATTAAAGTTACTGAATCTATCTAAAAAGGCCTTTATTTAATAATTAAGTTATATTTATACATTAATATACAGATTAGTTATAGAGAAAATTTAAACCTTTATACCTATAATAGTAATAAATGTCTATATACTAATAAAAAGTTATAGTAGTCCTAAAGCTAAGTTATATTATTAACAAGAGCTTAAAAGAATAAGGTAGAGTAGTATTATACAATATAGAGTAAGAGCCTTATTAAAGTAACGTCTTAGTTAGTATAGTTATACTAGTACTAAAGATTATTAATTTATCTAGAACTCAATTTAGCTAATTTATTAAATACTTTATAATCCTTTTTTTAAGTAAAGAAACGGCTATAAGTTTAATATATTAGTAGATTACCTATAATTAAACTTAAAAATTTAAAACTATATAACGTTAATTTCAAAATCGTTGTGTAGTCTATACCTTATTATTTATATACCTCTATCTAAGTAAGAAAGGTAATTGCTAGATATTTACTACAATACTTACTTTAATAAAAATAGAAATTATAAGTAATTAAAATTATAAACTAACCTTTACCTCTAGGTAATAGTTAGGCTTAAAGAGAATAGTTAGTATAGTAATAAAAGCTTCTAGCCGTATATAGACTACTATAAAGATTTTTCTATATTACGATACGTTTTAAGTTTTATATTATTATATAGAAGATAAAGCCTTTTATATACTTCTAAAACTATTAACGTAGTTAGTATTTAACTAGGATTAATAAAACTATTAATTTTTAAGTAAGTACTTATAAATCTCTAGGGTATACACCTTAAGAATTAATCTAATTTGTTAGTAAATACCTATTAAATCTATACTCTAATTCCCTGTTTAAACAACTATTATATTACTAGCTATACTATTTTCAACTAGATTTTCAAGATATAAATAGTTATATTAATAAAATACGTAATTAAGGTTGGAGCTATAGTAATTACTATCTAGGTAATCTAGCTAAAGAAGGAAATACTAACTATACTTACTTAAAATCTATCTAAAGAGTAGTAGATCTTAATTCTATAATAGATTTATAAAAGAATAGAAATTAGGCTTAGACTTTACTTCTACCTTAGTCCTACCTTAGACGAGCTAGAAGAATAAATATATATATATCTAAAAAATAATTTAACTTCTAAAAGAGTATATTACTATTTTTAGAAATTTAAAGAGCCTTTCTTTTAGACTAGTTTATAATAGTTTAATTCTTTACTTTTAAAAACGTCTTTATAGGAGATAAAATAGTTAGTTTAACCTATAATTATTTATCTTTCTTAAAAAGATTCTTTAATAAAGAGTATCCTAGAAAGTCTTTATAGTTAATAACGTTAAGAAAAAAGGATTATAGTGTTTAAAATTTACTCTAGTTATATTTAAAGATTCTATAGAACTTCTATTTTACTACTAGATAATCTTACCTAAATCCCTTAAGTATAGCTCTAGTATTAGTATTAGTTAATTT